TTCGGTTTCAGATTTGGAATCAGCGACCTCGGAAACATCTGTATACCTAGTTTCATCCAAATCTAATCACTTTTCTCATTTTGGTCCGCCATATTGGATCCGCTGCTTTGAAATTTCAAATTTCGAGTACAGATTTGGAATCAGCGATCTCGGAAACATCTGTATACCTAGTTTCATCCAAATCTAATCACTTCTCTCATTTTGGTCCGCCATATCGGATCCGCCATTTTAAAATTTCAAAATTCTGAGCATAGGGATCGCCGTCGCTATTCACACTCTTTCTGTTGTCGAGGTCGGAAATCGTAGGGTAACGGAATGGACGCGAACCGCGATGAACGGTTCGAATCGAGGTGCAATTATCGGTGGCCGCAATTATTTCGACAATTCCGTCCAGCTTATCCCACTGGCCGTTTCCACGGGCCGCAGGGCGGAAGGTTCGTTAACGGGCCGCGAACGGGAATCGTTACCGTTTAATTAAGCGCATTTTCGATGCGTTCCGCGGCAGGAGAGCTCCGTTCGCCGGCTGCCGATTGGCGTTCGGTCGATTTTTTTGAAATACCCAATCGAATAGTTTCCCCTCCGCTGCGCTCGCCTTCCAGTCGAGTCTCCGTCGGTCCTCTTGTCCTCGAGAACCCAGCTTCGATTTCATTTCGTAACTCCTTCCAGCTCGGTCCTTTTCGCTCCTTGGCGCGCGTCTTTCGTTCATAATGCGCGGGGGTGAGCGAGCGTCGATTTTCACGCGCGCCATATGTCCCAGTGGCGCGCCCCACCGGGGACACGAGGGGCCAATTGCACCCTCACCTGCTGCAGATACCCATTTTCTCGCTATTGAAACGAGAAAGTTCTCGTCGGGGAAGCGTAAAAATAAACTAATCTTGTCGGTCTCGAGTCGGCGATCCCCGACATCGTTATCTAGAGTTTTACCGGTGGAGATGGAAGGAAAATTCACTTGGTTTTTCATGTAGGATCTTTTTAACATTTTTATACTTCTTTATTTCTTCGATAACCATTTACATTTTCAGTAGACGAGTCGTTCCATGGAATATCGTACACTAAATTGGAGCAGATCTCAGATTTGATGCGAATTTGAGTATGTTTCACTGTTTGGTGATACTTAAACGTATCTTAAGGAATTTTCCTTTTATTTCATAAAACATTATCGAATAAGAAATGCGTTGTAAGACCGATCAAAAGAAATCAAAGAAATTACAAATTTAACACTAAAACTACTTGAACTGAGGTCAACGCAAACCTATTCCTATAAAGAGGATTAAAGTAATCTATCAATCAAATTAACCCTCTATTAAACTCACGAGCGACTTTACAAAGAAGTTTAAGACCGTCTCGGTAGTTTCAGTGTTAACCAGTGTTCGTCTACATTCATTTCTTGTCGCGCCACTGGCGCACCTTTCGCCGAGACTGCATTCGGAGCTCTTACCGGGATGAGGATGTTTATTCCTAGGAAAATAGAGAATTCCTCCCCCTTCGAGGAGCAGATGGTCGAAAGTTCGAGTCAGGTAGCGGAGGGGGTGAGTGGAGTGGAAAGGCGCGTTCACGGAGGAGCGGACACCTGCTGCACCTAGGTGTTCCTCAACCGCTGAGGAACCACCGCTCGGTTCCCTTGTCCCTTGCAACGATCGCGAGCCGACCTTTCGATTTTCCGAATTCCAGATCGCGTTGAGCATCGTTGGAGAACGGACCTGGACGAGAGTCTGGGCGAGACGCTTCGCGGTCGTGTTCCTCGCGCTCGTCGAGGCTGAAAAAATTGCGCGGGGGTCGGTGGAGGGAGATTTAACCGGTAAAAAAGCTCGACGACGCGACAGACGGTCGCACGAAGGTTTCGGGAGTCCCATGGGCCTAGCCCGCGGCGGCAAGAACCACCTGCCGCAAGAGGTCGGTGGGGGCAAGCTGTTCTCGCGCGTCCTACCTCTTCCAACCATCGTCTCTTCCCTTCGATGGATCTCACCCTCTTTCTCGATCCTGTCTTCATCATTCCCTACCGTTTCCCTCGCTCGTCTGGTCTTTGTCCCTCTGTTGAACGTGCTTCGAGCTCGTCTTCCGTCCAGGCTACGCCACCTTCGCTGCCATTGCCACCATCCTCGTACCTCGCGGCTTCAGTCCGACGACCGGTTGTATACAGGGTGATGAAAAATAGGGCCCGAGGGGCCTGCGAGACCCATTAGTAAGTGGAGTATTAAATTTGAATTAGAAGAAGGGAATAGGTCAGTCTTAAACAATTGTAGGGGTGAGCTTAGGTAGTTGAAAAGAGGACTAGGAAGTAGTTAACTTAATGACTGGTGTAGTAAATAAAAATTGGAGGAGGGGAATAGGTCAGGCTTGAACAATTGTAGAGGTACGCTTAGGTAGTTGGAAAGAAGACTACGAAGAAGCATATTTGACAATTGGTGTAATAAATAAAAATTGGGGGAGGGGAGAAGGTTAGTGTTAAACTATTATGGAGATATGCATAGGTACTCGGAAAAGAGGTTACAAAGAACGAATGCATACATGTTGTATTAATCAATAATGAATTCTTGAACAAGTTAAAGACGAGAAGTGTTCGTTACGCAAGAGCCCGAGCCAAGAACATCATCCTACTTTTAACAATCTATAATGTAATCTGATGTGGAAGAAACCAGAAATAAGTCAATAATAATGAAATAGCCCATTTGTATTCGTCCTACAAGTCACGGTTGGGACAATAAGAGATTTTATATTTCTTTCCTACTCCTCCACAACTTTCACGAACCCATAACGCACATTTTATACGGCTGGATCATGCTTTCTGTACATGCTCCATTGCAGAGGGAAGCAAAACCAGTATTTTTTATTGAGAGAAATGATGTCGGTTTACGATGATACCGGTACGATTTAAAAAAGCTCGCCACTGTACGATTCAGGTATCAGGATATCTTTTAAGAAGTAAATGTAAAATATTCCGCAACGGGACTACTTTTTTAAGGACGTGAACGTATAGAATAAAACTGCATTGTTGCGTTTCCATAGGATAGTATATATTCTATGGGTCGAGATGAGAAAAAACCGATACCACTCAGGATTGCTTCTAGTTTATTAGATATGGAAAGTTAACAACGTTTCGGTCCTACTTTAAAGGAACCTTTATCGAGCAACAAACTTTGTTTCTTTGTAAACTTGTGAAAGCACTTTTTCCAGAAACTGGGTTTTTTAGGAACCTAGTTTTTTTTACACAAAGAATTAAATTCCATTAAATTCGAACCAAAACGTTGTACTCGTTTCATATATAGTAAAGCAAGAAAGACAAATTCCCAATTAATGATTATATAATTCAATTACGTATTACAATTACAATGATCAATTTAACCCATAATTACACAGTTTCATGTATTCAGCCAGATTGCGTATTCTGTAATAGTTAAATTGAGGAGGTATTGCATTGGCAATTTTCACCTGATCAAACCTATGTATTCGCGGAAGCTCCAAAAAAGATATTGCGTTCAGCATCGGGTGAAGTGCTTAGCAAAATGTAAAAAGAACGATAAACGAAACAGAGACAAAACGTATAGAAAGACAAAAATATACAACGAACGTGATAATAGCCAGGGAAAAGCTAACAGCGATTACAGAGCTTCCAAACGAGACCAAGAAACCATTGAAAATATCTAAACCGTTCGATGCTCTGTTAACACGCATTCCATTCATGGCATTGCGTTTATCAGTATTGAGCTGCGATTATTCCGTTAATAACATGTGATTACTTTTCTACTAATCGCCCACAATCATCAGATCAATCGGTAATTATAAACTACAAGCTGAAAACTATTGGCCCGATTTCAGAGTTAATCGTGTCAGATTATTCATTAATTATTGAAAATGTACGCTAACTGCGTACTATTGAACATATGCGCGACACGAAATGTTAGCATTATTGTATTATTTCAGAAAAGGTTTAAAGTTTTTGTATTATCGCGGTAATCAATCTGATTTTACACAGATTACTGCAACTTTTACACCTTGTCCAGCCTTGGACACAATCAGATTTTGTTATATATTCGTTACTTTCCTTCCAACTGGCACACATGTTTCTTATTCTATTTTATATATCCTTAATATAATTTATAAAATACTGTCTTTATAAAATACATTCAGCATACGCCATAAACAAATGCATTAAATCTACAATCCACCGATTGTCCAATAATCGTTAACCATGGCATTGAATGCAATCGTAACTATCATCGTCGTAAAAAGATTCCAATCGTGGCCATCGAGAATGTCGTCAGGTGTCGTGAAAGTGTAAATCGAAGAATTAACCTTGCTTGAGTTTGAATCGATCCACTGATTTGGTCATGGAGATGACACAGCTCGCGTGTAAACACGTAGGCTTATCTTATCGGGTTCTTATTTCGTCGCCTTCGAAAGATGTTTTTAAAAGCGTGGCTCCTTTCATTCGCGTCATGTCACACTCTCTCGCATCCCCAATACGAATTTAGCAAATATTAACACTTTATCGACCAGTAGCCTATTAACACTAGGTTTTCGGAGCACAGTCATTTTGATCCATTTCACTTTCTATTAAACTGATAAGTTAGCGAATTGGATAACCCATAAGAGTTACTGCTCAAAAATGAATCACTGTAGTCAGAAGCATAACGCGGGTTACATACATTTTAAATAGTATTTTGGAATCGGTATTTTTAATTAACTGGACAATTGAGTAGACTATTAACACTAGTTTTTTCGGAGCACAGTCATTTTGATCCATTTTAAAGTCCAGTCATTTTAAATAGTATTTTGTAATCGGTATTGTTAAATAACTAAATTGACCACACGAAACATTACCGGTCAGTAAAGTGTTAAATGCCCCAAACCAGGATCAATCGCTACATTTTTAACACCCTGTATACTCCGTACGCGGTGCTACACGCTGATGGTGGGAGAGCGGGCCGTGGGGAGCGGGACAAGCCGAACGGTGGGGGGTAGCGCCGATGCAACGCGACCCCAAGCTCAGTCGTCGCGCGACCCTCGTGGAGTACGTTCGTGTCGACGGTTCGTGGTTGGTGAAATTTTTTAACGCTCCGTTCCGTTACATCTGTTCAAAGTGTTTTCGACTCCGAACGTATCCACCGAGTCTACCATCGTGCGCGACGATATCTCGTGCATCGCGCACCGAAATTTTACTCTTTTTCCTTGCTTTCCATTCTCGCAACGGAGCAAAAGTGTAAACCAAGGGAACAACTTCTAACATCCTGTGGCATGCAGAAGTCGAGAGTCCTCTGAAAAAGGTGTGCGAAAACCGTAGACGTGCGAGTGTTCGCGCAACAGCCACCGGAACAAAGGAGTTGGCTCGTAGCGCGTTGCAACGTGGCGTTTTGAAATCGCGCGCAAAACGGTTCCTTGTGCCTTTATCTGGTGTTCCTTGGATGAGAATCAGCGCGCGAGTCGGGTGGTTGAGAAATCTACGGATGACACCGTGAGAGAGACATGAGGGACACTCGCTCCAATCGGTGAATCGTGAAACGACTCGCGTGTGTTGGAGTTACGCGGAAATCTCGGTAATCCAAGCCGCGACCGTTGGCTCGACGACGAAACCCAGTCGATTCGCGAACGGAATCGCGAACCTGATGAAGCTTACGATTAGTGTTACGATAAGTTTGACGACGAGTGAGAGAAACCGCGAGGGAAGGTGTGACAGTGTCGTAAGCACAGGCAAACGAACATCGAACGATGCGGCCAGTGGTTACGACGACGGTGCGTTCGCGAGGAGCGTGATCGACGATCGAAACTCGCGCAGCAGCGTCGTCGATACACGGTGAAAGTCCCTGCGACGCGGAACTCTCTGTCCCCTGTGCAACGAGCCAGCAACCGTGATTCGCGCCACCACGTTGTACCGTTCGTGGAAATCGTTTTGCCGATAAAATGGATAGGATCTGGATAACCCGACCGCCGACGATGGCGATTATCGTCGTTCTGTTGGTGTTCCTGCGTACCGGTGAGTATTCCCCGAACGATCGTTCTTCTACCTGGCCCGATCGAGATACCGGAACTCTGATTCTACGTGTTCTCGTCGCGAAAGATATACCCATCCGGTGGGCTAGGTTTCGTATTCCGGGAACGCCGTAAGACGCAACGCAGATTCTTTGCGACGCACAGCGTCGGTATGTTACAGTCGAGGTGACTCAAGCGCAACGCGTCCTTTTAACAAACTCGTTCTGGGCCGCGGCGAGGCCAAGAGGCCTCCTTTCCCTCGACCAATGGTGTAACCGCTCACGATTTCAACTCGCGGCTGTAGTATACTGTGCATAACCTGGTTGATTTTAGTGGTTTTCCTCTTCGAGGATGTATTCTAATTTAAGACGTTAAAATGACAACTTTCAGAGAGGAAAATTTACAGGTATATTTATTCGGCGTAGAAATTAATTCCGAGCCTATACATTCTATCATTTATGCATATCTTTTGTTTAAGGAGAAATATTTACTCGTGATTTGGTTACGTTAAAGTACCTTCTTAATTCTCAATCGATATTCATACAGTTTTATTTATTACTCTTCTTCTAACGGATTGCAAGTGTACTTGATTATTCTAATAATTGTAGGAGAATAGGAATTATCAATATTTTATGGTTATTAAAATTCATGTAGATGCATTATAGTGACCATTAGATTAACTTTACGTTTTGTGTATAGATAGGTAGATTAAATTATAATAGGGATCAGAGTGAAAGTTTAGGAGGTTGGTACTTTAATGTACGAAAATGGCGAGTAAACATATGTATCTATTTACATATAAATAGATTTACTATTAAAGGTAAAGAATTAATTTCTACAAGTACATTTGAACTATTGTTGTCAGAATTAATTTTAATGATGAATTCTTTCCCCTGCAAGAAGACCAAAGTCGTCTCATATTTTTCAAATAGCGCATTAAAGCACGTTAAAAAGGCATCCAGTAATACGAAGTCAAGTGTCATTTTAATTGTCCGATCCTGGAATAACTTAATTAATGTCTGCATTATAATCCACGAGTCGGTCGACGATACACGTCGACGCTCCGCGTTCAGACGGAAACATAAACAAATAACACTGTTTCCTTGATATTTAATTTTCAGTTACTTTTATGATCTCCCGCGTGTTTTTATCTACCTTTGCGTTTGCATGTGATACGTCGAGTTTATTTTGGCGTTGACCAACTCGCGGATCGTACTTTATACATTAATTCAATTATTTTGGGATCGCGTAATCGAAATAATAATTATTATTATGGTACCGAATCGATTCTCCAATGAAGTATCGGATTTATTTAAAAAAGATATTTTCTGAGGTTTGTTTTTCTATTGTTTCGAATATACTTTTATTGAAACTTTAGACCGACTCAACGGAGTAATTTTGTTGATTTTTGGAAATATCTCATTTTCATTATTCGTAAATTTTAATTGCCCAAATAATGATTCCACGAGCCAATAAAAATAAATTACCTGCGTCCTAGTATAATTTTAAAATGGTGTCCATCTTGAAATACTTTATTGTACCACGAATACACAGTTGATTGTTTATTCGTTACTCGAGATCTCTATCTAGGCAATAATTCTACCCACCTTCGATATTAATGGTTCTACCACGTAGAAGGGCTCTGACCACCGAAGTTATGTTGCGCTGGGTTCGGTGGGCGTCAAGATGGATGACCATGCGGGGTGCCTAGATGGTCGAACCAATAACCCTGGTCGATTCTCGAAAGATTCTCTTACAAAACTGCTCGCGTACTTTTTTTTTCTTTTCTGTACGGCACTGATCACCTAGAAACCCTAGGAACGTGGAACAAGCCTGACCAAAAATTCTCATGGGGCTCAAAGCAGCTTCCGCGATCTCTATTCAAAGACCATTGTACGCAAACGTTGGTACGGGCCGATTCACCTAATTCAGCAGCCTTGAATCACTCTGCAACTGTTCTCGTCGAATGAAAGGATCGCTCGAAAGAAAATAGACACTGTATCAAAGGAGACCTGTTACATGCATTAAGCCTGTGTGTTCTGAATCGTTAGAAGATAAATGAGTAATTATTTTCGGGGACTTTGAAAAAAAATGAAAATCACTTTGGAGCAAATTGTTCTCTTCTTGTCGAACTACATACACCCAACCCTACTTTAATACAATTAATTTCTAAAAAAGAAACTAATAGAATACAAATAAAAAAGATCGACTTGAAAGGATTAGTATGTGTACCAAAAAATAATTTTGAAGTATGCCTGCATACACACACACCCTAAAGATACGAATCAGCCATCTTCTTCGTCGCGCTACGAAACTCTGCTCCAATTCAGTTTCGATGCAACGCCCCAACATTCGACTCTGTAATTGGAAAGAGTATATCGAACGCCGTGGAAAAAGTGTTACGGTACATTAGGCGCGAAGTTAACAGTTATCGAGATATTCGAAAAATAATGTGCCATTTACTCTGTCGGGCTGGGCGCTCCCCCCTCGGCCATTTCGCCCATCCAATCACGAGGTCCCGGATTCAAATTTTGTCGCCACATTATTCTAGGAATATCTCTCCGTGTAACTGTTAACTTTAGACCCGCTGGACCTACGTGTTGGGTGAATCACCCTGAGCGTGCACGTAGGCCCGATCGGAGATAGGCAGAAATTTATTCTAATAATAGTACACGAATAGGAAGTCCCGCCCAAAGATTTATTCGTAGCTCGCATTCGATCGGACGGTTATTCGGATAATTTGATTGCAATCTCTGTCGAGCAACGAATGAAACGTTCATAAATGTAAGATTACTTGCTCCCGTTATAAACTACAAATTTTTAGTGCAGATATTCATCTTTGCGAGGGAGTGTTGGCATGTTGTATTCTGGCTCTCTAAAACCAACCCTTCTTTATTCTGTAGTTTTGTCTCCCAGTGACGCAGGTTTTTTTAAAATCTTCATGTTTATCTTCCATTAGATACCCAGAAGGAATATATGTAGGATTAATTACCCACCCACATGTACAAAGTACATACAGACTTTAATTCTTGTCCAAAATTGCGTACATTTCGTAAATTAATCGGACACTCGTTTGCGGATGAGAATTCGTCGAAATGGATGGGTGGTCGCGGGGAAGGTGATTCTCATACGATGGGGTCGGAGCGGGACTGATGTGGAAGCTAATGTCTATTGCTAGCGTCGCTGGTGATTTGGATTCCAACTAAAACCGTAGGTCTTCAGCTAATGACCATGGTAGCGGTGTCCATTAACGCGAACTGACAAACAGAACCGACGGAACTTGACATGAACGCGTCGTAAATTCGTTGGGAATGCGGAGCAGGTTGCTCGGAAGCAGCTTCTCGTTCGGGAAATATCGAACGACGCCCGTGACGGGTTAGGTCTCGTGACGTAGGCCCCTGCCACAGGTGTCTCCTCACCGAACGACGCGTTAAACGCCAGCGACGAGTCGCTTTCCGGCCGCTTCTTCCATCGCGGCATCGGTGTAACGTTAAGCCGCGTTCTCACACATGTCGCGCCGCGAAACACGCTTCCCCGCGAGGTTTCGCAGAAAATTCGTTGCCCGTGACGCATTGTAACAAAAACGAAACAGGTAGCTGGGCAATAAATTAGGAGATTGGATAGTCATCTCGTTGGAAACGGTTTTCATTGTTGGATAAACGAACACACCTTTTGCGCCTTAAATAATGAACCGTAGGGGTGAGAGTCTTTAATCGAAAGTTAAAGAGTTAACGTATTAGGTGTAGAAATTCACTCTGGGACTTTATATTCAATCGTTTAGAAATTTTAGATTATAGATTTTGGATAAAAATAATTTATTAGTCAGTTTATTTACATTACTTAACTTCTAAGTTCTCAACCTGAGTTTTATTATAACGAATCTTTATGTAGATTCATAGAAGTCTCAACCTGATGGACATTATTGATAATCATTAGGATAATCATTCATAGAAATTAATTCTCCGTCTTCAAATTTCATTATTTATAAATCTAGTTTAAACAGAAACATTGAACAAGTACTAAATACAAACTTAAACGTGGAGTGTTTTAAATTGCAGTACGTTTTCCATCGTTCGTAATGTCGTCCATTACTGGTTAATCGATTTCCCTTTTAGTGACGTTCTTCCGGTCCCCCGCGATGCACCCAGGTAATCCAAGCGCATTAGTAAAACATGGCAGAGATTCGTCGGAGGCTTTGCGTTTCCGCTGGTTCTCGTCGATGGCACGCGAGCAAGAAAGTAGTATCGAAAAGTAAACAAAACGCGGCGAGCGTATCGGCGTGGGTCGGTTATAGCGAGGGAAAACGTAAACTACGATGGGTCGATGGATGCAGGTAAGATTGCGGGAGGGGGCAGCGAAGGAAGAGGGTTAGGGGGAGCGAGAATGGATTTATAGAGAGACAAGCAGACGTAAATATAGACTCGTGCATAGGCAGCGGAAAGATAGGGGCCCGTGGGAAGGGGGAGATGCGCTCAGGTGAGAGACAAAGGTTGAAGGGAGAGGGGAAGAAGTAAGAAGAAGGTTGGAAGGAAGGGGAACAACGATCCCTCGATGAAGAACGATGAAGAAGGGGAACACCGAGTCGTGCCAGCTGGATAAGAGAGGGAAGAGGTCTTGTGATATCGGCGAGAAGTCAAACCGGTGACTTTACCGTTATGCGACCTAATGACGGGACACCGTCGAATGTCTGGTCCAGAGATGAACAAATACATACGTGGCTGAAGAAAAAGTTTCCAACTACGAATTAACATTAAAACTATCGACTTTCGACTCGTGCCTTTTGTGCAGACTATTTTGAAAATACGGAGTGGAGGGACGAATCAATTAATATTAGACGTATAATATATAAAACACTACGAATGATTCAATTTCTCTTCCCGAATACAACAATAGATGTTTCGTGAAATGAAACAATTATATACGTTTGAAACGTATCATTTTACTTGGTGATTATTTATTTTGGAACTGCGTATACATGTGTTTCACTTCAGATTGTAAATGGACAATCGTTTCCATGCATACCATACACAGTAAAATAGTTCAGAGCCTTTAATAATTGTCATTGACGTGGCAAAGTAATTTACAATTTTTTTCAAAGCTTCATTGAAAAATATAACAACTGGTAGTATCCACGCTCCCCAGACCCAACAATAAAGAGTCAAGAACACAGAATGGTATAGGGTGCAGGGATAGTTCAGTGGGGAAAAGCGAGAACTGCCATTTCGAGGGTTCCAAGTTCGAACCCCTGTGCCCTTTAGTTTTTCTTTAGACTCCTTACACAACTTTCATAATAATTTCTTCTATGAAATATCTAAACCAAGCGCTGCTCCAAAACGCCTCGACCCCAATTCGTTGAAATGTCAATATCAGAACGATCAAACCAGAATTAATCTCGAGCAATCCCAGAAAATAATTACCAGTCCAATCGAATAACCATCGCGAATAAATCACCCTGAATGCGTCGTCCTTACTCCGTCATCTATTATGCCGATAAAATTGTATCCATCTTCGGGTCTGGCCGTCGCAACGTCGCTCGTTTCGAATATGGATATTACCAAGACGCGTGACATTCGTCGAAACGATCGCAAAGCCATGGCACCCATCTGCTCCCTCGATCCACCTGGTCGCGGGGTCGCAGTGTGTTTCCCTCGTATCACGCAATCAGACGCTTCTGTGTAGTAAACATTTCCCCAGAAGGTGACCCGTATTTTAAATATTCAAACCTACGAACGGTTGGCCGGAATTCATCGCTCTGACAGTTATCAGTTATTCAATGCAACGACCGTTCGTACGGATAATTGGTAATCAATTATCGCCAGACGTATACTCGATATAGATAATCAATTATTAAATATCGAATATCGATTTGGTATTCCACTGGAGTGGAACGTAATTATATTATATTTCGATCTTTTCTCTTTACAATTAGAAAGATCAAATTTTGTTGATAACGTCACTTCAGTGATGGGGAAACGACATGGAACAATGAAAAATGTTCTCTTTGTTCTCGGCAGATTATATGTCAATTTTTCTTCGCTTTCTTTCTGTTGCCATTTCTACATATAATCGTTGAAACTCATCGTGATTTATCATTGATTATTTATCATTATTTATCATTGATTACGTTTCATTTTAAAACCTTATTGACACTAGGTTTGTGGCCATTTTTCCAATTCACAAGGAATATTAAAGAAAGCGTTCACATTTTTCGCCAACCACTCGTGCTAACTTTCATCCGCATTACTTTAGGAAAACATATAAACGTGATCAAAAAGTGATCAAAAAGAAAGCAATGCAACAAAGATACATCCAACTTCCGTAAACCTAGCGTTAAATGCCCATAGGTTAAATCATCTCTGAGTCTAATTTGTTCCATTCGCATTTCTAACACACTTCCACCTACTCATGATCCTCATCGAGCCATCAATAATACTCTCTCAAAGATACCCTGAAAAATTACCCAAACTCTTCCTCCACATTTTCATCACGCCTCCGCGAGGCACCGCTTTGAAGTTCAGCTCGCCAGGCGTTAAATTCCACCCGAAGCAACGTAAACAATGCCAAGATTGTTTCGCGAGCTAACTAATCCCCCTAACTGAAATTTCTTAAAAATACCCAAGCAGTCTCGCAATTAGCGCGGAGAGACTCTGGATCGGGGATGGGGCGAGGAAAAAAAAAACATGGGAGGCGACGAAGCCAATAAAAGAGCCCCCTACGAGGGCAAGAAACGGGGATGCGTTTCTAACGAGGGCGTCTCGGCGTGTTTCAGCAGCGGCGCAGGGTCGCGTCGAGGAGACGCAGATGGACACGCACGAGGGGTCCACGGTGCAGCTGCAGTGCCGTTTCTCCGCGCCCAGGGAGAACGTGACGTGCTTCTGGTTAACGCACACGAACGACAACCACGACAACGCGGCGGTGGACAATCGGGAGCTGTCGCCTCAGTACAAGGTGTTCATGAATCTCGAGGAGGGCCGTTACGATCTGCAGATACGCAATGTCTCGTACGAGCGGGACAACGGGAAGTACGAGTGCAGGGTGAAGGCGAACGGCGCTGGGATCGACCTGCACCGGAAGTTCATCACTCTGACGGTGCTCAGAGCGCCGGGCCCTCCGACGATCTCGCCGACCTCCGCGTCTGCCACCGAGGGCCAGAAGCTCGAGCTACAATGCAACACGAACGGCGGCAGCCCCGAGCCGGAAGTGAGGTGGTACCGCGGCAACGAGACCGGGATTCTCTACTCCGGCAAGACGTTGTTAGTAGAGCCGAAAAAGGAAGACGACAGGGCGACGTTTCGTTGCGTGGTGAGGAACCGAGCGATGCGCGACGGAGAGACCTTAAACGCGACGGTGACCCTCGACGTAAACTACTTCCCAAGGGTCACCGTCGGCCCGGAGAACCCGCTCAAGGTCGAGGTGAACGGAACGGCGAACCTCGAGTGCCAAGTGGACTCGAAACCGGCGGTTGGCATGGTGCGATGGTGGAGGGACGGTAGCTTCGTCGCCACCAGCTTTCAGCACACCATCAGGAGGGTCACCGTGCAGGATTCCGGCAAGTACACCTGCCAGGCGGACAACGGTTTGGGAAAGAGGGGCGAGAGTTCTCTTATACTGGACGTTCTTTATCCTCCCACGGTGTCGATCGAAGGCGACTCCCTGAGGATCGCAGAAGTCGAGGACACGGTCACCGTGCACTGCAATGTTACCGCTAATCCACCGCCATCGGTGATCGAGTGGCTGCGGGAAGGTCGACCTGATTTCAGACAGATCGGTTCGATTCTTCGATTGAGCCGGGTCACAGCTGATCACGCTGGAAACTACACTTGTAGAGCGGTGAACACGATATACCCTTCTGGTGGAGAGCGCAGGAATTATTCAGCTTCTGCTCGTCTGACTGTGCGTGTTAGACACAAACCAGGACCGGCAAGAGTGACACCGGATTCTCCAGTCGCTGTGGAGGGATCCAGGGTGATTCTCACCTGCATGGCTAGTCCGGCAGGATACCCTGAACCCAGGTACAAGTGGTGGAAGGAGGGGGAAGCTGGCACGATATCGATGACCTCGGAGAACACCGGGCCTAAGTACGAAATCGACTCCGTGCATCTTGGCAGCGAGGGGACCTACAAGTGCCATGCCACCAACGAGATCGGTAACGGAGAACCAGCATCCGTTAACTTGACCGTCCACCAGCCACCAAAGATACTCACCAAGCTGCAACCTCACGTTACTAGAAAGTGAGTACCTTTAAACATTCATCTCTGTACAAGAATTCTTTTTCGAAGGTTTTAAGGGCGTACTCCTTATTTTTGTTGGACCGATGTTCGTGAGTTTTTTTAGAGTTAGAGTATTTGATATAAACTTTCGAAATTTGGCAGGTTTATTCAAACATTTATGTAGAACAGTCCGTTAAATTTATAATAGCCTTGGCCAATTCGTTTCGAAGTTACTATAAAATGTCAAGTCGATTGATTTCAGTCATATGCTTCGAACTTCTTTTTAAAATCACTCGATTATTGATAACGCTTTTACTGCATGAATATACATATAGACATATGTATTTGACCCAGAAAAGAGAAGAACCCTTTTCATATATAATGGGAAATGTTCAAATTTTGCTTAAAAAATGTTTGACTCTCGTGAAAGAATCGAATGAAATATTTCCTCTTATTAATAAATGAATTAGAGAACACGTTAAATTCTGCACCAATTCGATGAACGTAATTGTTTACTCAGAGATTATATTTTATCATATTTGAGTTGAAAATTAGCACTACCTATCATTGAAGTTGTGTGTAAATGGTCATCTGTTAATAATTATCAGTATAATTAATTAATTATCTGTAATGTTAATCGGCAGATCGAATTTAACCCGTGGCACGTAATTCGCGATCCATGGCCTACACGATCAGTTGCATATTAATTATTTATGCATTATAGAAAGTACCCAAATCACATGAGAATCGATTTCGCAGACTCGCTTCAAAATTCATATCCGAAACAGCTTCCCTCAACTAAAATGGACTCTTAAAGGCTACCATCGTAATATTTCTATCCTTTAGTTTTTAAAGCTCACGATTTCAAAACAACACTTTAAATTTCATGTCTAAAACCCCTTACTTCAATTAAAGTAGACACTCAAAGGCAACACCATTACAATGTTTCAACCCTTCTGCTCTAAAAGCTCACAATTTCGAAGCACCCACTTCAAATTTCATGTCCAAAATTCCTTTTCCTCAACTAAAGTAGACACTCAAAGGCAACACCATTACAATGTTTCAACCCTTCTGCTCTAAAAGCTCACGATTTCGAAGGACCACTTCAAATTTTATATCCAAATCATTCCCGTTCCTCAACCAAGCCCCTGAAAGGCTACCACCCCAATGTTTCAACTCTTTCATCTCCTATCCATCCACCTCCGACCTCCTACTCATAAGGAAAAATTGCTAAAGGAAAACGTTGTTTTTGCAGAGTCGGCGAGTCGTCGTTCCAAATGTCCTGCGTGGCGCAGGGCAAGCCTCGTCCTAGCGTGCGCTGGCTGAAGGACGACCAGGAATTGACCGCAGACGAGCGTCTGTACCAAGTGACGAGCACCGCCTCCGAGGGTCACGGGAACGTGATCACCGTGAACTCGACGTTGAGCTTCCTCGGGCATGCCCGTCCCCAGACCGACGAGATCGTGGCCAGCGATCGGGGCAAGTACACCTGCGTGTTCGTGAACGAGGTGAAAAAGGTCGAGTCCACGATGATGCTGAAGGTGGAACACGAACCGATTGCCCTCCACCACCACGGGAAAGTAGCTTACAGTCTAAGGGAGACTGCCGAGGTGGCGTGCAAAGTCCAAGCCTGGCCTAAGCCCGAGTTCCAGTGGAGTTTCGGAACCAACGCAGCGAGTCTTCAGGGTTCCTCTAGCGACGGCCACTACGAGATCTCCACCACCAGCGACAACTACGACGTGTACACCTCTGTGCTCAGGATAACCAACATTCAAGAGCAGGATTACGGGGATTACAGTTGTCGAGCAGCAAACGCTCAAGGTAGCATCACCTCGACGATCAGACTCCAACCCAAAGGTCCACCAGAGAGGCCCATCAACATCTCCGCGATGGACGTCGGTCCTACCCACGTAGCCCTGTTCTGGGAACTAGGCTTCGACGGAGGCTTGCCCATCACCACTTACTTCGTGTCTTACAGACGCGTGCCAGGCAGCGACGAGATCGTTGCCCCGGAATGCGCAGCTCCTAGAACCCCTACCGATGAGTGGCTAGAGCTCGACTGCCGTCGATCCAACCCCTGCAACGTGACCGACCTGGAGCAGCACCAGACCTACACGTTCAAGGTGATGGTGTTCAACACAAATAACCACTCAGACTACTCCGACGAGGTGACAGCGACCACCGCCGTGGCGAAGATCCCTGCGCCTCTCAGGGTCAGCTACGATCCCGAGAGCGGCATGCTCGCCATCAGCGTGGGAGCCACGTGTCTATCGTTGGTCGCCTGGATCGAGAAGCTCGACACACCTTCCTCGACGGACGAGTCCCTGTGGAGAATCCTGGACGAGTGGCCCTTAGAGGTTCTAGGCAGCGCGCCTACCCAAAGGGAGGGAGTCTTAGACGATCCTGAAGCGCTCGACGCGGAACCCAGGCTCAGAGTCAAGCTGTGTCTGAAAGCTGACAAGACGAAGTGCGGCGAGTACGCAGAGGCTGAGAGTGAGTATATGGTTTCGTTTCTCGTGAGACTAACGATGTCTTGGATGGGCAATTTCCAATGGATGCTGAACGATCCCCCCGTCTGATCCATTAGTTGGACCTTCGTACATCGCCCAGGCTGGAGCCCTGGCGACGCCCACCTTGATCGCTCTCGTAGTCAGCGGGGCCGTCTTCCTGCTCTTCGCCGCCCTCCTTTTGCTCTTTTGTCGGTGTCGACGAAAACACGCCACCAAGGCCAAGGACTACGAGATGGACTCGAACGCGTAAGTCTTTTCGACGAGGTGGCGAGTGGGACCCTAAAGGAAGCTGGCTAGAGAGTCTTTTAGACTCTTAGTGGACAGAGATTTTATTCGATATTACCTTGGCTTTCTATTTTGGTGTCAGTAGACTGTGGATTTTTATGGAAATTTAGATTTTTACAGATTTAGATACAGAATTGAGATTTAAGTGGAAGTACGTCTTATTTTTCAAATATGGTGCAACATGTAATTTATTGTTGCTATTTTATACAGTCAGTCCCATAAATATTCGTTACCTGTAGATCTATTGAAGAAATTTGTTTAAATTAAATGGTAGGTTTGATGTTGCCAAATGTATGTTTGTATAAATATGTTGATATACATATATAAATATACACATCTATATGCTTATTCATGTGCATATTTATAATGAAAAATTCATTTGGTAATATGAAAACCATTATTTAACTTCTCCAATAGACATAGAGGGTAGGAATAGTTACGGAATTGACTGTACATATATCTTTCCATTCATGTACGTCCCCAAAGATTCTCTTATATTTATACTTGCCATAAATACGCATAAACATCCACAGTCTTACGTATTTTAAATATTTCACATACTTTATGTACTTATAAATTCATCAGTAATAACCCTCCCACTTGTAAACAGTACGCTACATTCCAAAAAATGATACAAATCGCAAATTACACCGTGAACATTAATCGGCTCTTATATTTGAAGTCCAGAGAGGCACCCATTAGTCAGCTTCCGAGGGCTTCCCGTCGCGCAGTGGCCACTCGATTCTCGTCGGCTATAGGAAACTGATTCTGACGTTCTTTGACTTTGACCAGGGTCCGACCGAGTCTGGTTGCGGGAAACGGTCAACAAAGTCAGGCACCGCCGCCCTACTACGCGGAGAACAAAGCTCTCGAGCACAGCTTGGATCACGCCTTGGCCATGGAGGACTCGAAGACGCCGGCGTACTCGCAGCCTGGATACGGATACCATCAACCGAATCACAATATCAACGGTAAGGACATTGTTGGGAATAATATCAATTATCGTCCCGATATAGTCTACGATGGACGAGTCGGGCAACTAGGACGATCCCTTTTTCCATCGCGGAAACAATGGCCGAGTAAAAAGTTGAACGCTTTAACGACGCCTAACTTTCTATGATTATACTTTTTCCGCGAGTGCAACCGGATAACGGCGAAGCGCGATGGCAATTTGCCATTTCTTTCTATGTTCAACAATAAAGAGACGTGGCCTAGTTGCGTGACTCGAGTCACGTATGGTCCGGATCATTCGCGTGGTAGTTACTGGGGGGAACGAGAAATTCGTGGGGTTGTTTACGTTTGGGACATGGACATTCCACGCCGAATCGATCACTTTTGCGGTGATAGAAGTTCTATACTTTGTTCATCGTGCCTATTTAGGGGGAGTTTAAGTCACCACTTTGGTGTATTGGAAATTGTTTGATACATATGGACCCGCTTCAAAGCTGGCAATTTTTGTAAAAATTGATTCTTCGCGAGGGAATTTTTATTTCGGAAACTGTTGAACGTGCAGCATTGATTTTATTTTCTGCAGTAGCCTGTGGAGTTGCTTTGTATAACTTGCACATAATTTTCTCAATCGACAGATCGGATTTAAAAAATATTAATATTTTTAATATTCAAAGATACTTTCAAAACATAAAACGAACATGATATCGAAACCGCCCTGGGCTCGAAATTTTTTTAAACGATGTCAAAAACCATAAAGCGACAATTTACAATTATACTCGTCCCATTCTCACGTGGACAACAGCATATTTCAATTCGACCAAAATCCTTTTGACATCAGCCACCCCAAGTGTGAATCGATTTGGCGCGTGCACGTCCGCGGAAAACAATTTCACCGGGATTGTGTCGTTCGCATTTTTGTCCACGGTCCCTTGATTAACGAACGTCGCTTGTGGACAGGTGTGAACATGGGTTACATGGACAACAGCTACTCGAACTCGAATAACGGCGGCTCCGTGAACTCTCAGGACTCCATCTGGCAGATGAAGTCCGCCGCCGCGAACGGAGTCGGCCAGGCATACGACCTGGCTGGCTACGCAACCACCGAGTCGGATTACCCGACCCACCCTCATTACCTCCCTCAGCGGGAGGATTACCGGGAAAGCCATAATCTAAGTCGACAGCAGTTTTGCTCGGAACCATTCGCCACCGTCGTAAAGTCTCAAAAACACGTCGGTGAGTACTATTCTTTGGTTGAACTTTCTCGTTTCCGCGACCGTCTCTTCCCCCCTCGCTTTTTCCAATTCCACGTTTCACCATCCTACCGACCGCCACCTTTTCATCCCCTGACACGATCGACCCGCGCGTCCACCCGATGGACGTTCAATTCTATCTGTCGCGAGTTCTCTCAGCCAATTTAGTCATACGAAAGTTCGAATCGGGCCACTCTTACGGGGATGTCGACAACATCTTGACATGAGGCTGTTGATGGCCTTAATAAGTCGAGGGGCAGACGAATGTCTGGATAGAAGAGTCCTTGAAAAGTTAAGATTTTGTAGCTTCAATGTTAAGATTTCCACAAATCGTTGCAATGTTTAGCTTGAAAGATATTAAGGGTAGAAATTAATTCAGTGCCTTTAGATTCGATCATATTATATGTAGTATCTCACCATACCAACATAACATGTCAAAAAAGAACAAGACTAGTGAAGTCCCGCGATGGTCCAGTGGGAAAGGCGGTTGACTGTGAATCCAGGAGCCTCGAGTTCGAATCCCTGTGGCTTTACCTTACTTTTCATAACGACTTCTACATACATATTATATATTACGATATATATTACCTATATCGTAAATATAATTATTATGATCCTACGTCATCCACCCCCAACCACCTCTCTCGTAGACATTCAATTCTATCTGTCGCGAGTTCTCTCAGCCAATTGAGTCGTAGTAAAGTTTAAATCGCTTCGAATCGAGAGACTCTTACGAACCGTCGAAAACATCTTGACAGGGGCTGTTAATGGTCTTAATAAATTGAGGAGAATCTCGACTGTCTGGAGGAATTCCATCGGGGATTCCGCAAATGACGAAGGGTGTATAAATGTATAGAAACCGGTTGGCTCTGAATCGAAGCGATTAAAGCGGAAATGAATTGTTGTTTAGTAATTACATTGTTCCCAGAGTTTCCCCAACGACACTCGACTGGATTCGATCGTTTCGCGCAGCCGTGATGCCTTTTGTTTTATTCTGCTTCGTTAGCGAATGGGTCGGAAAGATTGACATAAATTTTTAACTAGAATCAACTTTTTGGATTAACAAAATCCATTAGCGGTGAAATGGAAGTTCTGAAAATGAAAATCCAAATGGTTGTTTGAGCACTATTTCGATCGGAGATGACCAAGATTTTTATCTAAGAAAGATCCATTCTCTCGATCCATTTGTTCAAATGGTTTTTAGATTATTTTAAAATTTTTATTAATACTAAGTCTCGTTTAAAATATTTAAACAACTTTTGTTCCATTACCTCTTAGATAAGAATTAAAATGAAATTAAGTTGCAAATACCCCCTATGGAATATTTTCACTTTTCGTGGAGTATTCAAATGAAACTTTGGCCACCTCCAATTTTTGTTTTCTCGACATTTTTCATCTTCTCGCCCATCGAGCTGCGAAGTAAAAAGTAAATTTATCACCTTTTTTTAAAAAAAAAAAAAAAAATATTTAATTAAATATGTCTACCTTTTACCGAATCGTGACACTAGTATTAGAAATAAATTCCGTTGAATTCGTAGTTGCCGCGGGCAAGGCAGGTTAATTCGTCTTTACTCGTTTTTAATTACACGTGCAGCGGTGGAATGGGAGGGAGGAGGGACGCGTTTCTGGTCTGGAAACGACCCAGTTAACAGGTCAAATCATTCACAAGGCGGGGCACTTGAAATTTTCACCCTCCTTCTTGCACATTACATTTTCATAAACTTGATACGAGAGAAGTATTAGCGGCTTTATAACTATAAATATAAATCGCAGCCAGGAAATTGAACAATAATTGTACGCGTGACCCGCGAGATTTGACCCTCGACACTCCACAGTCGCCGTCACGACGACACATGCAGTACGTGCCACAATGTGTTCAAGTTTTATTCGCGGCGACATAAATTGAATTGACGAAATAAATTAATAAAATTTAAATTATGAATAAACCGTGGGTTTTCTGCATTCGTGGCATGGGAACACATCCAGAATATAAGCATAATGGAATATAAAAAGCGGCTATAGGAATTGTAGCGATTTTAAAAAATCCAAAAGAGAGGGGAGAAAATGTGAAACAAATTTTTAAGCGCGATTTCGTATCGAAGAAAATTGAGTTTGCGAAATTCATCGAGCACACATGCGCACGTGTGATCGATGCCCCATTCGGTTATCGCGTCTGTCCATTAATCGCTGTTTCTACTTGCGCTGGTGTTTCCAAACATTGACAGTGGTGCGATATCATCTGTTTTAACTACTTTTAACAAGTCGGATGGTAGTAGATGGATAACAGATAACAGCGTATCGCTATCGCTATTTACAAAACAGCAACAGAAGTAGAAATAATGAGTAATAGATGGACACGATGTCTATATCATACTGGACGATTCTTGGATATCGATTTACATGAAAACGATGCCTCGTGCTAACGCATTCCACCGCATCATGTTTTCCCCATTTATTTTACACGAAGAATTTCCCCCACTGGTTCGAATTGTTTACCGTTGTGGAGGATCATTCCACGCGAAATTGGACACCTTGCGGAGTTACATTTCGCATTTCGCTGAAAATTTGATACTCGCTCAGCTTCTCGTGTAGGAGTTTTCAAAATTTGGACAGTTATTGAATTTACAGATTTTTGAATATTTTATTCGTGATATTTTAATGTTTTTGAATTTTTGCACATCCTCACATCTTTCCCCATATGTATATGTTACGGTGAATATGATAAATGCGGATTATGCATAATTCCCAGTTTATCACATTCACCGTAACATATATGTATATAATTCAACAGTCTCCTTAAAAATGCACAAGTTTTTCTACGATAAATGGACAGTAACATGATCCGGGATCGGATATCTCGATGAGACAATACTAATGCAACGATCAAGCTTTTTTTTTTATTATTATCGTTTTTGTTGTAAAACTGTTATCATCGTATTCCTCACATTTTTCTGATTAAAATGAGACCAAACACGACGTAATTCGCAACATATTTACTACATATTGTCTCAGTGAAATAATCCCGGTGTTGGTCGCCACTTTCGCATGTCGCTCCGTCCTTTTCTTCAAACACTTCATTCTTCAGCATTATTTTATTTAATTCAATATGGCTCAACGTGTTCCACATTCCTGCAACTACGTTTAAAAAAGAAAAACATCCAAAATCATCAAAAAATTTCCCCTGTAACGTCCCCTCGTAACCCCACATAAACCTACAAATACAGGAACATGAATTTTCCCAAGCTTCACCTCGATCCCAACATTGAATTCCCAAGAACTGACATGCCTGTCGAGCAGAAAAAAAGGAACGTGATTTCACGTGGCCGGCAATCCGGTAACTCTCGGCATTCGAAGCGACGCGACCCGAGATCCCTCCACCCAGCCCCGCGTTCTGTCCACCCCATTCTGGTTCTCCGCGCACGTACGCGCAAAAGGGGTTGGGGTTCCTTTTGTTTTTTTCTCCATGGTGCTCTAACAGGCCCTCTTGTTCGTTGTTTGCCCGACAGATTCGCCTTACGACGTGTCCGGTCTACCTTATCAGGAGAACTACGACGAGGACGCGAAGCCACCTCAGCAGGTCAGCCTGTCGTACGACGAGAGCCTAGAGTCGGGCTATTCGACCCCCAACAGCCGCGGGCGGAGGATCATACGTGAGATAATTGTTTGAGATCTGCCTACCGGCTCGCGAGCCGGAACCACGCGCACCACTTGGCTCTAGCAGGAGGCCGCACCCACCGGCCATTATCACCCGGTGGACAACTCGCGCGATCCACTCCGTCATCGAATGGAGATAGTGATCGAGAACCCCGTGGAGTCTCCACCACCACCGCCGCCTCCTCCCCCGCCGCCACCGCCGCCGCCGCAGCCCGTAGCGTCCTCGGCGTGGAACGCTCTCGTGGCAGCCTCTTCAGCAAACGCGACCTCGGTCGCCAGCCCCACGTCCATGCCCGCCTCGACGACCGTGATGACGATCACCATCGCCGAAAATCCCACAGCCCCGACCTACCCTCCAGTTCGCTTCTCCTATCGGGAGAGCTACGCCGCGAACCCCTTGCTTTATGCCGGTGATCCGTACTCCGCGCGACGCAATCAGCCCCGCAGCAGACCCTACGACGATCCCGAGGGGGCGTCCCCATCCGCTCGACGCGTGGACAAGTCAGGTCTGCTGGGAATCACCGAGTCGGACTCAGGGTTACGAAGCAGTTTACGATCGCCGCGGTTCCTCTCCAGCGTTAGCTCTCCTGGGATCGCGTCCCCACGGCGTTTGGAGTGCGTCGGCCAGCTGGACCCAGTGCCGGAGATACCCGGACAATCCACGCGAGCGAACGTAGCCCCTGGAGCCGCTTTCCCCCAGGCGTCGACCACTACCAGCGTCCCCGTCGTGGCTACGTCCATGCTGGAGAGGAGAGACGCTCGACTAGACAACCGCGAGACCCTGTCGGTGATCAATCTCGGAAGGCCGACGAAATCGGCTTCCTACGATTCCCTCGAACCACGGAGGAACGATCGCGCAGAGATCGCGACGATGCAGAGGTTCGAGCGCGACATGGACGGTCACGAGTCGTCGGGCTACGGTTCGTCGTTTCGGTATCAGGAGGCCTGCGACGCCAGAGGACGAACGCTGGGACGCTTGTCCCGGTTCGCCTTGACGAGGAGCGAGCGGGGGAATGACGCCCTCGAAGGTGTAACCAGATACTCCGAGACCTGTTGCAATTTTCCCTTCACGGTTCGCGCCCCGGTGGCATTCCCTGGCTTCGAGGAGCCGTCGAGCCTCCCGTCAACTCGCGCAACTACCGCAACAGTCACCACCCCCACGACCACGACGACGATCGCCAAGTCGAGGGACTCCGACACGGGGAAAGGAACGGAGGACGAGGGCGGTAAGAGTCTGACGATGGGTGAACAGAGGGCAGAGGCAGAGGGATGCGAGCACGGGGCCAACAGGAATCCCATGAAAGACGGGGAATCCCCGAAGAGGGACGACGAGCTTCTAGACAACGACGCGATTCAGACGCTGCGTGTGATCATTCTATCGGAACAGTTGTGAGGCCGTCGTTGATCGACAGTGGACTGACTCGTTTTCTCGCCGACCGATGTATCGTTCGATGTTGTATTATAATTAAGTAGGTGTGTAAGTAACTCGCGACAAGAGGGACGAATGCGATGATGTGCATGGGGGAGTCTTGACGGATCTCGCATTAAAGGCTGACGCTATGCCATAAGAGGCCATACCTTCGTGAAGGAGAGACGGAACTCGTGTACCACGGCGCGAGATTGATATTTCAACACGATTTTCGGAGATCTACCCAACTTGGGAATACCTTCATTCACTCGAGAGTTGGAGCGTCTTCTTCTTGGTCGTTCAAGGTAGGGTTATGCAAGGCGGGTCTTTGGAAAAGTACCCTCCTTAAGATTTTCTTCAAATTTTTACTGTGGACTAACTCTTATTTTCTTTATGTCTCCTAAAAATTTGGAAAGGTGTGGTCGTCTTGGAGCGGAGATATTCGTCTACAGAGTTTTTACATTTTTAACTGGTGAACGTAGTTACGTTTCCATAGGTAATTGGAAATTATTACAGAAATAATATGAAGCGCAAAGAAAGTATACAAAGAAAAAGTGAAAGAAAGAAATATATAAAAATATGGTGTGGTGGATAAAATGACTGACACAACTCGCGATAAAAGAAAAACAGTATATAAGTATATTTAATAAAATATAGGCGTAAAATTATTATTAGATGACGCGACGCTCGTCAATTACTTGATACACCGTCGCACCTTGCAGACCGAAGTTTCTTCATTCACGCTTCGCATTCGACTGTCTGACTGCGTTAAAGAAAAACGCAGCCAAGCTCATTCTCTGCACATCCAAACACACATTCATACACGCAATCCCTTAAAAACTAAACAAGCTATGCTGTATCTTATAATCTAAACACATCGTCGACGGCGCGGCGCGTCGTCGCGCCGAAACCTCTTGACGTGGTGTCTACCTCGTCGCCTGACTTTCGACACCACAATGGTATACCTTTTTTGCGTTGCATACTATAATTGTACGTTTGACTCTATTTAATGATTTCGAGTATTTCTAGGTCGACACATATTTAGCGTACCATGTGCCATTGGTATCACATCCAGTCTTTGTTACAAAATTGAAATAATTCGAAACAGTCCAGCTCCTTTCAAGATAAATCGCGATCGTCGAGGTATTAATTCGATTCCTGAAAGTCGTGGGGAAATATATTCGTCGCGCCCCGTACGTGGAACGTCGCAGCTCGAACGCACCGTCTGAAAGTCGTTTGAGCTGCGACGCGTTGCGCATTTTGTACTTTTATATCGTGGACGACGCCGCCGATTCGAGCGACGAACGATCCCGCGTTCCCCGCGAATCAGCGACCCGGGGAACACCTCTGCATGTACCATAAAATCGACTGCGCCGCGACGCGCTTAGCAAACGTAAGCAATAAGTCTGGCGCTCGAGAACGACGGAAGGCGACGCCTGGCGTCGAAGATCGGGGACGAGCAAGATTCTTGGATAGAAATGTCGAATCAGAGTTTGACAAAACCTTGGGTCTTCGAACAAAACTTGAGGTTCGTCGAAACATATTTTCAAACTTGAAGTTTATTCGAAGGTTGGAGTTTTATTCAGCTCTGTCTCGAATAACGAGTAAAAAACGAGCCTCGATTCGTTAGTCGTCGAACGAAATCTAGAACAAACTTCACAACGAACAAAATAGGAATTTAATCGTTACGAATAAGCAGGTTGCTTTTATTCGTTATTCGTGTAACTCTAATGAAATTCTGCTCATCTCAGTCGCAGAGCGCGCGCAGGTTCTGTCGCAGCGTGGGCCAGCCGAGCGTTAAACTTACAGAGGCCTCTCGAATTTACGCAAAGGAGATAACTTAACGCTTAGATTAATTAACACTTTAAGCCTGAGAACTACTTTCCCGGGTTTGGTACATGAGAAGACGACGTGGTAATGGCGTCAACGGCCTCTAGCTCGTGGAAAGGTGTATGATTGCGTCAGCGTCTGTAAATATGTTAAGAAATGTTCGTATGCTGCGGAGTCGGTTCATGATTTAGCAATGCTAATAAGTTTGATACAGAAAGCAATATTACCTTATTTAAAAATGATAACTCCCCGAAATAGTTCGCTGCTTCGCGTTTAATTCTAATGAATATAATTATTTATTAAAAAACGAGTGAATTGCAAAGTTCAAAAGCTTCCTTCCACTGATTAAATCGACAGTTTAAAGGTCGATCGTTGTATCAATTTAGAGTTTGTGATTATATACTTAGCATCCTGGCTTTGGCTCGCCTCGTTCCTCGACGCAAATAAGCTGTCCGAAGGACTGAGTTGTTTGTACATCAGTTTGCACCCCTTCGAACTAATTATTCACCGATGAACTACCCAGTAATTGGTCAACAAACTATTAGGTAAGGCTCATCAATGACTCAGGCTTGATATTGCTCTCTGTACCAAAGGTATTACCATACAAAATAGAGATGTTCTGTAACATACTAAGATATATCGGGGCTCTCTGAAGTGTAAATAGACCAGGCCCCGATAGGACCTCCCAGCGCCTGCGTTGAATCGGTGACGCTGGGCGACGAAACTCGCTCAACCTGAGAATTTCGAGCGTTCGTCTGTTGTAAATAACGGTAAACGTACCAACCAGTACTTAACGAGCCAGACACACAGCGACAGACCTGGGCCCAGGGAATCCTCGGGCGACTCATCGACCACTCGTTCTTCTTTCGTTTCGAATCGAACTCGAACGAGGGAGGAAAGACTGCTGCAAGAGGAACAATTCATTAATTACGTAAGGACGATTTCGGCGACTTTGTTTATCTCCCCTCTCCCTTCTTACATAAGATTTAACCTAGAGTTACTAAAAATGGCTTTTACCCATCCTCCCCTTAACGCAAGATCATGTAGAGATTTGTTCAACCCCCTTCCTCCCCATCAGGAGCCTTACCTAATTAATGAATGACCCACCAAGCCATTCTTAAGGGTCCCGATCAAATCGCCAGTGCGTTCCTGTGGCTCTTCATCCCGAACTAACGATAGCTACGCTTTTAAACGTAAAGACATTTCTTGGTTCGCGCATCTAACCCCTGCGCGTCCTCTTTAGTTTTGTAGCAATTAACGCGGCGCGTTTAGGAATGTCGCGTACGTAGCGACCTTCGTTGAAGTTGTTATTTTTGTACCGCTCAGCGAACGCCGACGCCGATGCCGACGTTCGTCGATTGGGTGTTTCTTCGATTCGTAGACCTCGTGGTTTAGGGGAGAGCGTGGAAAAGGACCAGCCGAATGAATCATACGCGTTCGTTCCTTTCGACTTGTGATCTCATTTCTTCGCTGAGAAACGACGTGGTGTTTCTTTTTTATCTCGCGGGGAGGAACCGACGCGTCACCCCGGGAACGATGCCCTCCCCGACTCTGCATGGTTCCCACGTTCGCCATTGAAACGCAAATCATGATAGGCTTGGGTGCACGACGCTAGGAAAATTTTGTCTCGCGTCATTCGTTTAGTTTTAATTGTTCAAAGTGACCTAGAAGATTGGAACCCTCGAGTCTTAATTAATATTTTGCCAACAAACGGTATTATACAAATTCATTGCGAGAAGATTGCATCCGAGGAAGAGGCAATCTTCCCGCAACGGAACAGTACGTTCGAAGCATGCAGATTTTTGGCGCCAGGACATCGTCTCCCCGAAACGACGGCAATCGTTCCCCCGTTTATCGACGGCAAACCGACCGACCAAATATATACATATATCGACGTTCCGCTGTCTGGCGAGCGGAACGCCAAGTTCGCTCGACGCGAATTCTCCCAACGCCGAACGCGTCCCTGCCGTACCGAACGTCGGTTGGAGTGAATGTTTCGCGTGCAAATCTGAAGAAAAAAAAAAAATTGATATATATCGAATCGACACATATACATATATATCAATTATCGTCCATTATAGTTACGATATTATTACGAATTATTATTTGTACAAATTTTATGTTGCGATATAAAATAAACTATAAAACGACCAGCTCGGATACGCATTTACCCTAAGAACGCGCATGGAGAAAAATTGAATTTCAAAAAGGAATTTGCATCTTGCCTTGTTTGGACTATGAAGTATAGTGATCGACTCTGTGGTTTTAACAAATTAGTTCTAGCTGTGTTCATATTTATTATCGCGGTATTTGATATTTGACATGGATTTGCATTTACTTTTGTATCACGTATCAGAGCAACTTATAAAATTTGATTCTTTCTTTCAATTTTATTACAGATTTGTCAAGTGAAATCTCTTTATTTAGAATGAAATTCTTGTTCCAACGCTTCTATCATTTATATGAACTAGAAGAAGCCACCTACATTGCCCAACGTCAAAGTATCTTACCCTCGGTTGATACTGATCTAGAATTGAACACTGCTTAATTATCTCGCTATCAGAAGTCTGATACTAATCATGACCATCCTTTTGCTTTTAAAAGATATTCGAAAAGCATTAAATATGTTAATTCCAGGGTAAGTAGATCTCTTCGACTGGACAGTTACTATCCGAGAACCCCTCGATACTAAAAGTTTGCTCGAATTGTATCCAGAGGGCACTACGTGTCGTTCAAATTAAAAGCCACCTGGCGAGGCATCCAGGAACTAGACTGACCTGTAGAGCTATGCATACCGCTTTGCTTGCTCGTCAAGCACATAGACAAGTGCTCTCTTTATTGAGAAGCCACGGGTTAAATTGAACATGCCGAGACATCGATAATCCCTTCGAGGAGGCATGTACGTTCCGTGCCTCGATGCCACGAGCTTGCGCCGTTCGTACGTCATTCGCATAACAGCCTCTAGTCTTTGTGTTTACGTTGGAGCGGTCGGTGCTCGCTCGTGGAAACTTGAAAACCGTTCGAATCGAAGAGCATATGCTTCAATTAAAAGCGCACTAATTTCAATTGTCTCATTCACCTGTATTCGAATGAGAAAAGCACTTCTCAATTTTTGTATGAAGATGAAAAATACGTAAACCGTACACGTGGATAAGTTCCTTGCCTGTTTTATGGAATTTCGTGGTGTGTTTAAATTAAAATCGCGAAGGTGATTAGTAATCGACTAATCAGTGATCACAGTTAAGGAGTATGAGAGCAGATACTTAAACTTTAAACTAGTCTATCATCGAGAGTTTCTCACTCTCCATGGTAACGAGTTTAGGAATCGATACCTCAAATATCCACTATCGAGGCCAACTGCAGAGATGAGCAAGATTCGTACCGATATAAAATAAGGTAAACAATTTCTTTCCGTTGGAGTTTGAATTGTAGACTTAAATTACATCTCATGTTAGACGAATAAGAAGTGATCTGCAGAGTACTAAATGACATCCCTCGGGTAATGTTTAAAAATCAAGTCCGCCAATTATCAATACGCGAGACAAAAGCTAAGAATTTTTTTAAAGTTCAAACGAGTCACAGAAAAACAAATCGAATGAAACGATTGGTTCGCCCTAATTATTATCTGCTCGAACTATTCTTCAGAAATTTTTCGTTATTTTAAGCAAAGAGGACAGCAATGCTACCACTACGTATCCCAGATGATCTATTCGAACACTGACCACGTCCAGCGCGGCTCCACTTCGATAATCGAACGAGAATTGCCTAGATCTCGTTCGATCCGGCTCGGCGGAGACAGTGTGACGCCGCGCGAGAATATAAACACACGCGTCGTCTACTCTCGGCTGCATCATCGATATCAACGCGGGGATCGGCCTTGAACGACGGCTTTCGTCTAGCGTAAACGGAAGAAAGGGAGAGTCCTCGTCAACAAACGCATCGATTGACGTAGGTAAGCACCAAACCCTCGCCAGAGCATGGTACTCTCACGTCTGGAACAAGCTGGGTCTGAGAAACAAGAATGAATTCTAATTATTTCCTAGTGTGGAGATAATAGGAAACGATGTCAATTCGAGGGGATAATTCATTTTGAATCAGTCATAAGTGACTGACACTCTACCAGCTCGTGTAACTTGTCTATAACACCTAAAGTTCAAGTCTTTCTTTTATTCGCTCTTCACATCTATTTAATTCTTGCCTTACATTGCATTTGCATTTCATTACATGCCCACCTTGATAACTGTACTATAGCTACGATCAAACATAGCTACATCTCCCAAGGACTCAGTACCTTGCAGACATCGTAGATTATTTATCTGTATCCGTTTTGCTTACCACAAAACAATGCCTTAAGACAGTCGTGAATCTACCTCTCTACCCCGTTCCCCAAAAAATGAGATACATTACACCCAAGAAACAGTGTTCCTCTCCAGTCTCCACCCCCCCAAAGCTCCCATACTGATACTTCCCCTTGTCTGTTCCAATAGATCTGTGGAATCGATACCTCGAGGCTGTCGCAGGACTTCGGTCGTGTTAGTCTTCTGGTTTCCCTTGGCATTTCTCCCAATGAGAGATCTCCCGTGGACACCCGCACACGGAGGTGGTTCCACGTTGCGTGAACGCGCGTCCGCGGTCGAGGACGTCGACGACTGCCGCGGAGGAAGAGGACACCGTCGATATCGACCGTGGGGATGGCCGGGAGGGAGGAGGGCGAGGGCGAGGGCGCAGCCGCCGTCTCTCCGCGGAAAACTAGGCCAACGCTGCGCGAAGTCGGCCGTCGCTGTATCAACATCTTCAGAGCCTTCTGTGCCGGGGACGTGATCGTTGCAGGCGGGGCAGCCGCGTCAGCAGCCCCCTTCCCAGCCACCGCCTGTCGCGAGGCGCAGCTCCCGACCATGGGCAACCTGCAGAGCGACGCCAAGAAGAAGACCAAGAAGTCCAAAGGCGGCGTAGACGGGACACCCAGCGCTCACGGCTCCGTCGCCGACGGCCTCGAGGATGGAGCCGATACACCGGACGACGGGGATGCGGCGGAAACGGAGGAGACGCCTGCTAAAACGCCACATGGCTCGGGGAAGACGGAAGAGGTTCAAAGGATCGGGTTCGAGAAGATGCGAGCCCCTCATCACGGCAAACGGCAGGCTCCTAGACCACCTGGACCCACCGAGAGAAAGGTCAGGGAAACGCTCGAGGGACATGTTGGTTTTCGTTTTTTCCAGCCGGAGAGGGAGAATTTTTTGAGGAGGTCAAGGTTTTTTCGGGAGCGAAGATGTTGGCTCGGTTGGGAATTTTAAATGAGGGATGGTTCCTTAAGGGTGAGAGTTCTTTGATCCTTCCCACTGAGAGGTATCCACTGACGCGGTGTTGTGGGCTTTTATTTTAATTTTTTGGAAACAGTTATTGTCTCTATCTAATTGTCACTAAGGTATATAAAATATCAACAAATAATATACAGTCAGTCTCGTAAATATTCGTACCTTCTAACATACATACAAGTGTAAGAGTTATTCATGTACATATTTATAATGAAACGTTTATTTGAAAATATCAAACCTATCATTTAATTTAGATTTCTTTAATAGACGTAAAAGGTACAGGTAATTATGAGACTGACTGTATTTGTTACACCATTCAGGAAATGGGATTTATGAAAATATGAATATGCATAAACATCCATAGCCTACTGATGGACCATTTTTCCAATTGGTCCTTCTTCTGTCTTTTAACTGAACCAAATAAAAAAAAAAGCAAATATCTATTTTATAAAATTCCTTGAATCTCCGTCTGTAATAGGTCCAGCAGGTCGAAGCTGAGCCTGCTGAGAAGCCGTCGCAGGATGCCCAGGAGAAGTTGGAAGACGAGACCAGGTCTCAGCGATCAGTAGACACGGTTGAATCGACGACAACGAAAACAGAGGTAGAATCGCCAAAGACGCTGTTGATACCGGTCTCTGTTCCCAATCAGCGTCAGGGGCCAGCGATTCTAATAACGGACTCGTGGCGACTAGCCAACAAGGGTTGCGTGGTGACGGAGATCTCGATGCCAACCAGCCAGGAATCCTCCAGTGATAGCGTGTTCACCGATCCCGAGGAGCTTGCTGAAAGCGCGAAGAAGGGCCTGCCTACGGTGACCTCCTCGTCCTCGATAGTTCCGAATCAAGATGGCGAGCAGACCCGATTATCTCCTCTAACTGGTGAGTCCTTCTTTTTCCTTTTTTTTTTTCTTAACAGTTTATTTACCGGGAGCCTATTTATAGGCTTTTTAATTGCAGTATCTAGTTATTCGAATTTATTTACTGTGTCGATGGTTGTCTACGAACAATGTTCAGTTTTTGGAAACAGTCTTGGCTTTCAATGTACCCAGTAACAGTATGGAGGAATTATTGTCAGTTATTTCTACATATGCTACTATAGAAAATTCTTTTTTTAATTAAAGACTGTTTCTAAATACCCCGGTAGATAAAGTGTTAATATTGAATCCGAGTTGAGGAAACTTGGTCTTCGACGTTGTAACCATTCAGGGTAGATAGTACTTGACGAGACTGTTTGGTGTTCCTGTACAAAGGCGTTGATCAAATGCTTAGAATTATGCTTCCGAAGTCCTCCTGTAAGTCATCATTAGTATAAAAAAATTCTTTCAAGATGACTGTCAATGTATACCCTAACTGCGAAGGGTTAATTCCACTTTAGACTGCCCAAAGAAATTTTTCCTCTATCGATGGAGGAAAGGGGAAGTTTGGAAACACTATCTTAGGGGATTCCACACGTGAATGTTCCCGACTCGTTCGTTGCGATAGTTTACCAGAAGATCAGTGAATGTCTTCGATAAGAGGCGCGATAATAGATATCTGGGAGGCGTGATTTCGCCACGTGTCGAGCTCGTGGTCTCCTCAGTCGTGCGCGTTCCGTCGCTAACGATGGACCCGTCTTCCGTCTCGAATCGGAAAAAGTTGTTCCTGAAGTTTCATGGCGTCAATCCAACGCTGAAAACGTCGAGCCGGTCGGCAGGGTTAGGTAGCGAATCAGCTGTTGCTGAACCTCGCCCATTCGCAATTGCACAACCAGTGTGTTATATATGATATCTTGTGCGTCTTCTTTACCTAACTATCAACGAGCAAATAAAGTGTCGTGATCGAGAAAAACTTGGATGATATTGGAAATTCAAATATTATGGCACTCGTCTTTTGAGTTTTGGGGAAAAAATAAATATTCTGTAGGCGTGTCCGTAAATAGGATTGCGTCCAGAATAAACATATTTCGATTAAAATATGGTCTGTCATATTTTTTCTCTCACGATTTGATTCGATTTAGCCCTCGTGAATGGTTAGGATGAGTGATTTACTTCTCGTAGTTTCTTCAGTTTTTCGCATATATGTATTTCTAATTTGCAGAAATTTTGAAAAATGTTTCACACAAATCTTAAGGAGAATCTCGTAATTTTACAGGAAAAGGCTAGATAAATTTGTCGTCTATCTCTTCGTATAATGAAATTATTTAACAAAATATCTTCTCGTTCGCTTTCTAATTCCATCATTCAACATGCTATAACGAAAACAGTTATGACGCAACAGTCTCGCTAATTTCTTTTACCCCCGTCTTATCACAGACCCATAAAGATGTTACATAAAGTGTATTAAAAAATTATCGAGGCCCCTTGCTAGTCTCCGCAGTCGTCTGTTGCGCGATCATCGAACGAGTGTCAATTAGCTAGAAAGTTGAAATACTAAGCTGTACGACCCGATGTGCAATTACATCCGCTGCGTCAGAGGTTAACGCGTCGGTCAATGCATATTAATATTACTAATCCAGTGATTAGCAAATGTAATTGCAATCGCGTGGAAGGAAAAAAGCAATCCGACGACCTCGCGACTACTCGATCTGTTTTTGTCTTCGAAACGCCAGTCAATAACTCGATTAAACTCGATCGTTTCCCGAATTTCGGCAGCGTGGAAGATCGAATAGAAGCTGATAAGAGTTGCCGCCAATGCCGGACGAAGCCTGTAACAGCGTCGAAGCTGAATATAACGTTGTATGCGCCAAAAAATCCATAGGTTCGCAGTTTGGGAAAAATTTGGGGAATACCGCGCTGTTCTAAATTGAAACGAGGAAAGTAATTAGAAAAATGATCATTTGCCGTGAAGCTTTACGCGAGTGTCGTGACAGGTGTGTTTGGCAAAACATCAAAATTGTAGAACCTCTAAATAAAGAATGAGGTGAATTTGGACCAGTGCGGTATTCCTCGATTTAGTAGTAGTTTATCTGGAGGTCACAAGGAGATGTGAAAAGAAGGAGAAATGAATGGAAGGGGGAAAATGTGAGTCTGTTTACTCTTCCAGAGAGACGACTCGTCGACACCCTGATCTCAGCCTTGCCAGAGCATCTGAAGTCGAGACTCACGGAGAATGAAGTCGAACAGTTCGCGTCCAGACTCTTCTCCAGGCTCGTCTCAGACGGCCTTCTTGACGCCATTACTTTGGACAGCAGAGTGGAGAACAAAGAATTAGTGGTAAGACGCTTAGAAACGATCACTGTTCCGCAGGTATAATTATAACGACACTTGATCTATGCCATTTTCCTGATATTTAATTTATATAAGGAAGATTTATGGTCACTAAATTAAAAATAACGCCATTTAGTTCCTTATTTATTAAATACGTAAGTAATGTATCCGTTTGCTCGCTAAATAAATCAATGATACATCCACTAAAAATAATACATCTTTTCCAGGAAGATCACCCCGAGCATAAGAAAGTTTCACCTCCATGCTCCAGTCCAATTACAGAAGAAGCATCAGCGAAGGATCGTCGAGACTCTGAAAAGGAAACATTAAGGCGGGAGATCGAGCGACTTCGGGAACTGACAAAGAATGCAGACAGGACCACCCAAGGTAAATCTACGCAGACGTCCCCCACGGCAGCCTTTCTGCAGGAAAGTCCTGGGACCATCACCTCGAGGACAAAAGGTTCGGGAAATGCGACGTCACCGTCGGAGGCATCGAGTGTCCAGGTTATTCCCGAGGAACCTTCAACGACTACCGCCCCAACGCTGATTACAAATGGCTACAAGGATACCAGAGACGTTAGGGACGACACATCTCGAATCATGCGGCTATCGACGTCACTATCATCGCCAGCTTCTCCACCTCCGTCAATTTCATCGCAACCCGAATTTTCAAACGCTCCTCCTCCTCCCGCGCCACCGCCTCCGCCGCCATCACCCTTTCTGGATCACCGTGCTCCCGATAACTCGTCTTCGATTCCATCGACTCTTCCTCCCTCGTTTTCCGTACCGCCTCCACCGCCATTACCCGTTTGTCCACTATCGTCACAGCCGCTTTCTTCGCTAAGTATCGCTTCCGAAACGAGAATACCACCACCTCCACCGCCACCTGCATCGCCACAGCCACCGTTGCAACCATTGTCTCGAGAAACACCCATGTCACCGCCTGCTCCACCGCCACCTCCGCCACCTCCGCCACCTCCGTCTCCAGCACCGTCGATGTTCTCGATAATAGGAGCACCCCCGCCGCCACCTCCTCCACCCCCTCCGCCATCGTTATTCGCATCCTCGATCGGTGGAATACTCGAAAGCTCATCTGTTCCTCCACCTCCACCTCCTCCTCCACCGCCGTCGATAAGTGCCATGGTAAGACCTCCCATTCCTCCTCCTCCGCCACCGCCACCAACGCCTTCAATCGGTGGAATACCACCACCTCCTCCTCCTCCACCTGTTGCTGGTCTACTCGGAGGACCTCCTCCTCCTCCTCCACTGCCATCTATTGGAATACCTGGAGGGCCACCGCCTCCGCCGCCGCCGCCGCCGTTAATGGGAATACCAGGAGGACCCCCGCCACCTCCACCTCCGCCAGGTTTAGCAGGAGGACCCCCGCCACCTCCACCTCCGCCAGGTTTAGCAGGAGGACCCCCGCCACCTCCACCTCCGCCAGGTTTAGCAGGAGCGGGGCAATCGTCTAGCCCGTGTCCTCTACCTCCTCCACCTGTTGGAGGTTGGAATCCACCGGGCAGAGCGTGTGAGTACCAAGACGCGGGATGCGTCGCCGTGACGCGTGGAGTAGGAGATATCGCGATGATCAGTAAGGTCTTCCACGTTTAGGCATGAGGAAAGAACCCCTGTGCCCCGATGTGCCCATGAAGCCGCTCTATTGGACGAGGCTGCTGGTACCAGTGGTACCGACAGAACGTGCATCCGTCGGCAACTCGGACTCCCCTGCACAGGTATGCGACAAAGTCATAGTTGAGGTACTTCAGGAAGATATAGGAAACGGATTCTCTTGGATTCTCCGCTTTGGTTCGTCTAGAGTAAAAGTTTAATCGTGCTTGGGGTCGGATATACGAAATCCTAGATGAGCCAAGTAGCTTCTAGCCTTCCGTAGCTGAGCTCGGTACCCTCTTAGACTTTCAGTAGCTGAGAATCCAAGAAAATCACTCAACAGTTGTCTCTGCTGAATGCACCCATGGACTCGGTGAAGTATAGTTTCGCAACGTTGCAGGTTCCACTGTGGATGGAGCTAGAGGAAGAGAAAAATGTAGACATGAAAGAGTTCGCCGGTCTTTTTTCGCGTCAAGCGACCGAGAGAAAGCCCGTAAAAAAGGCGGTCGATTCTTCGAAACCATCTAAAGTCCAGCCAGCGAAGATTCTCGACTCGAAGCGCTCGAAAACCGTGGGCATCCTCGAGAAGAGTCTCCACGTGGACTTCTGTGAAGTGGAGAACGCGGTGTACAATTTGGACACGAGTGCCGTCAGCCTGGAGGCGTTGCAACAAATATACGAAATCGTACGGTTACTGCAACTTTTGTCTCGTAAACGCGAACGCAATGATACGCAATAAACTTAATAGATTCGAATGCTTTATTTAAATAATACTTTATTAAGCTTTTATTAACATGTACAAAAATAAATATGTAATAATATTTGCAAGCAGAGGCCAACGCAGAAGGAATTGGAAGACATACAAGCCTTCGAGGAAGCGAGCCCAGACGTTCCTCTAGATCGACCAGAAATCTTCCTGAAGAAGCTCTCGTCTATAAATTGCTTCACGGAGAGGATAGCCTGTCTGATGTTTCAAACCGAATTCCAGGACGCGATATCTTCGGTATCATCGAAGTTGACGAACATGCGAACCACCTGCGACTTTCTTCGGAGCTCCAGCTCCCTGAAGAAGGTCATAGCGTTGATCCTCACCCTCGGTAATTACATGAACGGCGGAAACAGAATGCGGGGACAGGCAGACGGTTTCGGTCTTGAAATTCTGGGCAAGTTGAAGGACGTGAAATCGAACGTGCCTGGTATAACTTTGCTTCACTACGTTGTGAGGGCTAGACTGGCTCAGGAGAAGGACCATAATTTCGAGGAACCATTGCCTCTGCCCATTCCTGAGCCAGCGGATGTCGAAGCCGCCTCGAATATCAACTTCGACAACATCTCGGCAGAGCTTGACAGGTTACAGGCAGAATTGCAAGGTAAAGTAAATTTAATTCGATTCGATTTCTTCGTTCAGCTTTCTTGCTGACCATTCACCTCTGCATCTTCTCGGGCGTTGTTCAGCTTGCACCAAAAAGTGCAACAAAGTCGTGGAAGAAGACCCAGCTACATCGGGGCCATTCAAAACGAAAATGGATTCGTTCTTCCACGAAGCGTCTGTGGAATTAGGGAACGAACAGGAGGCATTGCAAGAAGCTAGAAATAAATTCAAAGCTGTGATGCAATTCTACCAGTACACCCCTAAAGGTACCACGCTGGACGCAGCTGATCCCAATGCATTTTTCATTCTGTGGCTCGGTTTCTGTGTGGACTTTAAGGTACAGTAGTCAATGAAATTTTATCAACGTATAACGATATTTAGAAATGGTTCATGAGAACAAGATTGTTCTCCTTTATGGGTGCGTAAACAAATTGAACTTCTTTAGGATATCTGGAAAAAAGAACAACAACGAATACGGAAGGAACGAATGCAGGAGATACGGAAGAAGTACGAAAGTAAGACCAAAGTGGAGAAACTGAAATTGAATGCCACGGGTTTGAAGGCACGGCTTCAAAAGCACTTGCGCAAGTAGTGTCATAGGATCACCGTTTTTGGTGCATCGGTGCTTGGAACGAGGCGCATAGTAATGGTTTTCGAGCGTGGGCAATCCGACTGTTGGATCGATCGTCCGTTCGATCCGTCCCTCTTTATGGCACTAATTTCGACGAAGTAACGAGTCTATTTCGTAGATATATACATTCCTTTTTGTCAATTTGTTACTGTAAATAGTCTCGTTAAGTTTGCACGCACAATTTGTATATACGATGTTCCGCGATCAAGAGAATTCGATCATTAATAAATAATACATTTTTATACGAAAAAGGCGTATACCAGCGAGCTCATAATTCACCATGGCTGGTGTTGTTTTTCCCCAACCATTCTCGATACATTTCCTTCTGTGGCGACCGACTTTCGTCGACACAGCTGCGGTAGCATCGGAATGTCCATCGCGCCGCTTCGCGAGCGACATTGTATGCGATCGGCGGCGCCGTTCAATCGCCGATGAGCTCGACAGCGAAGACGGGTAGAATTAGTTCACCACGAGACACGCTACCGTTAGCACCAGCGAATAAAAACGTACGAAACGAATTATATGTGTGGTTATTGCCGTAGCCTACCTCGATCTTAATCCACACTTCCATTCCTAATACAAATTCCCTCCACTTCCTAGTATATTACCCTTTAATTTCCCTTCGTTTCCTGGTATATTTCCCTTTATTTTCCCTTCATTATCTTACACATTTCCCTTTAACATTCCTCCATTTCCTAGTATATTTCCCTTTAATTTCCCATCCATTACCTTACACATTTCCCTTTAATATTCCTCCACTTCCTAGTATATTTCCCTATATTTTCGCCCCATATCTTTGACATTTCCTGGTTTAACAATGTTGCAACCGCCCCGCTCAAAACTCAACAATGTTGCAAACGGCTCAGCTCAAAACTTCAACAATGTTGCAAATTGATTCCGCAGAAGTTCAACAAAGTTGCAAGTTTAACAATGTTGCAAATTGCTTCCCGCAGAATTCCAATAAAGTTGCAAGTTCAACAATGTTGCGAATCGCTCCCCGCGGAATTTAACAAAGCTGCAAGTTTAACAGTGTTGCAAATTGCTCCCCTCAAAATTGCAACAGAGTTGCAGGACTCAAGTACAACAAAGTGGCAACTCAGAAGTTAGGCAAAATGTGACAAAATCCGAAAAATCGACTCGACTTTTGCAACATTGTTGTGGTTTTGAGCTGAGCGATTTGCAACATTGTTGTACTTGCAACTTTGTTGGAATTCTGCGGGAAGCAATTTGCAACATTGTTAAACTTGCAACTGTGTTGAACTTCTGCGGGGATCATTTGCAATATTGTTGAAGTTTTGAGCGGAGCCGTTTGCAACATTGTTGAAGTTTTGAGCGAAGCAGTTGCAACATTGTTAAATCAGGAAATGTCAAAGATATGGGGCGAATATATAGGGAAATATACCACGAAGTGGAGGAATATTAAAGGGAAATGTGTAAGGCAATGGATGGGAAATTAAAGGGAAATGTGTAAGGTAATGGATGGGAAATTAAAGGGAAATATACTAGGAAATGGAGGAATATTGAAGGGAACTATACCAGAAAATGGAGGGAAATTAAAGGGATATATACCAGGAAATGGAAGGAAACTAAAGGAAATTGTGTAAGGTAATGAAGGGAAATTAAAGGGAAATAAACCAGGAAATGGAAGGAAATTAAAGAGAAATATACCAGGAAATGGAGCGAAATTAAAGGGAAATTGTACAAGGAAATGGAGGAAGTCGACCCGAGTTGCAACCCTTCCTGAACGGACTCTAGAACCTAGGAAGAAAATGATATAGTATTGAAAATGAAAGGTAAGTAATTAAACTAATAAGATTTGGTGTCAAATGCGTGTGCGTTTTGCGTATATTTCTTTTTCCACTGCAATTAGTAGCGACGATACAGAACCTTCAAGTAAAGCGAAAACAGAGATTAACATTTAAGAATAGTTAATAGATTAATCGCATCATCGTACGAATCCGTGCTATCGCGTTAATCGCAATCTAGAAAGTAAAAAAGAGAAAAAGATCGAGGGGGGGAATGCCTTTTTCAGAAAATAGAGATACTCTGTCGACGATCCCGCCGATGACGGGGCGAACGCGCTTCGAATCGACGAAAAAAAATTAAAATAATAGAACGCTTCTTCTTGGTTCATTCTTTTAGTACAGAAGGGCCCTACTTCACCCGAGCGTCGGTTCGCCTCGGCAGGCAGGTACGATTCGCGCAGAAGCGGCATGGGCGACAGACTTTTAAGGCAATCGTTGCGGGTAGCGTTAAACTCGTGTCTTTTCTAGGAAACTGTCTTATTCGCGGAGTGGTTCCCGGTTGCGACACCGACCCGGAGAATCGAGCAATATTTACATCTTGATCTTAAATCTCTCCATCAGTGATTATTATTCCTCCTTTCTTTCTCTTTTCAATGCTCCTTTTCTTGTAGGGCCCTATCGATCGGTAACCGAGGGATTACAAAACAAAGAAATGGTTCAACGATCAACACGGGACAACGAAAAAAGGATCGGTCGGTAGTTCAGCGACGCGGATCGATCACTGTCATCGATTACGTGATTCGCAAGTACGCATACACCGCCACGAATTTCTCTCTTCTCGAGAACGTAAAACCTTGCTCTCTTTCTCGCGTGTATCGTGTTACGTCTGGTAAACACCTATAGTCCTATGGATAACGTAAAATTACAATTACATTATGAATAAAATCGTTATCGGTGGTTTCTCTGTCGGTGAAGAAACTGATTCACGAAAAAAAAATTAATCGATACCGCGTAAGCGGGTACACGAGAACGGACTCCGATACGTAGCGCCACTTAAGACTTACTCACGTAAAATCACGTTCCAAATAATTTCTCTTTGGATCGCGCATTGCGTCCATTGATAATTCCATGATAACTATGCTTTTTTTTTTACAAAATAGTTCGATAATAATGTTAAGCTCTTTCACACTCGATTAGTGTTGGACGCGCCCGCGGAGGGCCTCGCTTCGATAGCGAATTTTCGCGCTACGCTCGAAACGGGGACCAATAACGACGGATATCTCCCGGGGCGTCCTCGCGGTTCGAATCGTTATTACATATACATATATATTAGATTATCCTAAGCGTTTCGTCGACGGGGATCCCGTGCGGGGGGTTTTGCCGTTCCCGTCGTCGACGTTTGGCCTTTCGTTCGTGTGACTATACGATGTCCGGTGACTATAATCGGAATGGTGCTCGTTGGTCGATTGGCGTTGGTCTTCCTTTCCGTTGGGTGGTCGGTGTCGTTGATACGGACGTGTCAGAGGCGCCTGAGGGTTTCCTCGAGAGCTTCAGCGATGGTGGCAGCGGCGTGCTGGATCCGCTGGACGGTGTCCTCGTTCTAGAGAAGCGTTAAGATGAGCTTGAGATGCTGCAGTCGTCGCCATAATGGCGTCGTTTGTTAATCGCGATCATTTAGAACAATCGTTCACGCAGCCTGGTCGATCCGGTACGTTTCGAATACAGGCGTTGAAAATCCCTTGATTACAATAAGGACAATGTCGGCTGCTCAAGGCCACTAAAACACCCACACTCGATAAGAAACTGCTCCTATTGTTCATATCGCAACTGAGATATCTTTTACAATAGAATCTAAGTTTACATAAGAATCTTACTTATCCAAAGAGGTCCTGGGACAAGGAAGTTCTGATAATCGAGTAGTTGAGACGATAGAGGTCAACTATAGTTATCCCCTCTATGAGATCTTTGCCGTGGACCTTCACGGTAGATCATGGTTTAGGTAATAGGAGCTAGTGGGGCCTAGAGGGTACTGAACTCAACTCTACTTACAATTAGAGCTACAGATTACTTTGCACAGCTACTGAGAGCTGAAGGGATTACTGGTGAGGCGACCTTGAGCAGCTTCTTTGCCTTCCACCAACTGTGAAGTCAGTTAGCGGTTGATCAACCTCTGTACCCACGTACTAGCTGGCCAGTCGGGTACTCGGGCACCCGATGAAGTCGCTCGAGTACCGATCCTGTTCGTCTCGGGACATTTAGGTACAATCCGCGTGATCACCAACGACAAGCGACAAACCACAATTAACCGAATCAGACCGAAACGATGATTACCTATCTTGCTTAACGGCCGACGAGGTGTTAGTTGCTGAATTTGTACACACCGAGCTGCTCCTAGCGTTAAAAAACAGACACGACACTGAATTATTAACGTGTCTCGAGCGGGTGCAATGTTAGCTGATAATGGAGCGAAGCTGCAAACTAAAGTAAAGCTGACGCAATCGTCTCAATACATGTGCCTCGAAGAACTTGATATGTTTATATTTCAGGAGTGAACTAAGATTTATATCGAAGAAATAAAATGGAAAGACGATGAAACAGTACTGTCATATTAAATTATTAATCGTCTATGTTACATACATCAAGAGTTTTCTTTCATGTTCAATTCGTTACAAACATGAAATAGAGATACTCGTAATTTAAAATTGTGTAATTTTCTTTGCTAAAGGCCGTTCGTCAAGGCACGGCACGTTATCAAAACAAGCAAACAAGAAGGAGGCAAACTAAAGGAACGTCCACCGTTTGTCTGGATTCGTTTGAAAAGCACGAAAGGACAGAATAAAACAGATGTGCTGCATGCATACCACCCACGCGGTGCAGATAGATAGAAAGAAAAGAAAGCTAACGTGTGTTAACAGCAGAGGAAACAGTTCGGCCATACCCGGTAGAATCGGTAGAAACCGTCGAGTCGTTGCTTTGGGTAGAATGTGTGGATATATTGCTGGTCGTCGATTGCGGGGATTTTATATCCGCGCCGATGTACACGGGGATCCTCGAGCGGCTAAACCATCACCATTCGAATCAGTTTACGGTAACGGGGGAGGATTGTACACCCGTAAACACAAAAGCACAGCGTCGTCAATGGAGAAACCATAATACCACAAGTGTCGCTTATGCTACAAAGCGATCTGCATCGTTGCAGACGACACAGTGAATGTCTTCTGTGCATCTACATACCTTGCGCATACGCGACACTTACGGTGCGATCGTTCCTTCACTGGCGACGCTGCTGTCACTCTACAGTAGGCCTGCAGGAAAACTTGGATGTTTCGAGCTACTCGCGAGCCGAGCCGAGTCGAGTCTCGCTTTTCGATCCGAGCCGAGTACTCGAAAGAAGCGAGCGGCTCGACAGGACCGAGTAACTCGGACCGAAGCGAGCGCCTCGAAAGAACCGAGTAAAGGTCGATTCAGACCGGACCGTCTATACGACACGGACCGTCACGTTTCGGCACCGTGAATCCGCCTCCTCCGAGGCGCTCGCTTCGGTCCGAGTTAAGGTCGATTCAGACTATACGACACGGACCGTCTCGTTCCGGCAACGACACGATAAAACATTCAAACATGCGTTTTAACGGAACTATTCACACTTAACAGACACCGACCTGAACGTTCCGTCAACGGGAATAGTGTGAATAGTTCCATTAAAACGCGTGTTTGAATGTTTTGTCGTGTCGGTGCCGGTACGCGTCGTTGCCGGAACTTGACGGTCCGTGTCGTATAGTCTGAATCGACCTTTACTCGAAAGTTTCGAGCTGCTCGCGTCGGCCCCGAGTTACTCGGTCCTGTCGAGCCGCTCGCTTCATTCGAGTACTCGGCTCGGATCGGTCATTCGATCTCGAGTAAAACTCGGCTCGCCTTTTCCGAGTACTCGACAGCCCTACTGTACAGTCCAGTGACCATGTTAACTCATTCCCTCTTTCAACAAAAGTCACTAACATTCGACAACCCTAAGATTATGTACGAAAGTGTGCACCTTTGAGGAGAAGACGATGCTAGATGACTGTTTCATGTAGTAGAGAATGAATTAACATGGTCTAGTGACACACTAGATCGCGCGCAAACGCGTCTCGTCGATTAATAATACTCGAAGGAACCGCGAACTGAAGTTTGCAAATAAAAGAAACGAATAACGACGAACCGAAGCGGAAACCAAAAATCCAGGAATGAAAAGTAGATAAAAGTAAATAATTAAATTCCCTCCACCACTGCTGCGAGCATTATATATCAGATGACAGATGTATGAATTTGGAAAAGAGATCGAATCGTTCGAGCCACCCTGGACACCATGTTTACGATTACTGCGGATTTTATGCATTCGCTATGCCTTACACGAATATGGAAAACATATGCTAAACATGTGCAGATTATACATGTACAGTTATATAAAATAAAATATTAATCTGAGAATATTTGTCTACACATGTTTCGTATTAGTTTCTCATATTACAGCGCATATATGCGTGAAATCCGCGGTCGTGATCGTTCCCAACTAGAGCGCCGTACGTAGAGATCAAGCAAAAAGTAATTTCGCCAATTGCCGACGGAGTGACTCCGATAATCGTTAATTTAGGTTTACCTGATCGGTGTGCCGACACCAGTCAGGGTTGGAATGCTCGAAGCTCTATGGATTGTGCCAAACCTAAAAAAATGTTATTAACCAGAGTTTATGTTAATCGTCGTTAACTAACACGTGAGAACCGTGTATGCGTTGATATGCGTGGGCGCTGAGAGCGTTCTAAATCTCGCGGTTCTTCACGGGACCGAGGGTTCGTTACGGTAACAAGGGAAACAAAAAGAGAAAGAAAAAAAATCGTCGGGATACAAAACGACGACAGGATGAAATAAACACCGAAACGTGCACGATCGCGACACGCGTCCGATCAACATACATTCCTAGACCGTGGGGACGAGATGCGAATACGTCGAAATACATACACGGCGAGGAACGAAACGATAATCCATTCAACACTTTTGTCTACATCCAGACGTATAGATTTTACTCAGCCTACACACTTGAGACATCTGCCTTAAATTTTATAACATTTACTACTAAGCGATCAAAAAAGGTTGTAAGTGTATTATTCTAAGCGTATAAGTGTATCTTAAGTGTTCAGTATTATTCATATGTACGTATATCGTTAAATATAAACAAAAATGTTAAGCATGGGTTATCGTTTTGTCCCACACTGTGGTCGTCGTTAATCTCTACAACGAAGTACGATGCGACAAAATCATCAATATCTATGTTCGACAAGATGCGAGTTAGTCGTTCTTAGGTAGTTTCCATTTCATCCGTTTACGTATCATTGGTATTCAAGTGAGCACACGAGGAAAAGCATTGCAGGCGAGCTTACCTCGCTGGAACGCCACTGGCTGGACTAACTAGACCGGTGGGCGTTCGAGGTCTCGAGCTGGAACCGTTCACAGGCGTTCCGAGCCTCTTTCCTGAGACGCTGTTGTGTCTGCTGGAGGTCGGCGTGTTCCCCGTGGTGCTCACCGTCGTTCTGCGTGGAATACGGCTCAGGTTGGCCGAGTCATCTGGAAATTAATCGTTCCATTTGTTATTGTTTCTTGCGGGTGGACCCTCACGTTGAGGGTCGCAGAAGTATTCGTACTCGATAGCTATTTTTTAAGACGTCATGAATTTGTTATAGATATATATTGTATACTACCATTTGGTATACGTTAATAAAAATGTCAACAGACATTTGCTGTTCTTACAACCTAGTATAATATCCTTAATAACAAGGGGTAAGAAGTAAAGAGGAGAGATCCGGTCTCTGTTAATTGCCTACCAGTGCTGTCAAGCGACTGTGTGGACCCATAGCGACTCGGTGGTTTGCTACCCTGCCTGGAAGCTGGTCTGCTGCCGGGTCTGCTCGTTGGTCTGGACGCTGGTCTCGATGCTGGTCTACTCGATGGACGACTACCGCCTGTAACGAGACTTGCATTAAGAACTGGCTCGACAAAGACACTCATAAATTCGATTACGATGTTCCAAGAGAATCGGAGGCTGTTTAAATTTCTAGTCCTGGACTCAAACTCAAGCCTGAACTAATTCACAGGCATATATAAATTGAGCTATAAATAATTCTTTGGGAACGTTGTATCAGGTTTTCCCAAAAGTTTCTTTCGTTTTATTAATAGTTAATATATACACAATATTTTATGTTTTATGTTAGATTACTGAATTGTGTACGATTAATTTTGCTCCATTACTGTTACAACATTAACATCTAAGAAAGTAGAATGTCTATTTATATAAACACTGCCACAGAAAATAATTGAATACAACTCACGAAAGAAACTTTTGGGACAACCTAATACATGGCACACATAGGATATATTCTTTAATTTATTTTCTACAGTCAAGAATAAAGAATTGCCACTTTCCGAGAAGTTTGGAGTTGGAAGTAAATGGTAGGATATGCTATGTGTATGCTTACCTGGGGTAATCGTGCTTCTGTAAGGCGTGCTCGTCTTCCTGGCGGAGCCAATTCTGAAGGAACTCTCGTTGTCGCTCAGGCTGTCCGGCGTCCCGGCGCTCAACGACGAGCGCGATGCTCGCGTCTGTCCCATGGGAACGCTTCGAGCGCTGCGTTCTCTCACCTACGCGACAGAAATCTCAGCTGAAGTGAAGGAAACAGAGGCGGACGATATGGAAAGATGCGTGTAGAGAGATAGGCAAACAGAGAGAGAAACAGCAGGAGTTCTTCGAGTGGTCGACGCGCGAATACGACGCGTCGATGCTGTTAGTTACAGCGATACGCCTTGGATCACCAAACAAAAGGAACCAAATTTTATGCTTTCAGTGTAGTCATTCGAATTCTTTAAGCTCCCATAGGATAACAGGGGTCTCCATTACATTAACAAGAATTATATTGGGTTGTCCGGAAAGTTCATGCCTATTTTTAAAAAAAATTCACAGGCATATTTGAATTTTGATGTATATTGAATTATATATGTACCATTTTGTTCCACAACCTTTCCACCTCTTAAGGAATGTACACATTTTATTTGTTTTTAGCCATTCCGATATATACAGACTATCGCCTACTAAAAATCGGCATGGACTTTCCAGACAGCCCGATACAAGAATTTATTTGTACCCTAAGAAATATTTGTAGTAATAAGAGCAATATTATTGTACTCCCGACTTGGATCTGCTAGAATTTTGATAACATTGAAATATATTGTGGTCCATATAAAGTTGACGAGGGTTTAAGTCATCGTCCTTCTAATATCGGAATTGTTTAAAAAATTTTAAGCCTCAAAGTTTGCAATTTAAATCACCTTTCCACTAAAAAATTGCTCTCAAAAATGAATTTTTATCTCGGAAACCATGAAAGATACACGTATTTCCTTTGTTTTTGTTTCAAACGTAAGGGGTGAATCTTTCTGAATAAATGTAGCTTGAACCGCGAAAATGATTTTCACAGTGTAAAAATAATAAAAACGTTCCTCTGGCTGGGCGATCGCGTGCGCGTACCGCACGAGAACTTCGCAGGTTTCGCGTTGCTGCTCGGTCGTTCGTTTACAACCTTTCAACGCCACCGATTGCTAGAACTAGAAACCGATCGAACGATCGAAGGAAAACAGAAAGAATAAAATAATAATAATAATAATAATAATAATAATACAACCGTGGTCGAAGAGAGAGATTTATTTCTAAGAAAACAAAAAAAAAAACAAAGATACATGCAAACTTACCAGAGGAAGTTGGGAGAGATAGAGTAGCTTATGGTGATTCGAAGTATCTCCGATCAACGCCACTATGCACGCACCAATACAGCAATACAGGAGATCGTTATGCACATATCGATACAGTAGTAGACCGTATCCGCGGAGCGCGAGTCGCGAGATAATAACCCGTTCGAGGATGGGGCTGGTACTACTCGTTGAATATATTTTTCCCGTGTTCGAATACTCGACTATTCGAAGTGGAAAATGAAATTCGTATAGGTGACTATATGAATAGTGCTCGAAGGTAATCGAAAATTAAAGGGTTGGAACACTTGGCTATTTAAGTATTTAATTATTCAAACGCTTGACTATTAGATGTTTCAACTATTCGAACACCTGACTATTCGAGTATTCAGCTATTCGAAGAGTTAAAAATACACGAATGCCATTCGAATATCTTGTGGACTGTACAAGAATCTCGACATTCGTAGTGTCTGAATAATGTATGACGTGGACTATACACCAAATTCTTTAAGGCTTCTCTTCTTTTTCAAATTTCGTTTTCATGTAAGCTCTTTCATTAACGATATTCTATGGGATAATAATATCCTAGAGCATATAAAATAATCCAAGTAGTTTCAGCCCCATTCGAAACTCGTCTTGGAACGCTCGACACCCTCGGCAATCCTGTGTAGATCAAACATCAAAGTATCTTGCGTCGCGAGGGTACCGATCGTTCGACTCAACCTTGCTACAAGAATCCCGATATGTTCTACGGGGGAGAGGAGATCGTTCAGAGGCATCCAATTAAAATCAGGCTGACGTACGTGGAAACGAAAAAGTATAACCCGTGATCTACTGCGGGACCCGACAGAAATTCGACGAATGGAAACAGGGACCCGTGAAACATGCGCTGTTTGATGTTAGATTGGTGCACGCTGCATTTTGCAACAATGTGCGTCAAATAGAAACGCGTTTCACTCCGTGTGCACCAACCTAAAGCCACGTTCCCACGTTCCAAATTACGTACCTCTTTAAGAACGAATTTTAAATGGATGTCTTTTGCTTATTCGAATACACATGAATCAAAGTAATCTTTATGTGTGAATAGATGTTAACATATGTTGTTTCACTTTGATATGGTATGTGTGATAATTCTAAAGGGTACTATTATTGTACGGTATTATTATTGTGTACAGGATGTCGCAGAATTAGTGCAAGAACCTGAAGCACAATTTTTGCTAAGGAAATTGCAAAGGAAATTTCCTTTGCAAAAATTGTGCTTCAGAATCGCCTCAGGTAGCCCCCATTTCCGGTTCTTACACTAATTCTGGGACAACCTGTATACACAAACGCTATACTTGTTTCTATGCTATTCTTTCCCCGAAGAAACTTAATATTTTTAATTAAATCAATATTTATAATAGTCTGACACAATTCACACTCGTTCACCCTTTATTCGTTACATCTACCTATTTATGATGCATATCGATGATGCGTACCAATGACGCCGAGTGATGGACACGTGGGAGCGTGGCTCGATGATAGCCGATCCGCGAATCGATGCACCTAATCCGTCAGAACATAATCGGCAGTCGTCGAGCTACGGAATCTACCACTTCTACCGCATGCATGATTCTCGAATGAAAGCTATGCCATACGGGTGTCTCGTTCGCGGACGCGCCTAATTACATTATCATAAATCGTACGCATAATGGCGGCGGGAATCGTGAGGGCAACGGCAGCGACAGCAGCAGCGCAAACTTAGAAAAACAAAGTATTATATGCAGTGGCGGATCTAGAAGAGCTGAAAGGGAAGAGGGACCTAACAAAAAAAGTTCCGGAGAAATTGGAGCTTTCGAGGATTTACGAATCCCACCCTCAAATATACGATTAACGACCAAGTGTAAATTAATTACTGAATTGGATGGCTGGAGCAACGTTGCATGTTGTATTAGACATTGTATGTTGGAAAAACTGATGGTTCGAATGTGGATTTTAGGCTGCAAGAGCGTAGCTTATTTAATTTACGAAAATAGAAACTAAAATGATTAATAAACGATACTATGATGACCAGAACATACTAGCCTTTTCACAGAAGAATGTAGTTGCATGAAAACTTTACAAAGATTTTAATAGAAATAAATAGAAGTGCCAAAAGTTTCTTCCCTAGCCACAACCCTATAAACGTATAAAATTAATGTGTGAATTCCGTTTGTAACAATGTGTCCAGTAACATACGTTGCTCCAGTCAACCATTCCACTACGAATTTATTCCTGCGACCGATCTTCTTTGCAGAATAGATTCTTCTTTTGCAAAATAGATTTAAGATACTCTCTGATCGATCTAATTATCAATTGTATCCGCCACTGAGTATACGTGGGATCGCAGAGTCGCCTGATCGGTACGGCGATCGGTAAGCGCACTCGAAAGGTAAAACCCAAGATAAAATTTAAAACAAAAAAAAGAACAAAAAATAGAAAAACCAACAGGACGAAAAACAAGAACACGTGAAAAAGTGAAACAGAGAAAAATAAACGGTGAGAAACGCAACAGTAATACACGAAAGAAAAATATTATATATCGGGTATACACCGTGTGTCACACCAACGACAGCAGAAATCAGAGAATAGAGTTCTTATTTACCCAATGATAAGAGGGGGCGTGCATGTGGAGGGGATACGAGCACGGGAGGTCCTCCTTTTGCCTCAAACTCTCAAATATCGGCGTCAGCTGGCTCATAAACTCCTCCGCTACACCACAAACGAAAAGTTTAGGAATGTACCACATGATGGCGAACCGGTTTTCCCCCGTTTGTTCGTCGATCCAGAGGGTGCTGGAGGCTTCGACCGATTTTTAGACATTTATACTTAACATTTATCTATGCAACGTTACCTCAAAGGTGAATTAATTAGAAATAAGCTGCAATTGTATCGGTAGCTTGTGATCCTCCGATTACTCGTCAACTCTTCACTCTGGACCATTAGTCACTTGTTTTTGGGGCGCAATAAACACAGCTAAAGTGTTTCTTAGCCTCCTCGGGGTTTACAAGGACATTGTTTTGTAAAATAAATGTCCCTGAGGGAGTGCCTTGGAACCACGTTGACGACATGGAGATACAAGGATGCATTCAGCGGAGACTACTGTTCTCTCTCTTGGATTCTCTTGAACTCTCTCGTTTGATTCGTCTAGTCACTTCGAACCGAGGAATCAAAGGAGAGAGTCCAAGAGAATTACTCAACAGTCATCCCTGCTAAATGCATCCATCCGCCTCCATGTCGTCCACGTGGTTCCAAGGTGCCCCTTGGAATCTCCTGCGTCGATCCTCGAGATCTCGGTCGAAGCCTCCGTGTCCTCCTCGTTACGGACTGACGTGAAGGTCTCGACGAGCGTCGACGTCGTGTCGCGAAGTACGGAAACGTCGAAAATAGATAGTAAGAGGTGGATAGAGAAAGATAGAGAGTATTCTCGTGAAATCGCATCTCCTGAGGTGAGGTACTATTCGGCCCGTGGGCTCGATTCACGTCACGACCTTGATATACCGGTTTCGAAGACGCATAATCAGTGCGGCTGGGCGGGGGCCTGGACAATTTTTTTTATATATATATGGGTGGACGAGGCTGAAAACTGAAAGGGAAGCTTCGTTTTGGGGGTTGGAACCGAGTCGGCGGAGAAGGGTGACTGAAGCGACTACCTCGAGGGTGCGTGGGTAGCTCTAGGTGCGACGACTGCTACCGTCTCTAAGCTGACATGCTCGCATGCGGAGGATAAAGTAAACAATTAAATACGTTGGCCTCATGTCCTTTTCGAGGCACCTGGTACTTACCCTAATTGCGCGAACGGGTTAACGACTTCGACTGGCTAGGCAAGACCGGAGAGATAGAGGACCGAGCCAGGACGAGTCGAGAGACAAGTCGATTGGGTGTATCGTTGCGTGCGACGTGTTGGAGATCGACATCGAACCGAGGAACTTCCAAGGTTATTCCTCTGGTATACTTGACGGTGCTCTTTTCTAAGGGTTAATGAAATGTCTTCGAGGGGTGGGCAAACTTTAATCGACTTCACTTCGGAATAGATCCATTCTACTTGTATTAGACGACTTAGTTAAACTAGAAATTATTCGATCATTTTTCTTCAAGATTTAACTAAGATAAAAACTTATTGGTACAAAATTGCTTTTGGAATTTATGCCGCAGTAACCTATTTCTACGATCAGAAGTTGCTATCTCGTCGAAGTATCAAAGTCTATCGTGTACTTCGCCGCTTTGGTAAGTGTATCAAGGCTATGTTCATCGGAGTTTAACAAAATTGTGCAACACAAACATTAAATAAAATAAATAAATAACTGAACACTATACTATTTCATCATTGAACAATAATTAAGGAGGCATCTTTCGGACTATTTTCAGTGGTACACCCAGGAAGTGTTGGCCACTGGAAAGAGTGCACCTGAAATATCTCACCCTTCCTCTGCTACAAATCTCCAACCCTTAACCACTCTAATATTTGTATACAATATTCAAATCTAATACTCGCTAATTGAACCCTTAATTCAAATTAATTTTTAACTCTACCCCGTCATAACCACCCTGATGATCCCTATCCTGTCAACCCCTTCATCAAAACGACCAGAACAACTTCTGATCGAATCTTCCTTCTACAACCACCTCCAAGAAGACATTTCACTGAATCCCCAGAGCATCGATCGTGGCTGAACGAATCAACGAACGATCCAGCGATCAGCTACGCATCTTGTATCTCTCCCGCGATTGATCAGGCGAACAGAACGCGACAGAGAGTGTGCAAGAGAGATAAACGAGTAGTCAATGTCCCTGGATGGATCATGATCGCGAACGTTCAAGAAACTGGGACGCTCCGATCGGGACGCCCGTCGTTTCCTATGATCCAGGATCGCGATCACGATCCATCGACGGGACGAGAGAATGGGTGACGTTACCTTGGTGATTGGTCCGGTATTCGCGGATGAGATTTGCGTACGCTGCAGCGTCGAGGTCGGGCTTGGCTTCGATCTGAACGCCGTCATTGTCTGGCTGACGCCATCCGCCAGTATGAATTGCTCTCGCAGCTCGATATTCGTTCTTCCCTTGGCTACAGTGGTGTGTTGCGTGCACGCAAGTTAGAAGGAAGCCGTTACAGGACATGTATGCGGGGTTTTTGGGGACAAAGTACAGATATTGAATTTTTGATTTTTTTTTTTTTTTTTTTTTTTTTACAGATAGAGAAACAGAGAGAAAGAGAGAGCACAGATATAGGGGAAAATTAGAAAAGAAAAAATGGTATATAATATAAGAGCGAATAATTAACGGGCAGCCGACAGGTAGATCGTTTGTTTTGTTTAGCAAAAGTTGTAAGAGAGTAAATACAGATCAGAGTAGTATAGTGAAGCGACAAGAGATAAGGTTCGATATGTATTTGCAAGGATTGTTTGTCGATTGGCATGCGGGGAACCAACGATTAGCGTCGATTTTCCGTGAATTAAACGAAGAAAGTAGAAAGTAGAGAGAGTAGAGAGTATACGGAGTGACAGAGCAACAGTAACAAGTAGCAGCGACAGTAGCGACAGTTTGTTAAGAGCGATTGCAGCGGCGTACACGGTATGTTTGTGTGCGAGTGTACGGTGAAAAACAAAGAGAAAAAAAAATACAGTGTATTATAGTACGTACGTTGTGAATTGCAGGGTACAAGTAAAGGATCGAGAATAATAATAATTTTAAAAAAAAGTAGATCAAAATGGTGTCGATTAGGTGTCGAAGAAACCGCGGTGACTTACTGTTCGTTTTGTACAATTTTCGAAACCGAAAGGGGAGACTCGGGATCGTGTGAGGAATGCAAGAGTCGTTTTATCGCGACATCTGCGTCGATTTCCCGTTAATTACGCTTAAGTTTGCGGCAGGGGATTCGAGTAACTCGCGGAGGGCACATGCGGGGGCGTCGACGTCGAAAGTCAAGTTGATCGATTTTTAAATGGCGGTGGTTAAGGAAAGATAATCTTTTGAGCAACTCTGAGTCCTGAGATCACTGAGCTCCGAACCCTTTTGAGTTCTAAGCTCCCTGAGTTCTGAACCCTCTGAGTACTAAACCCCTTGAGTTCTAAAATTCCCGAGTATTGAACTCTCTGAGTACTAAATCCCTTGAGTCTAAGCTTCCCGAGTTTGAACACCTTGAGTTCTGAGTTCACTGAGATTTGGACCCCTTGAGTTCTAAGCTCCTGATTTTTAAGCTTTCTGAGTTCTGAGCCCTCTGAGTACTACACCCCTTGAGTTCTAAGCTTCCCGAGTATTGAACACTGAGTTCTGAGCTCACTGAGCTTTGGACCCCCTTGATATCTAAGCTCCCTGAGTTCTGAGCCCCCTGAGCACTAATCCCCTTGAGTTCTAAGCTCCCTGAATACTGAACTCCTTGAGCTTCGAACCCCTTGAGTTCTGAGCTTCCTGAATACTGAACCACCTCAATACTAAACCCCTTTAGTTCTAAGCTCCCTGAATACTGAACTCTTTGAGCTTTGAATCCTTTGAGTCTTGAGCTCCTCGATTAAGCCAAATTGGAGACACTGACTTTCGACGACGCGAAAACGGGGTCAAGTACCGCGTCGAACGTAGACACATCGTTACAGGGCGGCATCTACTCAAAGGACAACATCCAGGAAACGAATTCTCGTCATTCCGGCGAGTAATGAAATGGGAAATGATCCGAAGGTAAGATGATCGTACTAATTGACCGTAGAGAACGCAACACTGGACTACGCGAGTCATTCGTCGTTTGTTAGAGTTCAATCGAAATTAGACAATCGTCTCGCATGCCATTTTACACAGGACACGCACACGCACACACGCGCACACAGATGAGTTCTGCACGACAACCACGCGAAACGAACTAAAATGCACAAGATCTCGAACTCGTTGCAAGAAAGCAAACGTATGTACACGTAACAAATACGTATCATGCAGGATATACGAAAACGTCGACTTCGTGGCCAGTACGATCCTGATTTATTATATTATTATCGTAATTATTATCAAGGGTGTATTTAGGGAGACACCATGAAATGAAGAATGTTTATTTGTTGAGATGTGCGGGCCACGAGTCGTAATTATTCCCATATAAAAATATTCTCACCGAGCGGACACCAACCCTCATGTTGTTCCGGTTTGTTAGGGTCCGGTATCGGCATTAGAAAAACTTGACGAGTTAATCACGATTTGAGGAGTTTAGTGATGGTCCTTTTATTTTTTTTTTTTTTTTTTTTTTTGAAGTTAGACGAATGCATGCAATATTCATAAACTCGATGCGCAATTAAAGATACACGTGATATGTCGGAGAGGTACGTCACCAAAGTTGTGCGCAATAAAACGAGATGATGTTTCGATGGAACCAGACGGAGAGAAATTATGTTGTTGGAGGGACGAGGGATCGGCAGAGGATCGGTCGATTAACGTTAGTCTAATGACAAGCGATACGAGTCTCCTAAAGTACCAAGATACTTTAATCGCTACGGTTATCGAACGCGTTCCACGAACTGTAGAGTAATACAATTTAAGCAAACAATACCAAAAGATAATTGAAACATTTCTGACAACTTGACATATTACTGGGATTAATTGGATATTATCTATTCCAGTTGATAATTACTTGCAATAAAATTAAACTACACAAATTTCTTTTATTCGATTCACTCTGCTCAACAACACATCCTAATCGATCCCAGCAGACCGAAACCTCGCCATCAGCTCGTAGAACGCGTTCGCGAATCGTTAGTAAAAAACCCAACACGAAACCTAGCAAAATACGCAGGTAAGATACGCGCGAAGCGGAGACCACAAGTGTAACGAGCGCACGCTTTCTTCTCCTGCAGTTCATATGTACACATACACGTTATGTGTTAAAGTCGTGAGAAGGTCGGTTAATGATATTAGTCACGCTCACATTTCGTACCTCAGGAGCTGAGATCGTACACGTACTGTGAATGCGCCAACGTAAAAATGCGATACATGAAAAAACTTGGACGACAGAGACTCGAAAGGTCTGGGTTAGCGTGATTATAATCAGCGAATGAATTTCTTTTTATTTAGTATGGAGATGTTACGCGAATGAAAGTGCGGACGCGAGTGTTCCCGAGGCAGCGGGAAGCGAGTACGTGATTTAGTACGTTTTAGGGAGCGCAAATGGAACGCAAACAGAACTCAAAGTAAACAAATGCACGCAATGTTAGTCTCGAAACGCACAATCCGTGAGAAATAAAAAACAATCGATTAAATCCCACACGCGTGACTAATACGGTGAAAGAAACATAAACGCGTTTAGCTGCCTCTTTGGATGGGGAGAAGAGTGGGCCAGGAGAGAGTGAAGTAATCGTTCTCGATCGGGAACCGGCCGATCTGTGTCGCGTTCAAGGCAGGGACGAGACGGAACGGTCGAAGGATGTTTGAAAGTCGCGAGAGTCGGGAGTCGTTCTCGCTGAACGCTCGAATGTCGTACTTAAGATCTAAATTCATCGATTACGATAGAGCAATTCGACGGTAACGGAGTAGAGAGAAAGAGATAGAGAGAATTGATGGGAGAAATACTCACCGCGGCAAGGGTCATTTTTTAATAGAAATTCGTCCAAGGCTACCCATCCACCACCGACTCGTACCATCACGGTGGATCGTAGAATTCGTACCAGGCGCAGCTTTTGACTGTCTCCGAACTGCGAAACACAGACTCGTATCAGGGGAATTTCTTTGGTATTTACAAGGAAATCATACAAGTATACTCCTGAAGATGTTAACACATTATTGACCGATCACGAGTAAACTCGTGTTTGTATGTATGTCAAATATTTCATTTCAATTCATTATGTTGGTAAAACATAAATAAAGTTTCTAAGAGTTCATTTAAACTGTTTCGATTTCATATTCAATTACGAAATAATAGCCGGTGACGCGAAGTCGCTTCTGTGTAAAATTGCCTGTCAACAATGTGTTAATAATTGAGTCATTTGAAGATGGTTTCACCTCTTCGAGTATGTCAAAAGTCTCCAGGAGTACAGACATGGGATCTCCCCACTGAGAGGAAGAAAATGAACGCTTGGGGAAAACTCTGTTCGCTTACCCTGTATTTTCCTTCGCCGACTTGGAATACTCGGAACTTCTGGCGACAGGTGCAGAGCATCACCAGCCGTTTGACCTCGTCGTGAATCTTGTCCGTGTCGTTGTAGGTTCTTCGCTCCTCCCAGTCGGGCCTCAGGGCGGCGATGAACTCTTTCCAGTCGATCAACCCCTCCCCGTGGCGATCGAACAGATCTGCTACTGCTCCCATTTCTAACCGTGAAGTCTCAAATTCTGCAAGCACAGACAAATTAAATTCATCAACATTAGAACAGTGTTTACTGCGATGAACAAAGAGAGAAACTAACTGGTGTTCATGATTCCTTGGATGAAGTCTTCGCGTGGAATCAGACCGTCGTTGTTCTTGTCCATCTTCCTGAAGAGATCTGTCAGCCTGGACTTCTTGTGGTTCATGAATTTCAGGAACTATAACAAAGCGATATTAATTGTTAATTTATTTAAATAATTACAAGGATTATGGAGCAAGATTCTTGACACGCTTACTTACCCTCTTACGCCAATCCTCCCAGCTGAAGTTCGCGACACGGTCCAATTCCAAAATGTAATTGTACTTGTCCTGGAGTCTGCGTTGGCGTTCCCATGCCAACATCCACACGTGCCTCCATCGGTCCCAGAGAAGCTTCACCCTAGGGCTTCGGAATTCTGGTTCGGCGCCTTTGCTGTATACGAGAAGTGTCAATTTTGCTTATATTGCAATTACGAGACATCACATAAATAAAGCATGAAAAGCAAAGAAAGCAAACGAAGAGGATCATCCATCGACGTGACTCGACTCGATCGTTTAAAAACTATCACTCTGTTCCTATTCCGTGAGTCGAGATGAAGAAAAAGAACGAAGAATCAGAAGATAAGAAACGAAGAAGAAAAATTATTCGACGTGTGACCAGAGTTCAACTATTACTAAAATCCATGATATTGGAGTGTGTTAGGGTTGAAAGCAGAGCATGATCAAGCAGAGTATCGAAGAGTATGGATGGGTGTGACGAACCTTCCTTTAGGTGGGAAGCGTGGGCCAATGTGCGGCAACGAATCTGGCGTTCTCTCACGGCCTGGGCTGGCTCGGCTAAACAGGAACATGCGTCACATCACTCGAAACTTGTACCAGTTGTTGCGCGACGAGACTCGCGTTCTTTGTACAATGATCGCCGTGTCTCAAGACAGCGATTGGCCCTTGGGTTCCTCGCGAGACGCGCGAACGGAGAAAACCAAGAGAATAGGCCTCGCCTAACTCTTAAGCTTATAAGTACAATGGGTGGGGGAGATATACGGAAATGGAGCAAGTAAAGTATGAAGAAGACATTCGCCATCTTGTGCTACACGATGAGAGTCGCAAAAAATGTCTTCTGCATATTTACCTCGGGCATTTGTGGAACTTTGTGGCCTTTTGTACATCGTTTAGAGGCCTATTCTCTGTGTTTACTACAGGGTGTTTCACAAACTCCGTTCATAGCAAATATGTTCTTAACGTCATGATATTAAGAGTTCATGGCTTAACTTCGATAAATAAAATTAACTCTGATGCTACAAATAAAAGTGTTTTTAATTGACATTAAGGAGTCGGTGAAAAACCCTGTGCGCCTCGGACGCGCTCCACTGATCCTTTGAAATTCGAATCAAGTCTCTACCATGCCACCTATAATGCGCATTCACTTGGTCGTAACCATCCTTGGAGAATTGCTACAAAAGAAACCGATAACAGTCCGACGGAGCGTGTAAGCCGACGAGACTAGACAAAGAGACCCGTATCCTTCGACAAACGCACCTTTCCGTCGTTCCGTCGTTGTCCTCGCGGACGTCTGCGATAGATCTTTAACGCAAACTTTTCACGCAGCAGCGAAAAAAAAAATTGAAAAAAAAAAAAAAAAAAAAGACAGTATATGAAACGCAACATGCACGGGCAAGTGTAACTTCCAAAGCTCACGCAAAACGGAAAAACAAACGTGGAAACAAGAGAATACGGTCTTCGAATGGTGAACCGAGTATTCGAGAAGTAAAATACAGGCGAGTGTCGCTCGCTAGCGATTCCATCTACCTCGGAGGAGTGATGGTTTCCCGACGTGCGCGATCCTTGGCGTTCCATCCGCGAGAACTTGCTAAAAGAAGTTGGGGACCGGGATATGAGAATAGAAAAGAATGTGAACGTACGTCGGTGCGGGTGACTTAGCCTTCGATATCTTCTTCGTGTCTTTCACTTGACTGTGTTTGATCTGTCTAGCTTTGCAGACGCGGTCGACCTCGTTCTGCCTTCGACTAGTGTTCTCCATGAACTCTCGATGATCCGCGATCAGCATCTCCAAGGTAGCCTTGTCGTCTGGTAGAGGTTCGGCCTCGAGTGCGTTCAAGGTATTCTCCAGGCCCTCCAACCACGAGAGTAGCTCTTCCAGAAGGTTGTCGAGGTCCTACGGAACGTGACGGAAAAATATGTACATGAAATGAAAGTAATCGAGTAATAAAAAAGTAATTGGGACGCTAAAGTTTTCAATACTTGATAAAAATCAATTGATGTACAGTGAGCTGATAAACAATAAACAAGTATTGACATTTGCAGAAACGACATTACTTTCTGATCCCCTAATATCTTAACCCTAATTATCCATACCTGAAGTCCTTGCATGTGGTTCTCCAGTCTCTGGTTCCTCTGATGCGCCCAGGTGGCGACTTCTTCCCATCTCGACTGAATGATCGTAATCCAGTGTCTGATGACCAGGACACCGTCTGGATGAGCTTTCGCGAGAATCGCGTGGGCCAGCTCCAGAGTCTGATCTTTCTCTATTTCCTTGGTGCGCAGTTCACGCAGGAACTTCTCGTGTTCCATCAACTGATTCCTGCTCTCTTGCTCGTCCTCTGGCAGCTGTCCAGCGAACCTCAGCTTCATCTCGGCGTCTCTCAGCCACTCGAGGAGCACGTGGACAGCCTTGTGCAGGCGTTCCGCATCTCTGAGAGCGTCCTCGAGACGTTCGGTCTTCTCAGAGGACAACTGAGACACTGCGTTCCAGAGGTCGTTCAGTTCTGCGAGCTGAGGACCAATACAGGACGCGTCCTCTGGTGTTGCTTTATCTAACAATTCGCGACCAGTTTTGATGACGGATACCATTTGGGAGGCTCGAGACTCTAAGTCCCTCTCGAAGGTCTTGTGCTGCTCCACCAGGTTCACCACGGTGTCTAAATCTCCATGAAGCGGTCCCATGTTCGCTAGTTGTTTCTCAGATTTGCTGAGCCACTCGAGAAGTGCTTGAATGGCGTCCTTGAATTGTCCAGAGAAGAGCAAAGCCTCCTCGAGTTTCCTCTGCCTATCCACGCACTTGCCACAAACGGTGGTCCACTTGTTCTTCAGCTCGTTCAGCAGTTCCTTCAGCGCGAACTCGTCAGTTTTGGGAGCCTTATCCTTCAACGTCTTGCCGTTCTTCATGGTGGTGTCGTAGGTGCCCTGCTTGGCGCTCAACGCCTTCTGCAATTCGCGATGCTTGTTCAGTCGCGCCTTTATCCTTTCAGGATCGTTTCCTCCTAGACCACCGTCTGCTGCGACTTCGTCAAAGGTCTTCTCCGTCTCGACTAACCAATTCATCAGGTTGGACCAGGCGTCGTGGAACTCTCTGGCCTCCTTGTAACCGTGGTCTAAAGACCTCGTTCTCTCGGCAGACTTGGAAACCACCCTCTCCCACCTGTGCTGCACGCTTATCAGCAAGTTCTTAATCAGGATCACGTCCTGTTTCTGCGAGAAGTACTTCAAATGAGTTCCCTTCTTGTCGAGATTCAGCATGGTCTCGCGATGGACCCCGACGTCCTTCTGGAAGGTCTTGTGCTCCTCTATCTGGCCAAGGATGGTCTCCATGACCCTTGACACAGGCTTCAGGTTGGTGAGGACCTTCTCCGCGTTAGTCAGCCAGTCAACGAACGCTTGGAGTGCGTCGTGGAACTCGGTGGCTTCCTTCAGCGCGATCTCCAGCTTGATCTTCTTATCGCTGGCTCGAGCTGTGACATTGTCCCAGCGTTGCTTCAGTGTCTTCAAGTTGTGATTGAGTCCTCCTGCACTGTGACTGTCGGCTCGCTTCAGATACTCTTGACCTTGTTGGAGAACCGTCTCGACCTTTGGCCTGTTCTGTTCTAACTCGTTGAAAACCTCCATGAACCGCTCAAGCTGTTCCGAGGCGGTCTCTGGGAGGCCTCCCACAGGTTTGGAGGCCACTATGGTATTGTCTACATCGCCTAACCAAGACAGAAGATCCTGGATCTCCGCGGTGAAAGACTGCGCCTCTCTGAGGGCATCCTCTAACTCTCGTTGACGATCCGCAGCGCGCTGTAGCAGGTCGCGCCATCGACGATTCAAAGTACCTAATTTCTCAGCTGTCGTCGATGCTTCGGCTGTTCCCTTTCCATCTTCTATCAACTGTCTACCAGCGTCGTTCAGCGTATCGACGCTCGTCTGGTGGGCCTGAATGTCGTTCACCAGGACCTTCAACTTGGCCAGCTCTACTTCGATCACCTGTGGATCGCCAGCAACTGCTTTCAAATTATCGAGGGTGTCGTCCGTCTTCTCGATCCACACTAGGAGCTCGTCGAGCGCGTGCTGGAATTGTCCCAAACGCAGCAAAGCGTTCTCCAGGAGTCTCTGCCTCTCGACCAAGCCTCTGAGCAGTCCGTCCCATCGCTTGTTCACCGCTCCTAACGGTTCCTTGATGGCGGCAGCCTGCTCCGATGATGTCCTCTCCGTCAATTCGGCCGCTTGTCTGAAACGTCACGAGGAAACGTTGAAGGATTCGCGTGGATGCTTCGACGGGATCCGTACGCCCAGTTGTGAGAAAACGTACACCATGGATGGATGCTGGTAAATAAATGGTAGGACCGTTATTTGGTCCCGTACCGTTTGAGTCGATGTTTAGTCAGAATGAACATAGGGGCGACGAATCTACGGGAGAGGAATGATACAGAACTTTCGAGGCAGAAAGTGTTGGCTCCTCGAGGTCGTTAGGGAGGTTTTTTGACACATTGAACGCCACGTCACCCACCTATGGGTGACGGAGCTTTTCACTAAAGAACTTTTCAATAAATAATTTAAAAGACTAAGTATCGATGAAACCAACAATCCGGACAGAATTCGTAAGTTTTGATGACAATTCAAAAATAAGTAATACGACAAATGTTGGATTCTATCATTTCTAATTGTCTCGAGATGAAATTTTAATTCTGTAGACACTTCCATGCGATTCAGTGTGGCAGTCAACGTGTTAAGGGAGATACTTGGTAGAGTACTTGATGAAGTACTCGATGATCTAGATACATACTTAAACAGTAGACCATAATCTGAACTGATTCAGATGATTTGTAGTGCTCTTTTAAGAGAGATACTCGGTGAGTACTTAGCGGCTTATGCACACGTTTAAACAGTAGGTCACGATCAATGTCATCTATTTCAGATGATTCACTATAAACAAACATAAAGAGAGGATAGCCACCGGTGATCTCGAGGGTTCGCCACTTTCTGCCTCGAGTCTAATCCGTTTATGAAAGGAAAACGCTGCGACTCGTCCGTTCTCGAGCCTCTGCGACTAAGTACCTACGGTGTGGGAGCGTTTGTGCGCGTTTGTGTAAGTATAACAGGCACGACGCGAGCCAGGCAAACAGGCAGCCAGATACAACGAACTTTCGACGACAAGAACACTGTTCGAATGACTCCAACCAACACAGAGAAGGAAAAAGAGAAAGTAAGTTAAGGATTTCGATTATTCGATCGCGACTAGGGTATTACGACTGTTACAGAGATTACGAGATTAGGGGTTGGGGGGGAGGGGGTCGGTCGGTCGATGGAGGGCCGCACACTGGTATCACCTGGGATATTATGGTACCTGGTGTAGTATCGAGATACGATAAAGAATATAAGCCATGCTCTAACTACAGCTACAACACAGAGAGAGGGTTGACTTGCCTTGTCAGACTCCTATGCGTTCAGGAACCGGCACAGAAAAATAAAAGTTTGGGATTAGAATCTCGCTGCTCGCTCAGAAGAGGTAAAAGTTCGCGCTATTGTTACTGTGCGAATGGAAAACAGCGCGATGGGGACGCCATACTGTATACACGCATGAAACACTTCGAGAGGATCGACGACGCTCTGGATCTATTTCGCGAAAGTATCAGGTCGTTCGCTACATTCGTCCTGTTTTACTAATATGTAATGTTATAATAGTCAAAATCCACGTTTATTGCATATTACTTTCGGTATTCACTGCGTTTCTGGAAGATACGATCGTGATCTTAAGTTATCACTTTTGTATCTTCATATTGGATAGTTAGAACAATTTAACATTTATTTAATTTCTCGAGGGGTATTAACACACATGTGCACGTTTGCTTTTATATCGAAATTGCTGTTACTTACGACCACCACAATATCGTTTACAAAAAAATAGACCACCATATTAAAGTGAGACTGTATGTTTGTATATTAAAATCAATTTTCTAGATAAAACGTGCTTTGATTTGCGTGTATTCGATTAGAAAAATTCGTTCCTCGAGAGATTAAATATGAGTGATTTGAATTAGAAAAGGAAGTATAGCTGCAACACATTTTGGATAAAGTCTTGCTACCTCAAAAAGTAGTTGAACAAAATAATGTCCACATTGTCCAACAAACCCTAATACTTTTTTCATCAAAAAAAGGAAAGAACCTAGCGAACGACCTAACAAAAGAGACAAAAGGAGGTAAACAGACCTACAGTTAAAGAACCGTGTTTGGTTACCTGTTCAGAGCTTCGACCTTGACCATGTGAGGATCAACTTCAGCTTTGAAATTGGCCAATTGTTTGATCTGTTTCTTAACTTCGTCGATGTCGCTGCCGAGGGGTCCCATCCGTGCAAACTTCTCCTCAGCCTCCTCCAAGAATTCCAGAAGGTTGTGCAACGTTTCGTGGAACTCCATGGCCTTTTCCATCGCGTCGATGAGATTTTCCTCGCGCCTAGCGTACAGGGCAGTGACGTTGTCCCACGCTTGATCCAAATCCTCGATGTGTTTCCTGACCTCTGGTTTATCTGGTTCGCCGCAGAGTCCCATCAACTCGTGACCAGAAGCTCGAACTTGCTCCACATCGGGTTTCGTTTGGTCGATCTCGTGCCGGATCTCCTGGAGGGCGACTTGTTGTTGTTGGATGGCTGCTGGCTGAGCAGCCGGTGGTGCCTGACCAGCGAGAGCATCTTGAAGCTCTCGCAAGGTCGACATGACACCGTTCAACTCCGACCAGAACTTCTCTGCTATCGACAGGGCATCGTCCAGAGTGTGGCCTCTCTCGTTGGTGGCCTTCTGCACGTCGCTCCATAGTTTGTTCAGTTTCTCCAGCTTCCGTTTGATGTCCTTCACGGCTGGATCGGCTCTGTTGCCTGCCTTGCTGATCACGTCGTCGGCCGCTCGCCTAACAGCAGCGTACGCCTCCGACCTGTGAGCCAGTTCATCGATCAGTCCGGTGTTCTCCTCCATCTGATCCCGCAGGCGACCTGGATGAGCACTAATTGGCTCCGCGCCGTGTACTTGGTCCGCTGTCGATGAAAGAGCGCGCAGCATTCCCTCCAGTTTGTCAGAGAATTGAGACGACTCCTGCAGAGCTTGCTCCAGAGTCTGTTGTCGGCTTCGCAGTTCTGCTCTGAGGGCTGCGTATCGAGTAGTGTCCGCCTCCAGGATGTCCTGTATCTTGATGCCTTCCTCTTCGTTGCAGAGTTTTATTAAAGCTTCGCCAGTCTTGTTCAGTTTCTCGACTAGAGGTTTGTGCTCGTTGATGCTCTGCATGAGGAGCTCGTTCTTGTCTTGCTGGACAGCGATTAAGTCGGGCCTCAAGGCTGGCATGGGAAGCATGGCGACTTGCTGCTCGGCCTCCTCGAGCCAACTGACCAAACCTATGTGGGTGTCGCGTAAATGTTCAGCGAGTGGCAGCGCTTGCTCCAGAGCTCCGAGCCTGTCCGCTGAAAGGCCAGAAACGATCTCCATGGTCTCTCGGAGATCCTCCATCTTCTCTCTGATGGTCGAGGTGTCTTCGTGTTGGCCATTCTCGCGTATCACTTTCTTTGCTGTCGATATCACATCCCTGACGCGACCCTTCTGACTGGATATGTCATCGTTCAACGCCTTGTGCTCCTTCAGCTGAACTCTGATGATTTCTGGTTCGCTGCTGGGTGGCTCTGCTTCGCGTAATTGGTTGTCTACTTCACGGAACCATTCAAGTAGATCGTCGATGTCACCGATCACCTCCAAAGAGCGTTGTTTGCTGAGCTGGATTCTTTCAGCCTTTCGTTGTATTTGTTCAGCGATGGCGTCGAATCGTCTATTGTCTCTGGTGACCAGACCTTCTATAGTCGCTGCGCCCTCGCCAGGTGACAATTGGGACAGCTGCGGTCCGACTGCGTTAATCTTGTCCAAGACTGGCCTGTACTCCGATATTTCCATTTCCAATCGCACGATCTCGTCCTCGCGAGGTTCCGCGGACTGCAGGGCAGATTCCGCTGCCTGCATCCAGTCCATCAGTCGATTGTGGTTATCGTGGAACTGTTGGACCAGTGGTAAGGACTCTTGCGCGTGTTTCAGCAAATCAGAACCTCGGCTGACAAGATCATTGAATCGTCGTTGAAGAGAATCGAGCTTGTCCTTCAGTTGAAGAGCCTCGTCGCTCGAGATGTGCTTCATCAGTTCCAAGCCAGCGTCGGTGGTGCTGTCTACTTCGGTCTGTCGCGTTGAAACTTCTTCGGTCAGGTCTGCTAGATCTTCCATTTGCTGCAAAAGCTTCTCAGTGTGGACTGCCAAGACTCTATATTTCGATAACCTGATCTCCATGCCCTCCATCCATGCCTGAAGTTCTTGGTAGCTGAGGACCAAGTGGCGCAAGCCCTGTCTAGATCTTTGCAACAATCCACCTAGAGCCTCTGATCGTTCGACCAGAGCTGCGTATCTGTCTGCAGCGTCCTGTAACTTGTCTGCCAGAGTACTAGCCTCGTCCTCTCCTACGAGAGCCATCAACTGGCTAGCTATTTCCGTGAGCTCGCTGAAGTCGGGCTTCCTCGACAGAATGTCTTCGTGAAGGGCATCGTGTTCCGTGACGCGCTGTTGAATCTTCTCCTCGTCCGTTGGTACCAACTCCATGTCCCTGACGCGCTTCTCCGTCTTGTCCAACCAGATCGCCAGTGGAACCAGCTTATCTTGGAACTGTTTAGCAACTCCCATTGCTTGTTCGAGGGCTTCCATTCTCTCAGCAGCGCTTTCCGTCAGGTTGTCGAATCTGCCCACGAGTTCCTTCAACTGCTTCTCGATCATTTTTCGTTCCTTAGGATCCGCACCAGCAGCGACCTCTTGACCCATGTTGTACAAAGACGACATCGAATTCTGTCTGTCCATCAGCATCTTCTTCAAGAACTTCTGCTCCTGTAATTGCGCCTTGACCACCTTGTAGTCCGACGATGGTGGTTTCTGATTGGAAACCATTTCCTCCGTGTCCGTTAACCATTTCTCTAATCCGTCCAGAGCCTCTTGGAATTTACCCGACTGAAGGAGTCCCACGTCTAATCTTCTGTCTCTCTCGTTTAATCTATCCTTTAGATCGTTCCATTTGTCGTTCATCTTGTCGACATCCTTTTCGATGTTGCTGGTACTAACATCACGACCGGCAGTCTGAATCAAAGACTGGCCAATGGCGTTGCAATCTTCGACAGCGCGGGCTAGGGGTTCTATCTTGTGTATTTTTAAAAGTCTAAAGTCCTCTTGCTGAGCCTTTATAGATTCTACTTCGGAACCGACAGGCCTGAATCTTCTGAATTCTTCGTTTGCATCATCGATCTCCGAGATGACGGTGGTGTGCGCTTGATAGAACTCTTGTAATTTGTCGAGAGTCGCGGTAAGTTCGTCGTGACGATCTCGCGTGCGATCATCGAGCTTACCAATTTGTCGTTTCAAGCCAGCAACCTGTTCCCTCGTAGCTACCGCGTCAGCTGCGAAACCATAGTCGACCAATCGTTCTCCTAGGCTTTCCAGATCTGTCACTTCCTCGTACAATCTATTCACTTTACTGATCACTTTAGTCGTATCCTCTATCTGAGAACGCACCAATTTAATTTCTCTACCAGGTGCTCTCATAGAATCCAATTCCTTCTCGAGACTGGAGACGTTCTGACCAATTGATTTCACGTGGTCGTTGAATTGCGCCATAGCGGTAGCTGCGCTCTGTAATTCGTTGCATCTGTCGTCCAACTTCGCCTGCAGGTCGTTGATCCGATCCGTCAAGTTCTCCACTTCGTCTTGTAGATGGGTTGCATCGACTCCTTGCTCGCCAGCTTTGTGTGCCAAGTCGCTGGCTTGTTGTTTCACGCATTGCAGAGGTTTCTTCAAATTTGTAGTTTCTTCTCGTAAACTCTGAAAGAAGATAAATAATCCTTGAGCGTCGAAACGATGAGTCATCAAACGATGGCTCATCGTTTGAGATAATTATGTACCTTTATCCTATCGAGAAGTTTCGGGTCTTTAGCTGCTCCACCAAGAGCATCGTGAGACGCCAGTTTGTCCTCGCAACGCTGCAAGCCGTGACGCAAGTCTCGCAAATTCTCGTTGAAGTCCATCAAATGTCGTGCAGTATCTTCCAAGGATTGTGTTCTTGTCGAGAGATCTGTAACGTCGATCGATTCATTTAAACATACTGCCATGTCTAGTCAATCAAGAAAATTATAATCGATCACACTTACCGTTGTTCAACTTGTCCCACCTAGTCTTCATGGCGCCAAGTTCATTCTTGACATTCTGTTTGTCAATGTCGCAAGCTCCGAGGAACGTTTCACCAAGGGTCTTGTTGTTCTCAAACTCTCCAGAGTGCTTCCAAACTTCGTTCCTGAAGGAAGCAAGTTCCTTGAGTTGCTTTTCGATGTCCTTGCGTTTAAAGGAAGCTGGTTTCAAACACTCGAGTTTGTCTTCGGCTTGTCGAAGCCATGGCAAGAAGGTATCCTGCGCTTTGTAGTACTTCTTGCAGTGTTCCGCGCAAGTCTGTAGCTTTGTGTGTCTATCGAGCAAGTCCTTCTTCAAACGATCCCACTGGGAATGCATTTTGTCCAAGTCGCGTTGCAGTGACCGATTCTCGACTTTCTGGGACCGCGCGAGCATGTCGCGTCCTTTGTTCAGCAGCATGATGACCTCGTGTTCCTTGCCCATTACGTTTCTGTATATCGGCTCATGATGATCGAGTTGCTGTTGCAGAATATCTCGGTCAGCGGATACCAGCAATTTTTCGGACATGTTTCCAAGCTCGTCGGCAAGCCAACCCAAGGTTTTAGTGCAGGAGGCCTCGAACTGTCTTCCATCTCTCAAGTTACCCTCGATCTCGGCTTTCTTATGGTCCAATTTCTTTTGTAGGTTAGTATAAAGTTTACCAACAGCGGCCAATTTTCCATGAATCTCGGATTTGGAAGCAGGATCGCTCAGGACTTCGCACAGCTGTTCGCCCGCTGCTTCAGCGTCGGCCAACAAAGGTCTCTGGCCTTCCAGTTGTCTCTCCAGGTTCTCGATTTTCCGTAGCTGATCTTCAGGGTCCTTTTCGAGGGTCAATTCGTCCAGATTGTCCGAGATGGCTTGCAGAGCGTCGCGTAAACGATTAAGGCTTGCATCAAACTCACGACTAGTGTCTACCGCGTCGCCTAAGCTCTGCGCTCTCTCATCGAGTCTGGCCAATTGATCTGACCACTTGTCCAAAATAGATCTCAATTTCGCACTGGTTCTCTGGCCGTCGGCGGAATCAGTTCCTATCACGCCGAGAATGCTCTCTCCAACCTGCACCAGGTGGTCCAATTGAGGCTGTTGAGTACGGAATTCTTCTCGCAGGACCTGAACCTGCTGCACTTGGCTAGCAACCATTCTAGGATCGGCTGAGATCGGACCTAACGCGCCCATCATTCGTTCCTTCGACCCCAGCCAAGACACCAAGCCCTCTGACGTGTCGTAAAAGTCCTTAACGTCGTCCAGGAACTTTATTCTATCTTTACACCGTTCGCTGAACGATCTCCATCTGCTGGCCACGTCTTCCATCTCGTCGTTTAATCTATCAACGCCGTCTGCTCCCTTCTTGCGTCTGACCAGATCGCGCACTTGAGTCCTGGTAGTGTCGAGCAACGATTGTTTTTCGTACATCTCCTCGATCACGATCTTGATCTGTTTCGCCGTTTTGTCCGCCTCCTCTTTCGTGCTTGGCATGCTCTCTTTCGGTATTTGTCGCTGGATCTGTAAAGTCAGAAAGAAAAACGTGCGTTGATACAGTTTAGGAAGGGACGAAGGATTCAATTTTGAAAGCGACGCGTTACCTTCTCCAGAAATTGGGACAGGGTCTTCAAGTTATCCATGTGTCTCCTCAGTTCGTCCTTCACGTTGTCCAATTCAGTTTGCCGGTCGGATAGGCGGACGCCCAGCAATTCGTATCTATTGTTGATCTCGGAGAGTTGTTGCTGAACAGGCGACAGATCCTCGAGATGAAAACCGTCCTGACTGGAGCGACGGCTACTGAATCCGCTGCTACCACCTGGAGAGACCGGACTTTGAGCTGCATACAATTTAGCGGGAGATGGTGATCGACCGTCTTGTGACATTCGTCGTACTACAAAAAAAAAATGTGTGAGAGTTGAGCGAAGTGTGACAGTGATGGATGATCGTGAGGGTACGATGTAATGGACCGTCAAGAATGTGCTATCGAGCGATTAGACGACAATGCGAGTGACTAAAGAAGCAAATTAAACTCACTATATGTACCTGGTCTTTTAGTTGGACTGGTACTACCACGACGACGAGTAGGGCTCTCGGTGCGTTCCTTCAGCAAGCCATCATAAGCGATTCCCAGATCGTTCACTTTGTTCACGGTGTTGCCATAATCGCGGTACTCCTTCTGGACAGGTTTCAATTCGTCAGCCTGTCTCTTCAGCTTCTCCAAGTCGACAGCTACTGGCTCGAGTCCTTGAACCTTGCTCTCTGTACGAGTTAGCCAATCGATCACCTGATCGCGAAGCTTCTCGTACGCGGACAGCTGCTCTGCTCTGGATTTGCTTAGTCGTTGTTTTTCGTCAATTAGATTGTTCACTTCCTTCCACTGGGACTCGAGGGCTTTGATCTTATCTCTGATTGGGGCAACGTCCGTTACATCCTTCTTCGAGATCAAGTTCTTTCCGTTGCGGATCAGGTCTTCGAAGCTGGCACGTTGATCCTCTCGTTTGTCCATCAGGATCACCATTTTGCTCTCGTATTCAGTAACGTTCAATTTACTTAAGTCTCTCGATTCAAGCGTCTCGATCATGTGAGCGTACCAGCTGTCGAACTTGCTGGTCTCGACCAAGAAGTCGCCAAGGGCTTGCGCGATTTCGTCGAGGAATTCACCACGACGTAGCGACTTATCCATAAGCTTCTCGAACCTGCCCTGAACGTCTTTCAGCTTGCCCTCTATACGCTTGGCGATACGCGCGTTGCTCGAGTTCGTGAGCAGATCGCGCGCACTGCTCGCGACTGATTCCACGCTCAAGCGATGACTGTCTAGGTCTGCTTGAAGCAAACGTTGGTCCCTCTGTTGCTCTTCCAGTCGCTCCTTCTGAAGACTCGCTGGTCGCTGAATGTTCCTATAAACAAATAACAATCCATGTTCATTTCTGTAAAGTCAGAAAGATTCTAAGTCTAACCGGATATTTCAGTGTGTCGCTTACTTGAACTGGCTCTCGATGTTGTTCAACCAAAGCACCAAGCTATCCAGAGCGTCCTGCACACCCTGGCTTCGAACCAAAGCTGCGTCTAACTCTTGACACTTCTCTGCAATCGCGTTAGTCAACTGTCTGTACTTGTCCTCCAAAGCCCTCGCGGGTTCTTCCAGTTCGTCGACTTCTTTCGGTGTCAGTTGTCCGTCGAGGGACCTCAGGAGGGCTTCAACGGTCACCTTCACGTTCTCCACCAAGCGTTCATTAGCGAGCATCTCGTTGTTGAGTGCTTTAGCTTTACTGAGTTGATCCTCGACTTGTTTAGGCTCTGCCGCGACAGCCTCGGAGATGGCCCTGTGGACCTTGGGTTCTACCTCCTTCAGCCAACTTCTAGCCTTCTCCAAGGACTCGCGATAGTCCCTCTGCCTTCCACCAACTCCGGATAGCTTGTCAGAAAGGAGATTCGCCCGCGAAAGCAGGTCTTTGTACTGAGCAGTGACGATAGAGACTTCACCGCGCACGGGGGAGTCCTGACTAGCTACTGGCTCCTTGTGAGGCAGCCTCTGCGGCAAACTAGTACGGAATTCGTTGAGAACGTGGAGGAACTCTTTGCTCTCGTCGACGAACTTCTGCGCAGCCATGGTGATGAATCTTAGATCTGCTTGGTGCGCTATAACGTCGCTTATGAAATCGCGCGTGGCGTCTGTGCTGCTGTTCAATCTGTTCAGGTCGGACAACGAGTGCTCCTTCTCTTCCAACACTCGTCTCGCGTTGTCCAGCCAATGGGAGAACGTCGACAACTCGTTCCTACGTTCCAAATTGTGTTTATATTTAATAAAAAGAGAAAACTGCAGGAATATAGGGTGGTTACATTTTTCGGGTGTGTTTTACATATTAACCCTTTATAGGGCACTGATACTCGTTGGTACCGCTAAGGAAAGGGCGGGAATTTTGTATTTTTAAGTTTCTACGCTCATACTTTTTTTTTACAAAAAAAAAAGTGGAAAAGAAATACCCAGGGAGTTCTGCCCTATAAAGGGTTAATGTAGATGACGGAACAACTAGCATGAAGTTGTGGTATGACCTAACGTAGTTCAAGTCAATTCAATCTATTTAATAATTAGCGATGCTCAGGGTTGATAGTTCTTATAAGAACTTTTACACGCAAGACGTAACATAAGCGGAATGGTACCCACTTGAACTTGACCAACTCGTCCCTGGCGGCGATCAAACGTTTCACCATTCTCTCTGTTCTGTCCGAGGCCTTGTCGAACCTGGTCTTCAGGGAGCGTCCGTTTCTCTCCAAGGTGGACACTTCTTCGCTGGAGAGGACGTTGCTACCAGTTAGGACCACCTGACGAATTTGGTCCAGGCAGGTGGAGACAGGTCTGGCGTGAGCCTCCAGGTCCTCTTTGATCTCCTGATGATACATGCATTGATGTACATATATGTATGGACATAGTGGGAGAGAAAGGGAGGGAGAGAGAGAGAGAGAGAGAGAGAGAGAGAGATGTTTATTTTTATCAGGTTTGGAAAGTGTCCAGATTTTTTAATCGCATACTAAAATTTCTATTAGTCGTTCTAATAATAGCCATTCATAATCTGAGGATATTTATGGATTTATGATAAGTATAAATACATGAAAATATACACGGACTTGTACAAGTGCATAAATGTATAAAATATGAAAAATAAAATGCACTTTAAATTGTTTGGAAGACAAAACATACTTCAGGTTTCTGTTCTTTATATGTATATATATAAAGATATGAATTTGCATAAACGTCCACACTCTAGACATGACTATACGTACACAAAGAAGTCTATTCTCGGATTAATTTGTGTACATGTTTATTATTTAATGAACCAAGACGCCCATGCTTACTTTCATGGCGTTTATCTGGCTTCGAAGCTGATCAACGTCCTCCTTAACGTTATCCTGTTTAGCCAACTTGTCCTCCACCTCGGATATCCACTGCAGGAGCCTCGAGGACGTTTCGTCGCACAGCTTGTACTTCTCCTCGACCGCTTGCTACATTGGTTTGCAACAGAGAGAGGAACAGGTGTTGGTACCGACCGCAGGTGATCGCACAGGTAGACGCGACTTAAAGGGTAATCTTAGTTTCTAACGTGCTCTCTTAAAACGTAACAATCGAAGAAAAACCGCCCCCTTACCAACGGCGGTTGCTCTGTAAGAATTAACGAAGAAAGTAGAGATTAAGAAATAATATATATATATATATGGGGTACATGGTAAGCTTATAAACGTATCTCACGCATGCAAAACACATACACACACTTTGGAACGTAAAGTAAAACGTGACAACGTTATTGTTTATATACGTATAAATATATATAAGTAATTTAAAAAAAAAACAAAAACAAAAACACAGTTTTTTTAGAAGAACCCAAGAAGGTCTGATTGATCTGCCAGCGAGTAATCGAACTGCATACTCGTACCCGTACGTGGTTTTTGTTCTTATATGCAGTCGGCAAGCGAGAACGATGGTAAACAGAACGGAGGAAGCCGCGTTCTCGTCAATAAGACGCGTCTGCAAAGCAAGTACAATATAAACTGAAAAGAATACGATATCGCGATAACGAGAAATGGCGACAGTGACAAAAAAACGAGATGACGAGAGGGTTGAAGGGATTTTTGAATAGGAAGCCGCTCGATTGCGACGCATCGATGGGGAGGGATTGTTCGTATGGTGGATATGTCGAGGCTTGTATGCTACGTGCTCGTGAGATTTCCGCATAACTCGTGCTAGAAAGAAAACAGGATCGAGCTAAACAAACGAATACGATAATACCTGAAAACAAAGGAAAACTTCAATGTAACAATTGCAATGTAACGATTGGAGAAATAAATGGGTCCGTCGATCAGTTATAAAAATTGGGGGTTGCGGGTTGAGGGGGGAGAGATTCTGATAAATGGGGGTGTGGTTCGGTACACTCCTGGACGCGAGGAATAAATTGTCGTAGTGTTACACTCGAAAATTGTTCTTTGATTGAGAAAAAATATTGAAAGTAAAATTCATATAATATTTAAAGAATATAAATAAATGCCTGTTTAGGTTCAATTCTAATAGACGCGTTTGCAAAGATTTTATTTTGCATAAAAATCCGTAGTCTACTCATGATAATATACGACTTTTGTGGTTAAATATTAACGTTCTGGAAAGTAATGGTCTGGTATCATTTGAATCTACTCTCGACTACTAAATAATAGCACAAAGGTGTAATCTTTTCGTCCAGGAGTGTAACCTGTCGATGCATGCGGTCACACGTAACACGTGGCTACGCGTTGAACGACTAGTCGCTGTCGATTTGATGGTTTCGATCGTTATGTACCCATGGTAAGTGACATAAGTGACACAGGCCTCCCCGGTGCCATGATCACGGCGTTAATACATTATTTCTCTTTCGCATCGTTCCACGCTTCCTTTCTATCGCCAGGCCCCTTGAAAAACTATCACAAATGCTTCCACTTTAATTTTAAAAAAACTCACAATCTCGATCCAGAGACCATCTCGAAGAGAAGCGTGAAACGAGCCAGCGAACCAACGTGCAAATTACAACAAACGTTATTAAGATTAATACTATGATCCAGTTAGCATTGCCGATGCGATCAGGCGACGCGCGATAGATCAATTGAATCACGTGTTTGATGGTTGACCCGCGCGTACAACGAGGGATTATATCTTGCGGGCGAAATGGTCGTTTTAGATGCTTTTCCTTTCCTTTTTCTTTCTCTTTTTAAATTGTATTTTAACGTTGCAAACGCGCGCGATTAGTACACGTATGAGATTAGCCCCCTGTTACGTGAAGCGAATGACGTGCGTCTTGATATGGTGTGTATGATATGCGAGTGCGAAACGAAGGGAAAGGAGGAGCGCCCCACGTGAAACGGTTCGATCCCATGGACTCCGTTTATTTTCGATGATACTCGGTGATTCGTGACTCGTGATTCGACGGTTTTATTTATTTTCGAGGACCAATTTCGACGATTCGTTGGTTTCTTTTATTTTTTGATGTTCAAACGTATCGTGGCACGCTCGAAAAGGGTCGTCCATGCAGGATATCTGATGCCTAGCGGTGTGATGCTCGATATGTGCTGATTACGATGACTGTTTCGCTTTATGGTTGCTTGCTACCAACAAGCATCGTTCGGTAGTGACAGAACGAACAATCGCGAGACATGGTCGGCTATCGTCGCACACGTAGAGCGATAGTCGACTCGGATGCATCGTAAGCGTACAAATACGAAACGATCCATAACCTTTGGCAAGCGGTTAAAAAATTTAAAAAAAAAAAAAGAGGATTAGATTGTGAGATAGTAGACAAAAATAAGTAGCGAAGAAAACGTGTGTGAGAAAAAGGAAGGTGTGAAAAAGAGACCGATACAAAAAGTTAGAGAAAAATTGAAAAAAAAAAAAATATCGATAGCGAGGAAGGGATGCTGGGTAGGGTGCGTTGGATTTGGTGCACACGAAATGGAAAGCTAAAATTTTTGGGATCCTCTGTGGTTCCTTCTTGTAAGGCACAGTGTTTATATTTAAAAAAAAAAAGAAAAAAATGAAAAATAAGTATCAGTAAAAGAAAAGTAGAAGTTCATTCGTAAAATAACTATATAAAGCTGTATGACTTTAATTTTGATTTCTGAAATATGCATCTGTCTGTTATCAAGGACTTATCTAATTAATACGAATGCTTGTTGTATAAGAAAAAGAGAGAATGTACATTAGTGATCTAGTTCCCATTTTCGTTCAATGATTTTGAGTATGAAAATTGATGATATAACTTTTTAAGAGAACTAGTTTGAAGAAGGACACGTTATTCAAATATTCCACGATGGTCAATCTTCATACTTAACGTTATTTTTTCCAGTTATATCAAGGCAGTACTATGGACTTGTAAGATCTAAAAACGATTGGAGCTGAATCTTACGAAGAAGCGTATAAAAAATTGAATCTCATTACTTTCACGAGCCTTGGCATGCATGATATAAATATTTTGAACTGTTCACTAAGCATAAGAATAATAATAATAGTAAGGGTGGACAAGTTATTTGGTTTACCTAGCATGTGACACTATGCGTATTTATTAATTCTAGGATGACTTCTGCAAGGGTTGACCAGAAGGATCACTTTACATCCCTCTTGAGATTTGAATTTAATATCTACTTCTAATTTCGTATAATCCTAGCCCAGGTATTCTAATTTCAGTAGACTTCAGTAGACCCTGCCCTTCGTACTGTTAATACCAGTTAAAAGCTACCCATTCACCAAGCCTATAAACAATCTACAAATCCTCCTAGGATTAATAAATTAGTATGCAATTCAACAGCTCTTACGCATCGGCATCGAAAGCTTTCAACGCCCACCATCTTGTTTCTCTTCGATAGCTACTACTCTACGCAATGTCCACCCCTTGAAATTCATAATTAAAGAAACAATAAAGTAAATTTCATGTGCACCAATACAACAAACGCCGTAAGCGACGAAGTCCGCCGTGAGATAGAAATAGAAGAGGCAAGAAAGAGTGCCACTTACCCTAGCTTCTGCGGTGAGAATATAACCCTGGTCCAGGGCTTTCGCGAAGTCAAGGCTCTTTCCCGATGGATCTCCGATAAGCCTGCCCACTCTAGGATCTATTATCCCCGTGTTTATAGCCTCTAGCAAACTAACGATTTTACCGGTGCCAGGCTCTTTGATCACTGTGCTGGACGGATCGATCGAACCGACGTCGATCGCCTCCTTCAACGTGGCGGGGTTACGATCGAACGCGGACGCGACACGGAAGGGATCATCGAAGCTACCGGACGCGACGTCGTACAGGCCAAACTCCAGGGCCTCGATGAATGACAGACCGCGTTTAGGCGTTATCAAAAGCTCCTGCTCGATAGCTTTCGCCAATGGATACAATCTCGAAGTCTCGGTCTCCAAAACGTTCCCTTTCTCGGCGTCCATCAGACCCTTCCTGAACGCCTCTGCCAACTTTACTAGCTTCTTCTTCTTCGTGTCTTTGATCAGAGCGGACTCAGAGTCGACGATACCAAGACCGACAGCATCTTTCAAGGTAGCTGGCTCGTTGGTCTTGGGGTCCGTCAGTTTCCCACCCTCCGCGGACAAGAATCCTTTCTCCCAGGCCTCCTCGAAGGTCAAAGGTCGCGAGAAAAAGACCTCGACGTCACCGAATCGAACGAATCGAGGTGCCAATTTGCCATCTGAGGTTCTGAGAGAGTCTGATTCAATTGTTGCCCTTACAGCTGGGTCGAGAATGCCGTCGCCGAGGATGCTGTTGATCGTGACGAACCTGCCTGTCTTGGGGTGTCTGATGACGGCAGTGTTGGGGTCGATGAGACGATTGTCGATTGCTTCTTGGATAGTGTACTCTCGAGGAGAGGGCTCGTCCTTACGAGTGAGACTTCGACGCGCTGGTTGGTGCGTCAATGGCTTCTCTAGGGTGACCAGAAGTCCACGTTCGAGAGCGACGTCGATGGGATAGGCGCGTTTCGTTTTCGAATCTAGGATCCGTCCATAGGGGACGTCGATAGCGCCGTTTTCAATTCCCGCCAAGAGGGACGTTATCTGCCCAGTGGTCGCGTCTTTGAGAGCAGTTGTGTCGGGATCGAGGAGGCCAACGTCGAAGGCATGAGTTAGATCGTGACTCTCGTTTGTTCGAGGATCGACGAACACTCCAGTTTGGCTTCGATAAAGGTCGCAGGCCACTGCTTCCTCTATGCTTAATGGTAGCTTGGAGGGAACTATGTGTCCTCTGGTTACAGCCTCTCGTAGATCGATAGATCCCTCGTTATCAGGCAGTGCGTTATAAGTACCGCGAGTATCGTCGATAACGTTCGTAGAAATAGCGTCCGTGAGTGGCATGTACCGATCGGATCGAGCGTCGCGTACGAGCGACGTCAGAGGATCTATCAGCTCGGATCGACACGCCTCTGCGAGAGTGAGCTTCTGGTTGGTGGACGGATGCGTGAACGTTCCCGAGGAGGAATCGTAGGTGTTCATCACGATCGCCTGGTGAAGACTGAATTCCGTGGTCTCGATATCGACGATCAGCCCTAGCTGCAAGGCTAAGGATAAGGACACGGATCTGTTCGCCCCTGGCTCTTTAAACATCCCCGATCGTCGATCGATCACACCCGCGCGACAGGTTTCCGCCAACGACAGCAACCTATCAGCCCGTTTATCCCAGTAACACGCGAGCATAGGACTCACCACGCAGTTCCTCATGGCTTCGTGTAGAGTTACCGATCTTCCCGTGCTGGGATCGGTGATTTTCCCAGTCTGGTCGTTGTACAGACCTTGATGGATGGCTCTCTGCAGGGACACGGCTGCTCGGTGATCGACGATCAGGCCAGCGTCGTAAGCCTCCTGCAGAGACATGTCCGAATCTGCGGTGACGTTTACCTTGCCAGTGACGCCGTTGATGTATCCTGATCTTATAGCCTCCATCAGCGAGATCCTCTCGCGGAAGCCGCTTCTGCCATCCTTCACAGTCACGGATTCCACGTCTATCAAGTTTCTCTTTATCGCCTCGAGTAGAGTCAAATAAACGCCTGTTTGAGGATCAAGGAATGTGTTCGTTCTCTCGTCCAGGATACCCTTGTAGATAGCCTCGCTAAAGGTCATAGGTCGTCGAGCCTCCAGGAGCAATCCGTGCTCCAACGCCTCGCGAAAGTCCAACCGTTTTCCTTTCTCATTCGTCACAGTTCCCGTCTTAGGGTCGACGATCAGTTCCTTCATGGCTTTATCGAAGGTGATAACCTTGCCTTCGGGTTGGCGAACCACTACCGCGGTGCTGGGATCGATAACGCCAGCTTTAATGGCGCGATCGGTTGGCAGCTTCTCCTTGGTCTCTGGAACGATGAAGCGGCCTGTCGTGGGTTCGTAAAGACCCTTGAATACTGCTTCAGGAAGCGAGATTTTGCGCTTGGCTGGCACAATGATACCACGATCGAAGGCATCGGTCAGTGATAAAGGTGAATTGGTGGTGGGATCGACGGCTGTGCCTGTTTTGGGATCGATCAGGCCTAACTTTATGGCCTTCCCAAGAGAAATTATCTCGCTGTTTCTTGGATCTTTAACAGAAGGACTGTCTTTGGCGATCAGACCGATATCTAGCGCTTTCTCGAGGGTGTAACTAGTGCCATCTATGGCGAAGGTGCCCTTCTGAGGATCGTACGTCTGATGGGCGAGGGCTTCTTGCAGGGACCAGGGTTTCAAGGTGCTGAGGATGTATCCCTTTTCATGAGCGATGTCTAACGTCATGGGATGAGGGGAGATCAATATTCCCTTCTCAAGGTCGATCAAATTACTTTCCTCGGCCTCCCGCAGAGACAGAACTCTGTCTGATCGATCGTCCCTGACCATCGTTGTCTCTCCATCTACGTAGCCTGTAGCAAGTGCTTCCTTCAAGGTGGTCTCCTCCCCAGTTGTAGGATTAGCGACTAGACCTGTCGTCGAGTTATAGTACTCCTGAACGATTGCATCAGTCAGTGAAGGAACGAAGCCTGTTGTGGCAATAATGCCTCTCCTTAGGGCAACGTTCAAAGGAAGCTGTTCACCCGTCTTAGTGTCTCTTAATCGTCCTGTGCTTGGATCCAGCAGCTTCGACTCGTCGCTCAGCGCTTCCTCCAGCGAGAGGAATGTTCCCGCTTTGGTGTCCTCGCATTCGCTGATGAAGGCGTCGATCAGTCCTCTGCGCACGCTCTCCTCCGCGTCTATCCACTGGCCGGTTAACGTGTCTAGGATCCTACCTGTGTTTTCATCGTAGAGACCCTTTTTGATGGCAGCTTCCAACGAAATCGGTTTACGCGATTTAGGGACGACCAGTCCCTTAACAAAGGCCTCCTCGACGTCCACGTCTCCACCAGACTCTAGTATCTCTTGCAACGAGACGACCTCGTCGTTCACGGGATCTCGAACGCTGATCGTGCTGGGATCGATCAGTCCAATCTCGATGGCTTCGTTCAGCTTCATCGTTTGATTCGTCGAGGGATCGCGGATCTCGCAAGTAGATGGATCTAGTAAACGGTTCTCAATGGCGTCGCGCAGACTCAAGCCTTCTCGATTAACGATCTCAGAGATCGCTGACTGCTCAGCCTTGGGCATCTGCTTGATCAACTCTACCTTCACTGCCTCGAAGAAGGGTATCTTTCTACCTGTTTTCGGCTCTACCATGTATCCGTGGTTTCTATCAACGAGAGGCTTGGCAATCGCGTCGCGAAGGGACACGTACTTGTCCATGGTTCTGCAGGACAAATCTTTTACCAATACTTGATCTGCGTCGATAAAGCCGAGATCCAGGACGAAGTCGTTGAAAGACACCACCTCTCCTGTCTGTGGATCCAAGAACTTATCCTTCTCGAGATCGTACGCTCTTTTGACGACCAGATCCATGGCTGTTAAATTCGGAGTCACCTCGAACACGAACCTCGTTCCATCTTCTTCGAAGTTGTAGTCGTTCTCTTTTTCTAGTCGATTCTCTTCGGCTTCCAGCTGCTCGAACTCTTCCAGTGCTTCTGCTTCGATGGCCATCTGTTGTTTAGATGGACTCTCTACCTTCTCTACCGGTGGTTCTTCTGGTTTCGGTTCCGTTTTCGAATGTTCTTTCGGTGTTTCTTGTTTAAGCGATAATTCCGTTGTTTTCGCGACCTGTGGCTGTAGTTCTTCTTTCTCTTTTACTTGCAGGTTTTCTTTTTCAAGTTTCTGTTCGGTGGGTACCAAAGTTTCTTCCGCTTGAGGTTGTTGTTTGGATGGCTCTACTTTTCCTGGCTTTTCCTTTTGCTCTTGTACTTGAGGAGACTCTTTCACTGCTTCTGTTTTACCTTTACTGAATTCTTCATTAGGCTTTTCTATTGCCACCGACTTTCTTTCCAGACTACCATCTACTACTGACGTCGTCCGTTCTTGTAACACACCTGACGAAACCTTCTGTTCGTTCTTCTGAGGAACCTTTTGCTCCTTTATCTTCTTATCGGCTTCTTTACCTTTGTCCTTGTTGGTAGCATCGCGAACAGCGTCGTACACCGCCTTTCCAGCCAGAACAGGTGCCAGAACAGGTGCTGCCACCGCCAGCAAGCCCAACTTGGCCGCCTGCTTCAAAGAAACGGACCCACGACCTTCGGAGCCCTTGGCCTTCCCCGTGACAGGGTCGATGATTCCTTTTTCGATTGCTTCTTTAGTCGTGACCGTCTTGGTAGTCTTGGTGTCGTAAAGAGGAGTATTAGGGTCGACCAGGCCAACCTGCATGGCTTCCGTGAGAGTGTACGATTTTTTAGTATCTGGGTCGACGAATCTCTCGGTTTCTTCGTCGTAAATCTGGTCGATTTTATGGGTCTCTGCGCTGGTAACTGCGTCAGGTTGATTGGTAGATCCATCCAAGAAGCCGTGCTCTATAGCTTCTCGAATAGGCATCGCGATTCCTGTCGAAGGATTGGTGTAGGTGCCAGCGGCGATATCGAGCAGACCCTTCTGAAGCGCGTCGTCGAAAGTCATCTTGATGTCTTTGGTGGTGAATTCTTCCCTACGTTCAGACTCGTCCTTGACGATTCCTCTGCGACGAGCCTCGTCGATGCTCATGGTGTCACCTGTCTCGATGTTTCGGATTTCGCTAGCGTTCACCAAAGCGTAACCTTGCAGAATATCGATGGTCTTGGTGGTGACTGTGTGGTAAGACGTGATGGTTTCGGTGATGCCACACGAGGTTACTGTTACAGACGCGTTGGTGACTGGTGGTTTGACGACTAGTAGGCCAGATTCGATTGCTTCGAATATTGGTACCGGAGTGCCAGTGGTCGGATGAACGAAGACACCCTTCTCACGATCGATTAAACCAGCCTCGAGGGCTTTGGTCACCTCCATGCTGTCGGAGGCGACAGGGCATGGCAAAGACATTATAAAGTTTCCCTGTATGGCGTCCTCGAGGGGCAAGAGCTCTTCTGTGATCGGATGTCTTATTTCCTTGCCCGTAGCATCGATCAAACCGCGTTCCAGCGCCACTGGGAAGGTCATACCAGCCGGAGGTATCTGTTCTTGGCCCTTGTCCGAATCCGCGAACACATTACTCTCGACAGCTTTCACCAGGTCAACGATGCCACCTTCGCTGGTTTTTATCAAGGACCTCTCAGGATCTACGAGATCGCTATCGATGGCATTACGAAGAGTCTCCGTGCGACCATTGGAGCATGTTAGTTTCGACAGAGGATCGACAATCTCGCAGAGGATCGCCTCCCTGAGAGTAAGGTGCACGCCAGTCTCTGGGTGAACGACTTTGCCCTCTTCAGGGTCTAGCAGACCCTGCTTGTACAAACCAGGAATCGACAAGCTCTTGGCCAGGGGTACCAAAACGTCAGCACTCTCGGGATCCAAGATTCCACGCTCGACTGCTTCGCCAATGTTCAGGACATCTCCTCTCTGAGGATCTACGATCTTCCCTGATGCAGCGTCTATTCGTTTGCTACGGATAGCCTCCGAAAGCGTGACAAGCTTACCGTCGTCCACTGCCAGCTGCCTTGCAAGAACCTCCGCGGTCTCTGGGTCGATCAGACCGCTCTCGACGGCTTCCTTCACTTTTACTACTCTCTTCCTCATCTTCTGAAGAACGATCGGTTTAGCTTCGCCGTCGAAATCCTGCGACACGGTTGCCTTGCCTATAGTCACTCTATATTTGGGTTCGAAGCTTACTCTGGCTTTAAACTTCGCGTCGGTCTCTGATTCGGCTTCTCCGTCGGTTCTCGAGACGGAGTGTTCCTCGCTCGTGGCTCCACTTGGCGAGAAATCCGTCACGGAGTCTATTACAGACGTGGATCCAATAGCAGAGTCCATTTCGGACATAGATGCGGAAGTGGTAGGTTTGCCAGCGGTTTCTTCTTCAGGGGATCTTTCAGCTTCTGTCTTCTGGGTTAAAATGGCGGAAGTGTCGGTAGTAGGAGTGAAGGATGCGACTGGCACAAGAGGGGAGCCCACTACGTTTACTATACCGAATTTGGCTGCGTCTAGCAACGATATCTTTCTCTGCTCGTCGACTTTGTATTCCGCCGTCTCCACATTGACTACGCCACGTTGAATGGCTTCCACTATGCTGATATCCTTTCCTGAGACAGGGTCTTTGACGATCACCACATCGTGAGGCAGAGTGCCCTCGGAAAGAGCAGCTAGCAACTCGCTAGACTTTCCAGTTTCGGTTGATATGACCAGAGCCGTGCTTGGATCGTAAATGAGACCTCGCGAGACTCGCACTGGATCGGGTATCGATAGATTTGCTTCTGATACTTTGATCTCCAACTGCTTCGAGGGATCATCTGATCGCGATAGTTCGAGCTTGTCAGGCTCTCCAGATACCTTGGTAATTCGAAGTAGCCTCTGTTGAGAGTTATCTGCCTCAGGATGCCTACCTGTTAGGATTACCAGTTCTTTGCTGATCGCTTCTTTCATCGATATCTTTTCTGGTTCGGCGTAGTGGCCAGTAGAATCTAAGATGTTCTTCTCCAGGCTTCGTAGCAGGGAAACTTTCCTACCGTTACTGGGGTCTATCACGAGACCCGAATTGGGATCTATTATTCGAAGCTTGACGCACTCCTCGAAGGAGACCAGTCTATCGGTTCCTGGGATTATGAACAAACCTGTGGTTGGATCGAACAACATTCGTTCGATCGCCTCTGAAAGGGACCATCCGTCGGTAGGGAGCTCGAACACGCGTCTTTCGATTGGCGTACTCTCCCTGGAAAGTCTGTCAATTGTAGAGTCGATGATGACACTCGTGTCTTGATCTTGATCTGGGTCCTTAAGTCGATCGGACCACGACAGTTGTGCTGCGTACCTATCGTCCTCTGGGGACACCTTCGTCGGGGTTTGAGATATAGTTTCGTTCTTATTTTTGATTATAGTGCTCGTATTCGTATTCGAAGAAGAGACTACACGATCTTTGGTAATGATGGTCGTGGTCATGCCGATGGCTCGCGGCACGTTGTCGTTCAGCGTTGAGTCGAAGGACTCGTCGACGTCCATCGCTCTGTCAACGGAAGGCGTTCGTTCTCTTTCGTCTATTAGTTTCCTAGCGACTCTTTCAGGCTCCTCATGATGAATTTCCCTGACCTTTGTTACAGTCTGCGTGGTAACAGTAACGTTCAACAAACCTGTGAGCAGAGCAGCACCATCGGGGGTAATGAGTCCTCGTTTTATCGCATTTTCTAAAGGCACTGGCTTCTTGGTCCGGGGATCCAACAGGAGACCAGTCCTGGGATCGAGAAGTCCCGAGAAAACGGCTTCGAGGAACGTGATCTCTCTGCCCTCTTCGATTATTCCGATTCCTCTGTTCAGCATCTCTGAGACTTCTGGTCGAACGTAGCCTAGCTTCTCGGCTTCAGCCAGCGAAACCGTCTCTCCTGTATTGGGATCGACTATGTAGCTACCACCAGACTTGGAACTGATCAAACCTTTGAGCAACGCAGCGTTCAGGGTCACGAACTCCCCAGTCAAGGGATCTTTGAAACCGTCCACGTCGAATATCGTCTTCTGGGCGAGGGAAGAGATCAATCCCTTCTCCACAGCCTCAGAAATAGCGCACTCCTCCGTGGAGTTGCGGTAGGTGGCCTTCTGTGGATCGATCAAACCACGGTTCAACGCCTCTGCCAGCGTGACTCTCTCGCCCGTTCTCGGGTCGACAATCGAGTTCAAACGATCCGTATCGAGAACGCCTCTCTCGATCGCCTCCGTCACGGTCAATTTCGTTCGATGCGCCGGACTAGTAATCCTTCCGCTCTCGTCGATGATCCCCGAGTCCTGGCAATCTTTCAACGTCATCGGTTTGACTATCAAACGCATTCGACGCGCCTCCTTCAAAGACAATTTCTCCATCGTCACGCCGTGCATGTACTTTCCAGTCTTGGGGTTGATAATACCAAACCTTATAGCTTCCAGAAGCGTCACCTTGGTGTCGTTTTTCGCGTCCACGATCTCTCTCGCGGTGGGATCCAGTATCCCTTTCTTTACGGCCTCATCGAGAGCGTAGCTCTCACCCGTAACTCTGTCGAAGACGCGACCGAGCGTCTCGTCCACCAAGCCCTGGGATATCGCGTCGGAGAGAGGCAACGCGCTCCTCTTCACCGTGACGGTCACGTCGAGTTTGGTCAGGTAACCCCTCGCGTGCGCCTCCTCCACCGACAGCCTCTCGCCGTCCTCCGTAACGAGTTCGCCCGTGCGCGGATCCAACGCGGAACCTCGCCCTTCGGCCGCGTCGTCCTTTATCGCATCGGCTACCCTAACCGTCACGTCGTTCGAATCGACGGGCGCGTCCTGTCTGTAAGTTACCTTCGCTCTGTCCCCTGACCCGTCGCTTTTCTCCGCGTCGTACAGCTCCCGCTGGATAGCCTCGAGCAGAGACACCGGTCGTCCCTCCTCGTCGAAGCCGCATGGGCCTAGCAGACGATCCGCGAGACGCGGATCGATCATCTTCTCGCGGGCCGCCTCCTCTATCGTAACGGTCTTTCTGCCATCCTTCGAGCACGCTATCCTACCCCTCCTAACGTCCAGGATCCTAAGACTAATCGCCTCGCCCACCGTCAACACGTTCCCCGTCCTCGGATCTACGATACCCCTAGCTTCTATTACGTTCTCTGTACCTATACCCTCGTCCGCCCGCTCTATCCTCTTAAGACTCCTAATCTCGCTAAAATGTACGCCGCTGGCGCTGCTGGTCTTCGACCAGGATGCCTCGTCCCTCTCGTCGCTACGTTCCCTCTTCTCGTCGTTCTCGCGTCTTTGCGTGATCTTTTCCCGCTCGATCTCGATCTCCGACTGCGAAGTCGGAACGGTAGCGACATCCTGGCCGAGGCGAGAACGCTCTTGGGAACTCGAGCGACGCGTCGTGTCGCTAGAGACCGTCTCGGTCCTCTCGGTACGCTCTGTCCTCTCGTGTCGCTCCAAACTGTACCTGAAAGTAGTGGACGAAATGGAAAAATTATTTCTTAGCGGACAGAGGTATGTCCCGTGGATACTTGGTTTACTTACTGGGACTGTGTGTAGTGCGTCGTCGTCGACGTGTAACGTTCTTCGCAGGTGCTGCTCTCGTAGATGTTGAACTCTGTGCGGAACGTTCTGAGCGGCCTTTGCTCTTGAAGGGCGCGCTGGAACATTTATTAAGTAATATGCTTTGAGTTTCATCGTGTTTGTTAATATGAAATTTTGTATGCGATAGTCTTTAGATATAAATATTTCTTAACGAGGTTTGCTTTGACACAGTTCTAGAACAAAATTCGTGTACAGAGAGTCAAGTATTAATGTAATAAAGACAATATTTCACTAATAATCCATTAATATTCCATTCCATTCCACAAGATAGTATTCCATTAACGCGATAAAGATAATATTTCAACAAAGATATTTGCTGATAAATTGTATATCGACAAGAATAACTTTCTTATACTTTAACGATTACGAGATCCCATAACTCGAAACTCTCGGCATGCGTTGATAGCGAGACACGGAAAGCCTCAATTGGCGCGTAATCGTGTTCAACGATAGAAGAGATTGCAGGAAGATTGAGTTTACCCTCCGATACAATTGAGAAAGCGTGCAAAGTTGGCAAACGCCTATCAGACCAGACGTTGATAGCGAATTGAAGACGAGTGGACATTTTCGATTCTAACTTGGGAATCGATTCGACGAATTTGCAATTAAACCTTTGGCACGCAGTTTTCCAAGATGTTAATACCTATGTATTGGGTTATTCAGTCAGATAAAGATAACCTTAGTCCGCAATTACACTTTAGGTAAGTCAAAGTTTGCGCCAATTTAAACGCTGACATAGAAACTCGGAATACGGTCATGCACGTGTGCTTTGGAATAACTGCATCGTATTTTCAACTGTTTTGAAACTTGGAGAACGATTATAGATGATCGAATTCCCACGGTTAAAATTACAATATAACAATCATTCAACTTCAAACTAATTCATTCCTGAAATAGTAAATACATAAAGCTATATGTAATTTTAATTTCGGTTTCCAAGGATACGACTTCTCTTCGTTAATTTAAAGAAATATAATTATCTATCGATAACTTCCATCAGTAATAAAAACAATTTTTCTTCCACACTACAAAAAAAAAAAAATATCAATACACGGAGAACCGTCGAAGGCCCCCGTGACACCAGTTTCTCCACGTTGAATCCGTTCCTGGTCGAGTTGAAAAAGGTTAAGAACCACTGCGTTACAAGTTATCGCACGCTGCGGTGACATATGACTCACGGAATGCTATCATCCAATAAATAAGTCCAAAGTCGCACAAAACCGTGTTCAAAACAAACCACATCACCGCCAGGAATTCACCTGACGATCAAATAAAATACTCGACGATGGCAATTTAGCAATTACCGCGCTGACGATCTGTCTGTCCAGCGTCATCGTCGACGAATCCATCGTTCCCACTAAAACACGAAATCCTCAAAGACGTGCGGGAACACGCGACGTGCCTCGATTCGGGTACACCTCGCCTCGACACGATTCCACCTGCGTTTCGAGAGACCCGTGTCGCGTGTCGGTCTTCGCGTCACTGTCAGAGCCCCGTCGCATGTTCGCTCGTCGAAACACAACGCGCGTTTAATCGAACGGCTCCCCGCGGCCGACTGACTCCAACTCGAGTTGGCACGAGGCCGGCCAGCTCGTAAACTCGAGAAACGAGGTATCCGCGCGTGGAAAAGCCAGATTCTTTTTTTAGAAACGCGACATACTCCGAGCATCGCCGGCGGCGAGCGTTTCGAGCGACGAACCGCCACCGTTTCCTTTCGTTACGCAGTAATTGATATCCACGCGCGAAATCGATTCAGGCTGAACGCGATCCTTGGACACGCGGACATTCCCGAGGGCGATATTAATCTGGAGTTTCTTTTTCGAAGGAAATACAGCGTTGGTGTTATAAAAGAGGATGTAGGACGAGAGGAAGGGAGTATGGAATGGGAAACATGATAGAGTGGCAAAGGTTGAGCGGTTGCATTTCCTTATGGAAGAGGAGTCGGCCACTTCCTCGATACCGAAGGACGAGGTGGATTTTATATGTAGACTTATTTACAGTTTTTTAAAGGATGATGCTTGGTACTGGTCACTCTTAATACGTCTCAAAACATACTATAGTACAATGGTTATTCTGAATACTGAAAGCGAACATAAGGAATCGGAATAAGAGTCAGATAGTATGTTAAAGGTTGACCAGCTGCATCTCCCTCTAATATAAAATGGAATTTTGAACTCTGGAACACACTTTTCCCAATAAATAAACTTGTTTCCATTTCTCGAAAGTAGGGTGCACCTGGTCACTCTCAACCTTCTCCAAAACCTTAATACGGTACAGTTATGCCACGAAATATTGTCCAGATCAGCGGATAAAATTAAAGGATACCGTAATCGATGACTAACAGCACGTGCCTCGAGCGAGACAGAGCACGTGACAGCGCGAAAAAGTATGCTATCAGGATCCCCACCCTTCTATATCACGGTTCGACGGTAACCCGATGGAGGATACACAGCGATTGTACCAGTTATTTCCCATGCAATCTCGGTACCTTTCGTACGATCCTGATTCCAGGCATGGCGGAGGGTTTCTTCGCGTCTACGCGCATTTCGTCGCAGTAAACGACTCTTTCGCGAGCGATGAATCGACAGAAATGACCGGCACTGGTAGCCGCCGGCTCTCGACGTGTACGCGATACCAGCGAGTGCCCACCCGAAGCTGGCCAGCGCCAGCTGCGTGCCAAGTTTTCCTCTGCGCCGTCGCCCCTTGGCGCCTATCGAGCGACTCACTACGCGTTTGCACAAACCACTCTTACGGAGCCAGAACTCTGGGGTTTTTCGGTTACCGATTCTGGTGGCGCATGCGTTTTCTAAATAGAAACGCCGAGAACGCGATTTCGATAGATAACCATAGCGATAACGACTGCGGTTGAATTAGAAAAGAGATTCAAAGGGGAACTTGAGGTCACTCCAAGGCTACCGTTCGATGTCAGAGATTTATATAAAATTGAAATTGAAATTGAAATTGAAATTGAAATTGAAATTAAAACAGAACTTTGTTACTTTCTTGAATTTTTCTAGTACTTTCTAACTTTTATATATATATATATATATATATAGAAAGTCGTTTTTAAAGAACCTATCGATGTATGTTATACAATTTTAACTTCTGCAACTTCCAATACACCCTGCTATTAAGGACCCAACAACCACACCCTCAGCCTCCCAAAACAATATAATAAAAAAAGTTCCGAGAAGCACAATATTTCTATTGCAAATGAAATCGGGATCCCGTTGGTTTGATACGCGTAGAAACCTAACTCAAATCTAATCAGGAAAAGTTTTGTCGCTGTAAAACTGTGACGCCCGTATCGATCCCAATCGAAGCGGGAAGGATGAAACACGTAACTCTGAACCAGTTCTGTTACGCGCGAACAACGCGTGGGAGGACGAGAGAAGGACACGCAAGAGTAGGGGAAGGAGACGTTACGTCGCCAATTTTGTTCACGTACGATGGAACAATTAACATTTTTGCGGGCCGAGTGTACGCCTTCCAGCCGAGGTCAGCCCTGTGGGACCTCGGCTGCAACTGCGAGGCGTATCGAATCTTAGATCGTGATGATTTTCACAACGCACAATTACGAGGACTGACCAACAGTGTCTCTGTTTCTTTTATGGTCGACTCTTTGGTTTCATATTTTGTTATAGAACTGTATCGTGAAGGACTATCGATAGATTCAAGTAGATCTTCTCTAAAAGACAACCTTTAGATGTTATCTGTGTGGTAACAAACTCAGACTGTTCAAAAATTTAAAACGTATGTCTCAACTGCACCTAAATAGCTACGAAAACAACTTTGTTAGCACACCACTAAGCAATAATTAACGACTGTATGAACACACGAAATGATTGCGTAGAAATTCACTCTTCCTTGAAACATGGAAGAGCGCATGTATAAAAATTCAAATATCCAAGTCTAATAAGAAGGAATACATCCTCCTACGCATCATTAGTGATTCAATTTTCGTAATAACTCACCTGCAGAGACGCATCCTCGGGATGAAGCGTCGCCATCTGCCTAACGCGCTCCTGAAGAATATTCACGAGCGTAGTGTACTTCTTATTGAGGGTGTCCAAGTCCCTCGCCACGTGGTCGACCGTCAAGACTCTCTCTCTACGCGGTTTCTTCACCGTGGCGTCCATGGACGGGCAAATATCTTCCAATTGTTCCTTGAACGCTCGAAGTCTTTGTCCATAGATCTAAGGGTTTCGGTTAGCCCATTACGGTTAGCGGATAAGTAATATTAGATCTCGCCTGTACGTCGCTAACCCTTCTATACCCTTAGCGTCACTAGTACCGTGGTTCTAAGGTGCACCCTCGTTGTAAAAGCAAGCAACCGCGTGTACTAAATCACGCGGCCACGACAAATCGACTTCAAACGGGTCGTCTTAGATTTTCAAAGCGATTTTAATTCTTGGCTCAATGTTCAAGTGCCTCGTGTTAAGTGTAACGTGAGTATCATGAGTCAAGCACGACGAATCACCTCCCCAAATAGGATAACTGTACAAATTGTGACGGACTAACGGTTACAGATCTCTTCAGAGCGAAAAGGAACAGAATTGGTAGCTGAAAATATTTCGTACAAGATTCTACAAGAGACTCTTCTCTCTGTAGCTCCAGAGAAGAATAAATCTCACGGAATCTCGTTTAAAGGAAACACTTCCTCTACCCAGTTTGCTTCATCTTCGCTTAGAGATCTTCTACAGTCCATTCCAATTCCTATAGCCTCCTTGTAAAGTGTTCTGTACGAGGTCTTGGGTTTAATACGGACGATCGGTTAATCGTGCCTCCGGGTATCCATTAAAAAGGTAGTGTGCCAAGAGTTAACGGAGTCAGTGAGAGAGAAGCCAGTTCGTGTGGAGTAGCTGGGTGTTCTAAGCGATAAAAGGTGGATTAAAAAGCGTTCGTCCCGGTTCGAACGACTTCTCCTCGCATCTCCCCGAAGGTCAGAAGCCTATGTTAGCGTTAGCGTCGGGACAAGCTTCACGTTGCTTGTATTTACAGCAGCTACGTTACACCAGGCGATTTAAGCGATAATCGGTGACGCGAAGCAGGGAGGGTAAAATAGCTCGCGATGCATCCTTGATCCCTGGAAATAATATTGAAAACTCGAAAATTCTAAATACATTTATCGGTTGACACGGCGAGCATCGTACGAGCCTTGGACACTTTTTGCTCGTACGATTCGCTCGCCTCCGTCGAGTAAGCCCATGGAAAGATCGATGCTGGCTGCGAGGTAGAGTCCATCGTGGCGATAGCGGCGACAGTGACAACGGTAACAGCAGCGCAACGCTTCCCTAGTGATGATCGTAGCGAGATCCACGACGCCGACGAGCATCCTCGTAGCAGAACTTCACGAATCTAGCAGTCGAGGTAGACTTCACGGACAACAAGGGTGTGACAAACGAGAGGAAAACGCGACACAGGAACCGCGACGCGAGAACGATTGCGCGCGTACATTTTCTAGGGGCCACTATACGTAAAAAGGACTCACGCAATACACCATTCACGCAAGCGTTCATACCGTAAGCTATGGCTACCTAAGGCTACCTAATATGCTAGCTGAGCCTACCGAAGGCTTGCGAATACCCAGTCGCGACAGCATGTCGCGTCTCATCTTACCTTTCCTTCGCGAATCAATCGACCACCGGTCACATTTACCGCCTCGATCGCTGGGGCTCGTTCCACCACTCTGTTCAATAGATTCTGTGACAAATTGTACAACAAATAAATATAGAGTACACCCATGTAGAGATGAACGATTCACCCTGAACTCCTCGCGCGTTACCTTCGCGTTCTCCACCTCTAGTTTGGCATAAGATTCGTCGACGAAGTCGACTTCGTTTCGATAAGCGTGCTCCATCTGCTGAGCCAAGGTGTAGGCTGCTTCAGCGCTGCGAACTCTGTCCACCAGTTGACCACACACGTTCGTCCATCTAGCGTTCAATCGATTCACTTCAGCGTCCAACCTGTCCATGTCCGTGTGTGGACCGCGATGACTCGGTCTCGACTTCTCCACGAGTCTTCTCGCATTGTGCGCGTCCTCGTTCAGTTGGTCCATGGCACTCTGCTGTTGAGTGATAGCGTTCTGGAGGACCCTCAGATCCTCCAACACGTTCTGCAGACCGTCCAAGTCGGCTGGCAGTTCGTCGAACGAGGCCAGTTTTATTTCGAATTCGGAAATCACGGTCGTGTTCTCCTCCAGACTAGATAGCACAATCTCGACGCACTTGAGTCGCTCGATGTAAAGGTTGCTAGCGTTCCAGATATGATTCCATTTGTTGGTAACGGCGTCGAGCTTGTTCCTCATTGCTGGGGTCTTCAAGGTGATAACACGGAAGGTTTGCTGAACTCGATCGAGATCCGGCGCCAAGCGACGAAGACTCTGCTCGTAGTCCTTGTGCTGCAGAACCAAGTGTTCAAGGCTGTCGAGGTCTCTAGGCAGCGCAGCTGCTATGCGAGCGTTCAAAATCCTCTCCGCTTCATCGAGCGCCTGCTGAAGGGCTGACACCTGCTCGTTGAAAATGCGACCCGCGTTCTTCGACTCCTCCTCCGCTCTAGCTCGCTTCTCCAACTCGTCAAAAAGTTTGTTCACCTCGGCCATTTCTCGTTTCAATCGTCTCAATTGCGGATCTGCCGGGTCTCCCTCTGACAATAATTTCTCCGCGTCCTCGTTCAACGCTTTTCTGATAGCTGTGCGCTGATCCTGACCCATGGCCAGAAACTGCGGCAGGTCCCAACCCTTCACCACCTTGATGGTCGCGAATATCATGTTTTGTCTCAGTCGCAGCTGCTTTCGCTGCCAGAGCGCAACGCTTCGGTCGTATTGTCGTCGCAATCGCTCAGCCGCGTCGAGAGCATCTTTATCGGGAGGCTGAAGAGCGAAACAGACACCTGGCACGGGTGATTCGACGCCTTCTTGGTTCTTGACTCGCCACTTTATCCTACCAGAGTTATCGTACAACGTGCATTGTTCTCCCTTCTCGATCGACATCTGAAAAGCCAATCCATTCGTACAGGATAAGTCAAGGGAGATCAACGAACGAATAACAAAGCGATAGTTGGACTTACGTTCACTTGCTTGTAGCTACAGACGCAAGTGACCTGAATAGGTCGCGTCACAGGCTGTCGACGTTGCTTCATGGGAACGACGTCTTTCGCCTGGTCGACCAGCTTCTGAACGTGATCGCCGTAGCTGTTCAATTCCTCGCGGAGCTCTTGCATGCCTTTCAAAAGACGTTCACCCTCGTCCAAGGAGAAGTCGGACTGAGAGTAGATGGTGTTGAGCGTCTCGTCCCTTTTGGTGATCCACTGCTCCGCCTGTTGGATCTCGCGGAAGAACTGTTGGCTCTGAGCAGCGTGCTTCAAGTGAACCTCTAAGCAGAGGGTCAATTGAAGCAGCCAGGCCCACTGACTTTGCATGGCGGACATGTAGGCCTCGATCGTCTTCGCTGCTGGATGATGTTGGAGAACCAGCGCCTCACCTCGATCTTGCACCGCGGAGAATTGAATCTCTCTCTTCTCCAGGTCGCTCATGAGAGACTGCAAACGAGCCAATTATCGGATTAAAGATTGCATCCCGTGACGACCATCGAATTCGCATATTTAATATTCATCTACGATTATATGCAGATTCGACGGTGACACGAGTTTGCGTGCATGGAATTCGATTTGAAATTTCGTTCCTCGTTACCTCTATACCGGATCCATAGGTACGCTTGGAGAGAAAAAGGAGAAGCGTTAGCGAGACTTGTTCTGACTGAGACCGCCGACCAGGCGGGTCACGGGGATCGGGAAGTGAAAGGGTTATCGGGCATCGGAAATACCGAAAGGTCAAATACCTCGTAATACTGTTCGATGCTTTGCACGTTCAAGTTCTTGTCGCTCCAGTCGCGCGTCACCTCCGTTTCCTCTTTGGAGCTCAACCAGACCAGCTCGCCCGTCGCCGATTGTATGAAGTCGTGTAACGTGTCCAGATCGGATAGTCTCTTGTTAGAAGCGGATAACAGCTCAGCGTACAGTTTTTGAAGAACGGCGAGGTGTTGACTGTACAACGTCAACTCCTCCCCGTGGAAGTGGCTCTTGGATTGCAGGCATCTATCCACTTTTGGATGGAATTGCTCGATGTTCTTGTGCTCCCTCTGGTGAACGTCCAGCTCGTTTTGCACGCTGGGCAAGTCCGAGCCGTAGTCCGCTTCTTGAAGTTGCTTGATTTTCGCTTTACACCAGTCGATGCAGTCGTGCAGAGCACGGAAATGCGGATTCGTGTCTACCAGACGGGTCTCGTGAACGGTGGTGCGGTGTTTCGTAACGACGCGCTCCTCCACCGGGAAGGACACGGCCGACAGCGGCTGTACCAAACGTTTGTGGAGAAGAGATCGCAACGCGACCCATCGTTGATGCAGCTTCTGAACTCTGGAATATAGAAGAGACGGTTAGGTGGTTGTTGGATACGAATAGAAAGTGCGCGCCGACTCCTCTTTCTAGGTTGAAAAATGAATTGCTCTTAAACCGTTACGGCGGATCAGGAATAGCATTACCTATGACCTTATACATGGGGTGTTCTATTTATTCTGAGTTTGTATGTGATAATCTAGGAACGATTATGAGGAAAAAATAGTGGATGAAGTTTGAATGTAAACTCAATTGACGACACACTAGGCATGTCGATGTGCTAGTTCGCAGGATGCTGGTGCATATGATAACTGTCAATCACAGTGAATCGGCTCGAGACGCGGAACATCGTGTGAATATAGATAGAATGAACACATTTAGGAATGCGGAGAGCGATGCTGCACGTGTAGTTTAGACGGCTTCATTTGTTGCAAATTTGTAATAAAGATATTATAGATGAGCTTGAAGTAGAATTTCTTTCTTATTTGCACCTAGAGACAGGGAGACCTTTACATTTAGAAAAATACCTTTTATGGAGCTCGGCCGCTTGACTGTATCTTCCCTCGGTGAGAGTGTGTACGTCCGTAAAAATGTTCTGAATCTGAGTCTCGGTGTTTCGTATGTCCTGTTCGAGAAGGTCCACCGCGTGCTTCGCTTCGAGAGGATGGAGCCGATCGAGCCGTCTTGCTTCATCCTCCACGCGTCTCTCAAGCTCCTCCAGTCGGTTGTCGGTCGTTTTCATCTCTCTGTGAACTTTCTCGGCCAGTCGTTGCAGTCGTTCGAGTCTAGGGATATAATAAAACTCGTGCAGAAACCAAATAAGAAATATAAATGATAAACAGACAGATTTAATAATATAACACTTTTGTGATACTCGAAAAATTGCAATTCTTTGAGAAAAATGCCTCAGTTTGAGGAAAAATAATTTTCTACGAAAGAGAATTCGTACATGAAGTTAAATGGTAGTAGACTCGAAATAAAAATCTGTTTACAAAGATGGTATATCTTTTCCCTGATCAACGCAGACAAAATTTCTGTAAATTTACATTTGATAAATTTCCATCTGAAGATTAGAATCTGTTCTAACATAAACCCTAATTCTTCGAGGTCATATACCTTGCCAGTTACTAAATTCATCGCCATCTTCAAGTTCGCTTTCACTGTTGGCACTTACCGTTTAATTTCGTCGATGATCGCCTGCTCCCTCTCCTGGTGCAGCGTCATCAGTCGGTGCCAATTCTTCTCGATAATGTCGATGTGCAATTCGGGCTCCATGTCCACCTCGCCTACCGCCTCGAAGTACTTCTGAAGATCCCTGAATATGTAAGAGAGCCGTTGCTTATCTCTGTACCTGGGCGGCACCTCGTCGTTCTTGAATTTCGCGCTGTCCGCCGCCAGTTTCTTCATCTCGATCAAAGTGGGCGGGAAGGCGCGTTCCTGCATCAGGCTCATCTTCTCGCGGATCCACAGATGGAGAGAGCTGGCCAGCTCCCTGTACTCAGCGGATCTTCTCTGAGCCTCGGCGTCGTACAAAGGATGGATCGCGGGCGGCTCCGGGAACACGTCGTAGAGCGAAGAGATATACGTTATCAAGGACTTCTCGTCCGGTTCGGGGGTGTCCACGTCTGTGAAAAACAGCGCACAAGGTGTACGATTAGGATTCAATAAGTCTGGTATGATGGCTGGAACGACTAGAAGAATGTTTTATGGACTATCAGGTTATATCTCAGAAGGTCATGCTACTTATTGATGTAATTATTGAATTAATATGCAAAATGTACATTTAAGTGTGATCACCCTTTGATTCTGGTATCTATTTTTATCTTTGCGGCAAAATCATTATGCTGTCGCTATGAAGCTTTCTCTAGCTTTTAATTATCCTCTTGAGGGACGAACTTTAAATGAATTTTTTTGTTGCTTTATTCGAATGATTTAATCAATGCAATCATACAAACCAAAGCAATCTTTATCTGTAAATCGATTTCGATGTACAAACATCTCACTTTAATATGAAATATTATTTCTCTCCTAAAAGGTATTATGATTGTAAGCAACGATAATTCTGACATAAAAACAAACGTACACATGTACGTTAATGTCCATCGAGAGTGTAAATATAAACACAATCTATAGCACGAACTTATGGTATGACCTAATATATCCAAGTACGACAAATAGTACATAAACGACTCTCCTACGGAAAATATTCAACAACATTCCTTCCTAGCTACAAATTACAATCCCGTGCAGAGACCTGTGGTAATAAACAAGTATGCCTCGAGTCTTGGCTCCTAGTACCTGGAGTTCTCTCGCAGTATCAGAATTTTTACCCAATCAAGGATGCAAGAATCTTAAATTAGAGAAACAAGAGCATCGACTGAACCAGTTACGCTCCTTTCCGCTCCTTTCCCAAAAAGAACCAGCGGAGCGTCTTATCGCGCGCCAAAGAGAAAAAGCAAAGGGCGGTAGCGAACGTCACGGTCCAAGCAACGACCGGAAACGGTCGCAGCAACGCGGAGAAGCATGGGAAAAGCAATGACGGTAGAGAAAACACGCACGACAGGGATTCGTTGAAAAATAGAAGAAAAGGGTAGCATTTTATCGATCAAACCGTAATTACCTTCGGGATCGAGAAGCCTCGTAACGCCATACTCGCGCTCCGCGACGTGGAAGACCCGGTCGAGCCGCTCTCTTGGCTGACAGGTACGGGCACCTCTCCAATCGACCAGGTCTGGCCTGTTGCGATGAATTAGGGCGCTGAACGCCAGACCGTCCCTCCAGGACCCGGTGAAATCCGTCACGCGTACACCTGGGTAACGCGCCGTCGATCGTCTCGCCCATCTCAGCAGGGCCTCGCGGGCGGTCACGTTTGGTTCCTGGCCCACCACTATATCGGATATCTATGAAGGAAAAATCACGTTAGATGTCGTCCACAAAATGGTCCGATTTCTGGTCTTTGATGGTTTGAATAATTAACCCTTTGCTGTCCTATGTCAAATGAGACGCGAACTCTGTACTCGACAGAACTGTGTATCGAAATCAGAAAATCTGGACTGCGAAGGGTAAATAAAATAATATTTTCTAGGCATTGCTTTTCGCAACGAGCAGCTCGTATATTTAAACTAAATTCTGGCGTCTCGACGCAATTTCCGGCTTGGTTCGCCCTTCGATGTTCGACCGCGCGATTTCAGAGATCTCTTCCTCACGCCATTGTGCCCTGCGCGTATGAGAAGCGTACGACCGCAAAGCAATCGGACGCGAAAACGTGGGAAAGGAGGATAAGATCGCAATCGCGAAACGTTTCGGCAAGATGACGCTTACCCTCACGGTTTTCGGCTTTGGCGAGGCCTGACGACTCACGGAGTAGGTGCAGGAGGATCCAGCGACTTCCTGCAGGTAGCCAGAGGACGCGCGTTTCGTCAGATCCTCGGCCACGCATCTCTCCTCGCCTCGTGTTAACGTGGTCGTTTTACGAACGATTCGCGTCACGATACGCTTAGTGCCATTCTCGCCGCGTTTCGACGTCTTCGTTGACTCGATCGACGACCCTGTATCGTGGCGTTATCAGTCTAGAGATTTCCGCCCCACGAAACGTCCCTAGGTCGAAGCCCGCCGAGAGACGAGCGTCGAAGATCGAGAGAAGTATGAAGATCGAGCGACTGATTCGAAATCGCGTCACGATCGACTCGTGCTCGGCTGAGTTCCAACTTAGCGCCATAGAAGACGATCGTGCAACGCCTCTTTTGTTCGTTGGGTTGGTGTACGTCCAGAAGTATCTGGACGAGAGTGGTATTAGATGCTTATTCAATGAGAGAAGGTGATCGATTGAATGTTTATTGTAGAGGGAAAAACTTGCTCGTAACTTTGTGAGAAAGTTTAGTCTTTTTAGTTAGCTTCAAACTGTAAACAATAGTATACTACTTTTATGTAGAGTGTTAGATAGTATTGCAGGCCTTATATCATAGAATAATTGTAATCAGCGCTCGAAAACTCTCCTTCTGAGATAACACGATTATCACAAGTCATAACTTCCCAGAGAGGCGTGCACATAGATGACAGCAATGTGTAATTACGCGCGTGACATCATCGCGAGATATGCATCGCATTATCCGAGTTAGTTTTGATACAATCGAGAAATCTGTCGATACATATTATTTCCATTCAATAATATTTACATTATGACGAAACGAGTCAACCATTCGGTTCGATTTATTAAATGCCCTGCTTACGAACGGTAGTATGCGTAAAACATGAGTGTAGCGAAGGTTGAATTTTGCACTATGATAAGATAAGCGGAACATTGTATCGTAGTGGGAGTGTTAAAGAGAAAGAAGCCGCAAAGCGTGTGTAGATCGTTGCAACACGCCTCTTTCGTGTTACTTAACGCGACACCACCCTGACGAATACCCGAGCCAGTCGCTTCGATTTCAAGAAGAGGACTCTCTCGAGATGTTCGACACTCGAAACTTGGTGATGGGTACCAGAGTTGGACGGTAGACGAAATTTATAATTGTTCTGAATGAGACACGAAGAGTTTAAACTTCAGTTAAAATATGTCTGGAATTATGTGTATGCTTTTATACTGCATGTTTCGTTGTTTATATTGTACGATATACTTATATCGAGTAATTGTATTGTATGTAATTTATCTGGTATCTCGAATCCTCATGTAAAGTGTGATTTACACGTGATTTCCATCATTCATACATCTAACTAAAGACTGCAGATTTTATACATTTACTATGCAAGCAAATATGACAAATATATGCTGAATATGACCAAAAATTGCATGCACTTATACCGAGCGAAATGTTAATATCATTATATGAATTAATAGAAAATACATTCTACATAAATTATTTATATTTTTTGTATGTTCTCCATGTACGCTATGAATGCATAAAATCGCCAGTCTAAACATACTGAACAAATATCTTTCAGCTTGTTTTCGTTATTAGAGGATAAAGTTACTCCAACAACGAATGCCTTACGAATGCATAACGAATGCAGTAATGTTTCATCCAGAAACGTTCGTTTCACAAAATCTACCCACAACGAACTTTATCCAAGAAACTACGCCGATAAATCGTCCATTCGTTCCACGAATGAAAGCATGCCCAACTCTGGAACCAAGACAAACCAGGCATGTCCGTCCAAGACTGTACCTAGGACCTCCGTCGAGAGTCGTCGCTTGGTATAGATTGCCGTCAGGTCGTCGTTGACCGGCATGGTCGAAGCGGGCGACACGGCGTTCTCGCGAGGGTCATCCTCCCTGGTGCCCTGCACGAACAGCCGTCCGCCCTTGCTAAACCGATATATCGACATGGTCGTAGGGCGACGTGCAGCGTCGCGATCCACTCGCGGCCGTCGAAATAATCGCCGCGCTCCGAGAAACTACCATCGACGTCTGGGAAAAGAGGCGAGCCACGCACGACTCATTCGCAGGCCTTATCTGGCGCCTGGGCTCGACGCGTGAAAGCCGATTAACGAGAATCGACCGCACGCACGCCGCTAAGTCCAACTTGGGCACTACGCGCGACGAGCGAACGCGGTCGTGTCTCCTCGATTCGTCGACGATTGACGCGAGAGAGAACGCGCGAGCCAGAGGTGGTTCGATCGGCAACACGATCGAACCGCGATTAACGATTTGCCGCACCGTCGCGTTTTTAGCACTCGACGATGGAGAGGGAAGGGATCTATGGACCTAGGGATCGAGCGAAGAGAAACAGAATCGTGAGGGGCCAACTTTAAATGGACAGGTAGAAAGAAGACGGTAGATATCGTGTCGACGAAATGTCGTCACCGAGAGGTCGATAACGCGCGTGGAATTAGTGGTTATCGGAGACACTCGGGCACCGGGAGCACCTCGGCGCGTATCGCGAACCGACTGTCGCGCACTACAGGTAGCTCATCGAGAACTCCGATCCCCACTCGCGCGTTCCTTCCGTGCTTCTTTGCGCGTTCGTTCGTTCGCTCGCACGTTTCACCGGTAAGGTTTCGCGTCGCGGTTCGTCGCTACCCGTCCAGCGCCGGACACGTGTCCCTCCGGTTCCCTCGGCTTCCAAGCGACGAGGATTCGTCTGACGACGAATTTTCTGGTCGAAGACAGTCGCGGCGAGTCTTTCCTCGAGTTTGCACAACGACGAAACCGAGCAGGATACCGTCGCGATTCACCGAACGAGTGACAGCGTGCCGCGTTGTATCCGGCTGCCGTCGCGAGAGTAGGCCAACGAAATGCGCACAGGTGAGAGACGCCTCCGACGTCCCCCTCTCGACTCCCCCACTCTCTTTCTCTCTCTCTAGATCGCGGTTGTCTCGTCCCTCTTCTGGTTCGCGCTCTTCGTCACCATCCGCTTCTATCCTTCCATCCTTGCCCACCCTCGATCTACGTCACCGATCTTCCTCCGCTTCCGCGACGCCCCCCTGAATCGGTGTCCTCGTAAACGTCCTCGTCCTCGTCGACTCGATCGTGGCTGTTATTTGCCGATACGACCCGGTGCAAGATAGCGCATGCGCCCGCGCTATATCGCGCGAGCTGAGAGACAGACAGAGAGAGAAGGGCCCCACTTCGCGCGACGAGCGCCGAGCGAAGCGTCGGTCGCGCATCGCGTCCTTCCTTCTTTTCCTTTTCCAGAGATTCTCGACGATTCACCGACGCCACGGTAACGCTCCGTAACTATAATACCACCTTCGTCGCCCCAGTCTCGTTGGGCTTACCTAATTCGCGCGGATCGTTAATTAATACGCGAGGCCGTGACGAGGCTCGTTTCCTCGGGAGGAAAACAGACGAAAGAAGGGGAACGAAAGGGGAACGAAAACAATGCCTAAATAAGCGCAGAGATCTGAAAGAAGCGAAAATAGGACGACGCGTGTGCGTCCCTGAAGCGTCGCCAGCCGCAGGAAAGAGAAAAAGGGAAAAAAAGGAGGAACGGAGAACTGACGGATATATGCGAGAGTACAGCGACTCGCTCGAGACCGGATGTGACGTCAGCGCTCCAGCGATCGCCCGGCTCGAGCACCAGGACCGCTTCCGGTACGCGGCCATGCACGTGAATCGATGGCTTGCGAGATCGTCTGCGACGATTGTTATCTTGGTTGTATCGGAACGATTGCTGCAACCCCCTTAGTGAGAACTCAGGGGCAATGTGTCTGTTTTGGGACGCCTCGAAATTTTAAGATGGAAGTGCTATTCGTGGGAGGTTGTTTAGTTTATCGGAGTGTGCAACAGTGGCTTTTTAACACGTTGACTGTTCCATTGATACTCTTAAAAATGTCTACTGTAATTTTATTTTATTTACAGACTATTGGAAACGACGTAATCAAACATTCACTGTGCTATCTATTTTTGTATCTTCACCGACATTCAAATATTTCGCTCAAATTCATTTTCTTTAACATTTAACTTTCAAAATTAATTTGTTTAGTACTTCGATAAAAAAACACTGTCACCCATGTATCAGTGATATGGCGATCAACGTGTTGAAGCTACTGTTTTTTTCCTTTCTACAAACAATATCTTCCAACGAACCCCACCTATCGATAATAACAAAATAAACAGATAAATACAAAGCGTATCCACTTATTCACACAGTTAAAAACCACTGCCGCACACCCTCGACTTCCGGTAGCGCGATGTATTTCGAAGCACCCGGTACAAGTAACGCGAGGAGGCAAAAAACGGGCTCGTGCCCTCTCGAGAACGAACGCGATATTTACACTTGTACCCTCTTCAAGAACGAATAGCCGCCATAAAAACAAGTGTTTATTTGCGTTGAGACGTGGGCAGGCTAGCGCGCCAGTTCCTTTCGCGTTTTGTTTTGTTTGGTTTCGTTTCAGACAGCGTGTAGGAAGTTTCGATCCTCGCCTCGGGTGGGCGACGTCTTGGCCCCCCGTCCCCGTTTCCTTAACCTTTTCGCTGCGGAAGGCGTACAAATACGCCCTTCACCCTATCGATGCACCAACGCGAGGCCACTCCGTCCTCTAGAGTGGATGCAAGGGTAGCCCAAGTGTGCAATTCTTGGGCGGGTTACGTAACATTTCGGTTTTTACATCGTAGTTGAAATGGAGAGATAATTAGTTCCAAGTTCCAAGTTTATAGCCTTGTGAGTTATGAATGATTAGAAAACGAGAATATATCAATTGTATCCCACGTATGAAGCATCAATTTTTACTTAACACATTGTTGACCGGTCACGAGTAAACTCGCGTTTCCACTTGTATTATCTACTTCAATTTATGAAACGCAGGCGATATAAAAATATGTTATAGTTACGTAAGAGATATGTATGTGAAATGTTTCATTTCAATTCATTGTGTTGGTAAAATGTAAATAAAATTTATTGGAGTTTATTTAGATTGTTTTAATTTCAATTACGAAATAATAGCCGGTGACATGAATTTTGTGTAAAATTGCCGGTCAACAATGTGTTAAAATCGTTGTACCTCTTTCAGGAACCAATCAAAAACTCATTCTCGCCCTATTTTCTATAAAATCTATAAAATTATTCTCCCTCCAAATTTTTAAAAAATCTCGAGGTACGTTGAAATATTTCTAGAATCTACAACCTGGCCTAGAAACTATTGCTTCCAGTCATCGAGACTCCGATCGTTCGTCGCAGCGAAGGGGTTAAAGTCGATCGCGAATTAACCGCGATAAAACGAACGGACGATCGTCGTAAACATACCCCGCGGCGCTGGAAAGGGACGTTCTGTTAGCAGTGACCTTGCCCGGTGGCGTCATCCGCAATTTTGTATTCGAAGCTCGATCGACCGATCCCCATTATCATAATTACAAGGTGGGCGGCTCGCGACACAGTGGCCACGAGACGCGGCAGGACACCGAAGCGGCTCTCCTCATCGCGACAATCCGGCTGGTCTCGTCCCACGTCTCGGTTTCGACTGGCTGTCACCCTTCCGCCTTGCTCCGCCGACGTAACCGCGAAATACCATAAACGGTAACGTCTGTCGCGAGCTACCAACGGAAGGACAGTCATCACCAGCGGCGACGATGCGAACAGCGTCGTTTCGAACAGATAACGATATTGAAGCTCCTCGATTGGAGTTACGCAGTTGAACCGCAGTGGAGGGAGAACTATCGAGACTATCAAAGTTCGATCAAGATCTTTCGCTATCAGCAATGCTATCGACAGCTTTCGACAGTATTTTCAATATGACAGTTTGCAGAAGGCTATTAGGTACCAGGAAGTCAGTAGATGTTACAATTACAAAATGGGAGTATCTAGAAAACTGCACCAAAAGATGATGATTCATTATATTCAAATGTATATAATTGATTGAATTAGTACAGCCTACATTCGGTGAATTAATTTCATTCGCGAAGATCATTTTGTTTTAAATCGATAGCAATATACAAATAATTTCAGAGAGACGATCGAGACTAAAGAGTGAAAGTATTACCGGTATTATACATTAAAAGCATTACGTATATGTTAACATTTTTTAACAAGAACAAGTGGCTTATTTGAGATGGTATTTGATCCAGGTGTTATTATTTCTTGAACACCTCTTTTGTAAAAAGACGCTATTCGCGGTTTGTTTTGAACCGTCGATAATTATCGATAATTCTCCAACACTATCGCACGGCTCACGTGCGTGGGACGATAGGTCGTTACCGTGACGCGAGCTGGCCACGAGCGCCATCTAGCCTCGCGATCGATTCACGCGGTCGATAAACAGATTCAGGCGGCACGGGTTTTCGGATCCGCGCCGCGAACCTCGCGTTCCACGTATTCCAACGGAAATTCTCGTACTTTTCTTTTTTGTACAATCTTTCTTTTTTATTGGGAACCACTACGGCATAAATATATAGGGAACTTACCTTGCGTCGCCAGCTCTGCGGCGCAAAACAAAACAAAAAAATACATCATTAGATAGATGCATCGGACCGCTAGGTGTTAAGTACAGGAAGTAATCCATGACGCAGTCGAAAGCGCGATTCCTCGATGCGAGAACAAGTCGAAAATGTGGGATAAACATGTTTCGCTCTCGAATCTTGTCGCTCAACTTTACAATCTACGCGACGATTTATAGACAATGATTAATTTACATGAACGACCTGCGCCACTTGAACATACCCCGAAGAACAGACCGGGCCACTAAAGTAACCATAAAACTTGCGATAATTGGAGCAGCACTTAACTGGGCCAAAGTGTTCCGAGCCCCCATGTGTCTCGATTAACTCGTATTTACTGTTCCCAAGCAATCCGTCAATAGATGCAAGTGTGCATAACGCGTTATCAAGATTTATCGCCACGGTTGGAGTGTCTCCATTCCTGGAGAACAGAGAAGTCAAGTAAAGCCCTCGACTCACGTTGGTTAACTCCAAAGTTTCTGGGGGAAATGTATTACTGGGAGAAGGAAAGTTCAATCTCGATACGACCATGTATCCAGAAATGTTCATAACTCGAGAGGGTGTAATTCGAGAATTCGCTCCATTTTCGACCCATTCTTAACTCTTTGGAGCACGGTGGGATTAAAAATGTCCAACCTTTTTGATGGACCGTAATGGATGGTGGGACACTTTTAATCCCACCTCGAAATTTTGCAATAGCTGCATGTGTATAGGTGTGATACCTTTATTAATAAAAATATAACAATTTTGTTTGATTTAAAACGCAATAAAATTCCTGTGCAACATAGGTCTATTTTATGACCTGAATTCCTGTGCCGCAAAGAGTTAATCAAAGAATCGACCCCACCAATCGCACTATGAAACATCTCACCTTATTCTGGTCATCCCAACGATCGATCACTTCGGTATTAGACGTCAAGAATCTTCCAGACATCGAGGACAAAAGCGATCGATTCGTGGGTGGAATGGCCCGCATAGGAAGTGGGTTCGTTCAGTGGCCTTTCGGTTGCCCGTCGGGGCGAGATAAGAGATAGAAAATATCTCTGTGCATCGACACGAACACGACGAACACTGTCCACCATTGTGCGGTCGCGTAACGCGGGTTTACTCTCGCCGCGATCGACGTGTTTTTTGCGACCCCGTCCGAAGAGGATCCCCGACCTAGTCTCTCAGAACGGCGGCCGTACGGCGGTGATCGTGTTCCCGTTCCGTGGCGTTCGACGAAGAGCATCGCCTGGAAACGTGGTTGCTCCCCTCTGACTCGCTTTCGATCGGAACAAGAATCGCGAGAGAAAAACGAGAGTGGTCGGGGAGGAGAGAATTCCAGCGCGATGAGAATTCCACCTAAGCGAGGAGGTGCGCGTTCCCTCCTCGCGGAATTTCTCGGAAGCGAAACTTTCGATCGGTATCGCGCGAACCGTCCTGGAACGACGATTTAGGGGGCGAGCAAATGTGATTTTTTGGAGGAGAGATTAGGGGGGGGGCGGTGGTTTCGAGAGGTTCGTTCGTTGCAACGAGTCGTTCGATAAACGCGAGTCGAAAGGCGAACCAGGTCTGTCGAGAAGTTTCAACCGTTTCTAAGAAGGCCGAGTCAGAAGTGGAGGACGTCGAGTTTAATAAAATTGGAAGATAAAGAATTGATCTTACGATCCTATATGAATTTCTTTTATGTATATTATCGAGCGAGTAATATAATTTTATTCTGTAAATTTGCATATAATTGGGTGGGAATTTGGGATACAGTGGAAGCATATTAATGCAATTTTTATTGCGCTATTGTGTCCCCTTGTTGACAGAAACTTTCAGGAGCGTTGATCATTTATTCGTGGCATTTATTATATTTATTTTCAGGGATGGGCCTCGTATATCGTATGGAGATATTTGATAGCAAATAATTTACGCATTCCTCCACTGACAGTGACAAATTTCGCCACGATTATATGCAAAGATATAGAATACAATTGCATTACCTACGGTCCGTGTATTCAGGATATTTAATCAATGAGCGATTATTTTTTCAGGTTAATGTTCGCTTGAAGCTAATATCGTACTTCTCAGACCTACCACTTCACAGTAACGTTATTAAAATCGACGTCCATCATCCCTGACCCTCCCTTTGGGTAGTGCTTTACAGTAGTTCAAGGTGACACTCGCAATGGTGTGGTATGATTTTAGGGAGAAACTGTGCAACCACTCACCTGGAAGTGTAGTATGATGGTCCATATTAAGCCGAGGGTGAGCTTCGGGTTTCCATCGACGATGTCCTCCGCACGGATATTGACGAGCTTGATTTTCTTGTATCGCAGAAAATCAAGGGCCATTTGCACGTTCTGCAGCATGTGGAAACGCATTCGACCCCTCTCCCGCGGCTAGAAGATCATCGATTAGACGGTATAGAGAACGAAGGATAATCTTACTTAACTCTAACATGAGGGCCTCGAATATTGAATAATACCAGGGATAGAAAATCTTTGTAGATACTTCACAAGTTTTCAAAGCTTGAGTACAATCAATTTTATACAAATTATAAGACATACTTCCCTAAAAGTAAATTAATACCTCACTGGTAAACTAAATAGTAGTAGAAGTCTTTTGTCTGATAGCTTGGAGTGCAGAGATAAAGATATTGAATAGATATGGGTTTCTCATCCCTGGATAATTACCAGACTGCAAAAATGTACGTGTATGCAAATGTATAAATATCAGGTCGTCCCATAAGTTCGTGCTGCAGACTGAGCCTTTTCTGCAGAAGAGATTACCTTTCCTTTAAACACTTAAGGACATGTTATATATATATATATACATACATTTATATATATTTATTTATATATATTTATTTATATATATTTATATATATATATTTATTTATTTATATTTATTTATTTATATATATATATATATATTTATATTATATACATTTGCATACACGTACATTTTTGCAGTCTGGTAATTATCCAGGGATGAGAAACCCATATCTATTCAATATCTTTATCTCTGCACTCCAAGCTATCAGACAAAAGACTTCTACTACTATTTAGTTTACCAGTGAGGTATTAATTTACTTTTAGGGAAGTATGTCTTATAATTTGTATAAAATTGTATAAAACTCAAGCTTTGAAAACTTGTGAAGTATCTACAAAGATTTTCTATCCCTGGTATTATTCAATATTCTTCTGCTACTGAAATTAATATATATATATCGTTGCAACGAGTGTTAATATATATATATATTAATTTCAGTAGCAGAAGAATAAATGGCACGAACTTATGGGACGACCTAATATATAAAACATAAAAATAAAATACACGTTACAATATTTACAAGACAATTCATGCTTCAATTTACGTTTCTGTTCTTCGTCTATATATAGTAGTGAATATGAGTTTGCACAAACATCAGCAGTCTAATAATTACAATTTTGAAGTTCCGCGCCCAACTGGTAGAGTATTGCAAAAGTGTCCCACCCATCGAAATCATCGTATCTAATCGGTCCGCAATTATGATCGACTGTTCAAATGAACCTTGGATTCCATGATTTCGCAGCGATGCAATCCAGCAGACTCAATTACATTAACTGCATGTTTCATCCACTTTTTAATCGAGGTCACGAATAGCCCCACCCCATCAATTACGTAACACGTATCTCGCCCTAGCAGTCGAGGGGTTACGATAAAACATTGCCGATTCCCTCACCAGTCGCGTGGGTGGCAAAAGTGGGGTGGATTAACGAGCAACACTTACGAGATGCTCGCCTGAGAGAACCTCCAGCAAGGAAATGAGGTTGTGCCCGTCCCGCAGGTCTTCGAACAAATCTCCGACATGTCTGCTGGCCTGAAACAACGATTTCACGGATCAGAGATCGCCTTAACGAGTCGTCGTTCGAGTGTCTTTGAGCAACGATCAACTGAAAGTTCAAATAAACGTGTAAATAACAACGCGGAACAAAAAGGAAAATTAAACAGTTCTAGCTGAAAGTGAGAAATCGTGAAACGAGAAGACATCGAACAGGCAGCGAGCAAACGGGGAAGAATTTTCTTCTATGTACGTGAGACGTGCAGATACATATAGAGGGATGATACGGGAAACGTGTTGGGAGCAGACAGGTAGGAGATAATGGCGTGCCTGGCGAAAATAAACGTACAGAGTTATTCGCCGCGGTGCGTCACGTGCAAACGCAGCAATCGGCCCTCAAACTCGCGATTACATAGACCTCGAGTAAAATATTATCAGAGAATGCGCAAAGAAAACAGAACTTGTAAGAAAGCAAGTCCGAGATCCACGGTATAAAAAATGAAGGAGGCTATAATTTACGCCATCGCGATGAAAAGTGCTCGAGACTTTTTATCGGTCGAATAAATCTTCCACTGGCATATTCCTCGAACAAATAAATGTTGTTTATCATCGAGAAGGCATTAACGATTGCACGCGTTCGCACGGCGTTTCGCGAAGGCCTACTATGGTAAGGATTTCTTCGAACAAAGGAAAGAAAGAATCAGGACGGTGGGATTACTTGCGAACGACATGGTCACTCTATCGACAAAACGAGACACATCGGTTGTTCTCGGTGCATGCGAAAAATTCCTTCTAACGTCGGCTAACGGGTCGCTAACGACACCTGCCGTGGACTTACGGTGGGGGAACAGCATGGCTGGTTGTTCACAAGGACGCACACGTGCAGGCACGTGTAAGTCTGAAAAAAACATCGATTGAAAAAGGAGCACGGCCCGCAGATATGCTATTTTATTCCGCGTGCCTTTCCCGGCTGATTGTGAGACCGAAAGTAGTGGCAAATAAGGAGATTAACATCGTTGCGCTAACTCGTCGTTATGGAGAAGTCAACAAAAGAATCGACTCGGTGAGCACAAGATGCAGCGTCATACTTTAACGGTCTCGTTGAATGGAGTGGATACATGCATCGGTAATATAGAGAGTTCAGTTGGTTTGATAGATCGCTAGGATTCGGCAGGTTTACCGACAGAATACGATATATTATCGACAAAGTACCGACGTTGGTACCTCGTGGAATGGAGTACAGGTATCGATAACATAGGGTACTCGATGTGACAGATCGTTAGGATCCTGTACATTTACCGACGAAGTACGTGTGTTGATACCTCGTAGAATGGAGTAGGTACATGTATCGATAATATAGAGTACTCGGTGGGTGTGACAAATCGCTAGGACCCTTCAAGCTTATCGACAGAACACGTTACATTACCAACAAAGTATTTGTATCGGTAATATAGAATCGAATTCAGTATTTATTGCTACCGCGTTGAAATTGGAAAGGATTAGAATGTACGACACGCTCAAGATGTCCTCTCAATAATTCATGACACTAGAAAATAATTCAAGCAAACTATCTGGATTGAACTAATGTCGCGAATAAATTTGTCTACTTCTTAGTTTTCCACGTTATCTAATGAAGCAGCTTTCGCCCGTTTTTGATAGGTACACGCGACGCGTATCTATCTTATCACTACTTTTATTGCTCAATATCGAATTCGATACGTCCGAATCATCATCGATGAAAACAGCGATACTTCTCAACTCACGTCGATTCTTTCGAGACTTCTACTACCATGCCAAATATTTTCTAATCCGCGAATAGGAACTCTCCACTACCGTCGGTCGCATGGACGAATGGTCCTTGACCGAAGGATTCTATGGCATGCTGAGAGCACTAAAGCATCGGGTAATTTTCCCTTTGCGAACAATTCACAAGGTTCTATACAACCGTGATGCTTAATTGCGTGTCAATGCTTCAAGGTGCGAATGTAGGGCAGATCTGGGCCACTGCTGGCTGCATTTAACGTTTCATTTTTATTGTTCTACGTTATAAACTAAAGTCTGAACGGTTTGGCGTATTCCTACAAATGAAAATTGTTCCTACCCTGCCTTTTCCTCATTGTATAGGTGTATGCATCGTAACGTATGTTTAAATCGTCTGCAATTGTATAATGTACGATGTATTGTATGTCTTTCAAATATGTTCGCAGAAGTCTTAACTGAATTTCCTAATTTCGTCTCATGACGTGTGAATATACACTGCATGAAATTAAGTTTCCTTGTATCTTATGAATATTGCATGGAAGTGAAAGAAATAAAGTGTTAAAAGTGTCGTCGTTAAAGTATATGAAAGTCTATAAAACAGTCGTTTAATTTATGTTCTTTCTTATGTATCTGACTGGATCGTACAAGTTCATGAAGAATCCTGATAAATAGCTCACCACACCAGAGTAGTATGGTGTACTAACTCAATTGTCCACGATCCAGTCAACTTAACCCAGATCTGGATCTACTTTCCGAAGCACTGACGTGCAACTAAAAATAATCCTACAATCTAATCGTCCGAACCACTCGTCCTAATCGATTGATAGATCGTTTGGGAGGAGCACTCCTGGATTCGTACCTTCACGTACTTCCAATGCTGCGGCGAGCGTGAAGGAATAAAAAAGAATGTGATTACGATGGAATTCCTTAATGTACCTTACGTAATTACGGAAATCGAGGATCGGCACGTTGTCGCAAGCAGTGGCGATTCACCTTTGAGGAGACACATGTACATTTCATTTCTGACGTCTTTTATATATTATTGAGTAGCAACAGTCATTAGAAACGTTAAACAAATATTTATAATTAAATTTTCCAATGATATAATACAACAAGATCGTTAAAAGATCGATTGTTGAATATTAACTTGAATTTTTGTTTGTTTCTAACAAAGTAATTCGTCCCCAAGAGGTTAAATCGGAGAATATACGAGAGTAAAACGAAAGTAAAAACGGATGAGCATAAACAGAAATCGAACACGGTATGTTTTTGCAGCTCGGGACAACGACCGATCGCCGATCGAAATTGGGTAAACGACAAAAACCGCGCAACAGTCGATTGAGCGCGCGATCGATCGAGCGCTATGAATGAACGATCGAAAAAGTGAATGGGGTCAAAAACGATCCATCACTTTTAGACGTAGAGAACACGACCGACGACCCACCGACGGCCAAGGACTACGACGTCCTTCGAATTTAAAACCTCATTCTCTAGAAAACGAAAGTCACCGCTGGGGAACTTTCACTTCACGTTCGTACATTTATTTTTTTCGAGATCCCCTCGGTCTGCAGCGTGCACTCTCGATCCCCGAGTGCATTATTTATCGTTATTTTTCACATATCTTATGCTCCAAAACTATCGTTAAGCAGACGCTTTGTTATTTTTTCATACATTTTTGTTAGCCTCCTTTCAATGTTTCTGTGTTAGCTTTTTACACAATCTGCACTTCATTATCTAATAAATGAGGCTTGTTTAACGAAGTAATGAATCCTCTAATAAATAAAGAACAATATTCTGTTAGGTACTCGTTAAATTTAGCTGTGTAAAAAGTTAAAATTTAAGGTGGCCGTCTCCTGCTCCTGAACTAATGATCTACGCGAGTAGGATCGAGGTATTCAACGGATCGGAATTCATGGGCGCAGAAGTTACTTCAGCGGACCATTTCCTGGCAGAAGCGTTACGCAATGGCCGACGATGCGTCATGCCCGACCATGCACTCACTCTTGAGCGATCGCCGCCAGTTTTTTCCCTCCCTGCTATGCAACATCTCCCCGGAGCCTAACTTACTGACTGACTGACTGACTGACTGACTGACTGACTGACTGACTGACTGACTGGTTGCCTACCCGCGTACCTAACCGCCTACTTATCCACCTACTTACTGGCGCAAGAGGTGGTAAATCGGGAACGTCGTTCGCAGGAGAACGTTTCCGAATAAGGTCAGAGTTACGAGAGGAAAGGTGGGCGCGCGGAATCGAGCAGGTAGGTAGCCAACAGAAACCAGTACCGAGCGACGCGCAAACACGCAGTACCGTTTGCCGTATTACCCTGGAATCCATTACAGACGGAGAGTAAAGTCGGTCGATTCGATGCGACGCGAATCGACGCGTCGCGTTTTGTGAGTCGTACATGTGAGATCGCTGGAAAAAGAAATCTCTTCCTGGCGAGGTCTGAGACTGGCTCTGTTTCGTGTAACGCGAGGGTTTTAAAGAGCGAAGGGGTAGGTTATTCGAACAGAATGCGAGCAGAGGGTGAGTAATGCCGTCTCGATAGGCGCCACTGCTACGAAACCGAACAGAAGCTATCACGGTGGCGACTAACGCAGGAAGAAAATGAGCATCGGTAACCCTCGAAATGCCATTCGAGTTATGCTCGAGCCGCTTACGAACAGCTTCAACCTTGCCTCTCTTCTCCTTTCTCCTTGACTCTTCTGCATACGCGGGCTACGAGTAACGAGAAAGCCGCGCGGGGAATTTATCGCTGCTCGAACCGTCGAAACGCGCCGCGATTCTCTTTCTCTATGCATCGTCCGCGCGGTCAACAGAAGTGATCAGAATTCTAATCGAGCGACGATTATCTGACGTGAATCGCATCATTTGGAATGTAACTTCTTGAAGAGGGTAGATAGGACCAGAAATTGGTCTCTTGGAGATTTCGCGAGATTTAGTATGCATAAGAATGGATACACGGCAGTTTATTCGTCATTTTTAGAATAATTATTTGACGGATTTGAATTACGATTCGTTATAAAATCGATACGGGATGATTTCAGTCTCTATTATTCGAATGAAATTAATGGTTTGGATGAGGTACCAGAGTGACGAATAAAATATGAATAAGGAGTCATTCATCATTCGTAGAATGATAATTTGAGTTGAAATAGAATAGAATTTTCCTTGATGAAGAGATGGAAATTTAACTGTCGACTCGAATAAATTGCTGTACGTTGGTTTGATGTGAATCGAATGTCGAATAAAGGGTGAATAATGCCTCATTCATCATTCGTAGAATGAAAATTTGAGTTGGAGTATAATAAAACGACTAAAAATTTAACGCGAATGAATCGTTGTTTGTTCTTAGTTGAATAAAACGTTCGCCATCGAAGTGGACGCGTCATCTTTTTCTCTCGGCCGAAAACGGAAGAACCTGCGTCATCGGTGATCCGCGAGACTTCGTGCGACAGAACAAACGAAGACGAAAGTCGCGCGTAGCGAGATCAAGGCTAACGTGTCTCGAGTTACAAGAATTGTTCGCGGTCGCGTGCCATGTCGTCGGCGCTCGGCGTGTCGTATACGTCGTCGTCGACGTCGGGTCGCGGTCAACGTGGTCGTCCGCACCGCGAACACGTCCGCGCCAACAGTTTCGTCAGCGTTGGAATCGTCATTGTCGTTGGTAGCGATCGGAACAATCAAAGTTGGACAAGATCAGACAAAAACTTCGAAGCAGTGGGTAATAAAAGGGGACGATGAAAACTGAGCTTGTGGAATTAAATATCCCAAGACGAAGGGGTTGAACTGTTGAATAAATCGTTATATGCCTTATTTAGTAACCTATTATAATAAAATTTCGACCATCTCATGGCGTGGACAAATGCTCGTCAGTCAGTACCATAAATATTCGTACCCTCTGTATCTATCGAAGAAATTGATCAACATGATAGATTCGATGTTTCCAAATAAAGTTTTCATTGTAAATATATACATAGAAAAGTTTATTCGTGTACATATTTATAATGGAATATTTATCCGGTAACATCAAACCTACCATTTAGTAGAGAGTAATTTCTTCAACAGACATGGATGATACGAATACTTATAGCTACGAATATACAGTCAGTCCCATAAGTATTCGTACCCTCTGTATCTATTGAAGTAGTTTACCTAAATTAAATGATAGATTTGATGTTTTTAACCAACTTCGAAAAGGTGGATGTTACTCAATTCTACATGTATATTTTTATTTTATTTTTGTTAAATAAATGTTTTATTATGTATATGTACATGAACAGGTTTTGCACATGTAGATAGTTATATTAAAAATTTATTTGAAATAGATATGAAAGGTACGAATACTTACGAAACTGACTGTATACGACTGTAACAAACTCAACGAATGTCCATATGACGTTCGTTGTTTACGAAAAACGAATAGTTGCGCAAACACGACTAAAAGTCTCGTTTTCGAGTGTCGAACCGCGTGACAACACGTCGGGGACCGAGGTGGGATCGATCGCAACGATTTTCTCGATTTCACCCACTCGGTTTCCTGCGTTACCTTCTATAGCCGCGCGTGAAATACCCTCCTGGAAGGGAGTGCGATCAGCCCACGCAGACGGCCTACATGGACAGCCCGGGTGCACGACACGCACAAACGCGTACCTATGGCAGGGGCTGGGAAGGTCCCTATCGTTTACGTATGTACGTTGTTACGAAACAGCTGGTTGTCCTGGACGTTGCGCGTCGCTGGTCTCGTGCGCTCACACCTATCAGGTGTTTCGATACTCTGGCTCCGTCAGCCGTGGCCTCCTGCTAAGGTCGGTCTAAATTTAGGTGCGTTCGATACTTCGAAGGAAGGGCTAGCCCACGAACCTTCGTGAAATTCAAGGAAACCCTTTTCGAAATCCTGCGAGTAACCGACACAGCATTGTCTATGAATCAGGGGCGGGAAACGCCGCTTGTAAAGGTCTTATTTACCTGGGATCGATGGTGACCCCCATTATGGTTAGTGGTCTCTACAAACTTCAATGCAGGTTTCAATTAGTAACCCTTTGCGATCGAAAGGTGACTCCCAGTCATCACCTTGACGCAGTAAATCGACCAGCAACGTTTGGTTTAGGTTGAATTTTTTTTGGACCGAAGTGTCATTGAAACGAGGTAAAGGTGATCTGATATTCAAATCTCAAATTAAAAATTTCATGTTCGAAGTCAATCTAAGAATTCGTGAGAATGCTAAGAAAGCATCTAGAGTCGTTGGTAGAAAAGAAGTCATCGAGTGCAAAGGGTTGACACGTTCATCCCATGGTATTAAACTTCGGCGTCTCTGTCGATACCAAGAAATAATTCACGCCCGATGGATCGTCGCGTCCCATCGACCGATTTGAGAACGTCGCTAGACGAAACGCGTCTAGCCGCTCCGCATGCTTACCTTCTTCAGATGCTTGTTCACCCATTTGGTAAATGTTTTCTTTTGGATCGCGTCTCGTTCGTCTGCAATCACAAGAAAGAGCAAGCAATTGGTTAGGGAGGAGTCGAACCGTCATCGTTGCGACGACGACGTTACCGCACCTCGCTCGATTTTCTTCGGTTTCCGCGTGACGTCGCGGGGTTAATTAAACCGTCGATTTGCATTTTCACCGCGGCATGAACGCGATCGCCTGTGCTGGGCGAGCATGCATCGAGCATCCAAGCAGGCAGGCAGCGGCGGATAGACGGGCAGGCAGCGGCGGATAGACGGGCAGGCAGACGGACAGGTAGGTGGTTAGATAGATAGGTAAGTAGGTAGGTAGGTAGGTAGGTAGGTAGGTAGGCAGGCAGGTAGATGGGTGTTGATATGTGTAGGCACTCGGGTTGGAAAAGAGCAGTCGATCCGGCAGGCAAACAAGCAAACGTGCGCTAAAACTTCGCCTTTTATTGGTCGCTGTTAACACTGTGCCGTCCGCAGGTCAAACCGAGATTTTTTCGTTTGGCGCCGGTAGGACTGACTGATAGTTTTCCCATGGCACCACAGTGATGCCACCGGAATTTGCCCCATAGTTTTTGCATGGCACCACAGCGGTGCCACTGGACGGCATAGTGTTAATCGCCGATACCCGCCTGTTCATCGCCGATCTGGCCCACCTGAAATGGACTTATTCGGGGACAAAGCAAGAAAGCTTGACCCTGTTCTTAGCGTCCAGTACCCATGCACCTTTCGCGTAATCCGATTAAGCAACCTTACAACGCCCGTGGAAGGCGCACACGGCAGTACTGTTATGGAGACCGATGCGTAACACGGAGACGTAAGCGTGTGTATCAGGTTCGACGACACGGCTCGATCGCGAAATTAATCTAGTGGGAGGCGCTCGTTCACCCGAGTAGCAATTAATTACGACCGATTAGCCGATGGTATCTAGCGGTGGGTACTCCGTGGACGAGAAACGGTACGTCGTCGATCAAGACCGAGTTAAGAGTCCAAGTTAAACCGATCGACGAGAATCGCCAACTCGTGGCTCTTTGACCAGCGCGTGACCTCTTCGGTAGCTGGAACAACAAGACTGGTTGGAACTCGATGAAACGATGCAAGGCGCCACGCGAGATAAGAAAGACGGACCCATTTGCATGGTTTCGCAACGATCCTCTAACAAAGGATCAGTGTTCGGACCAGCGCGTTAATGTTAACAAAAAAAAAATAATAAAAAGCACCTCACCAATTGGCTAGATCGTAAGCGTTTAAAAATAAGAGGACTCATTCATTCTAATCTACGCGACATGTTAGCCTCGTAATCGACTCGATCGAAGCTCGTCGGATGGAACGAAAGAAATACACGACGCGAACGACGATTTGGAAGAGTGGCATACCGAAACACAATGGAAATAAATTGGGACAACGAGAGGACTCTACGACGTCGTGGGATTTCGGAGCGTGTGATATGGCCAGGGAAGGAAGTCACGATGCGTTTCGTGACCGTGCCCGAAATGGGAAGTTAATGTGCTCGAACCAAAGAGAACGAAACCTGTTATCGTATCATCTACTCGTTGCTGACTTTGTTGATACCGTTTTCCAGATTCGTTCGCGAAAAATCGATTCCGTGGATTCGTTGCGTAAGCGAGATGGGTATCCCACTACGTGTCTACGTGTAGAACAATTACGTCGTCACCGTAACCGAATGCAAAAGCGATTCTAATGTAAATACTCTAAAGCCGGGACGCGCAAGAGGCGAAGCCTTGGCGAGTCGCGGACGCGCATCGAGAGACGCGATATTAGCCACACAAAGACACTCCAAAAGAGTTAGTGTATGTTAAAGTAAAAAGAAAATAAATCGAAAACGATGGTATCTTGTGCTCGGCGATATTTAAAAGAGAAACGGGAGGCATCGATTGTGCGAGGAACGTTTAACTTCCTTGTCAATGAAGTGACAACGATGGAAATGTAGTCTATACATGTTGATATTAACGATCGTGAGAAGTGAACATGGAAAAAGTATGTTTATCGTATGTAAAAGTGTTGGGTTGTCTGGAAAGTTCGTGTCGATTTTTGTAGGCGGTACAGGTCTGAATATATCGAAATGGTTGAAAACAAATAACATGTATACATCCCTTAAAAGGTGAAAAGGTTGTGGAACAAAATGATACCTACATAATTCAATAAATATATAAGCTGTTGTATTTGAAAATGGAATAAGTCCAATTTTTAAAAAAATGAATTAATTCGTTTTTTTTTTTAACTGGACTTATTCCATTTTCAAATAAAGCAGCTCATACATCAAAATTCAAATGTGCCTTTGAATTTTGCTTAAAAATTGTCACCAACTTTCTGGACAACCCAATAACACTGCAACTGCCAAGAGCCAGGTTAATAGTGTTAAAAAATATATAAAATAATTAGACGATTGTCAATGGTCAAAAACATTCATGTACAAACTTGCCTCCGTTATCAACGAATGTTATCAGGGTATACAAATTATCAATGAATTTTACTGAGGTTTCGAATATCGTTTGCTCGATCGATCCTCCCGTTTCTTAAGAGAGAAATGCACCGCGCTAGTCGCGAGAACCGAATTCCTCTCTATCGGGCGTTCTAGTCTCTGGGCTCGGCTAGAATCGCGGATGGCGCGAGCGCTACTATTTCGCCCCGGCTATTTCCGAGGCTACTTCCGCGAAACATTCGGGTCAAACGGCAAAAGGTAAACGACCTTAAAAAGCTACTTCCGCTCGCGTTGATCTCTCCCGAGCCGATACGGACTCCTCCGGTTTTCGCGAACAGGCGATTCTCCGTTCCCCTTTCCCTGAGCGTTCTTCTCACGGTGCGAAAACGTCTTCCTTCGGCCTGATCGAATGCGAAGATCAGCTGACGACGGGAACGAATGGTAGAAGACGAGGTACGATTAACGTTTCGATTCTGGCCGTCACCCTCTTCGAAGTCTCAATTTATTGGGTAAAGTGTGTATTGAGATTCGAGCACAGGGTTCTCTGTGCTATTTGTACTTTGTGGTAGATTTTGAAATTAATACTAAACCTATCGTCGTTCACTTGTAATTTCTCTTCTGTGAGAGGATAAGTGACTAGTCTTAAAGAGACGTCTTTTAATTAAATACAACAATATTATACGTGGAACTAAATTGAATAATGCATGAAACAATTGTGTATAATTCGCATGTTCTATATAAAAACTGTATCCAAAAATTTGAAAACGGTTATTTGACTGATCGTCGTAGGTTTAGTGTTAATTCTGCACCTTGGAATTTAATCAGAATTTATTAGTTGACAAACTGAGACTTCAAAAAGGCCAGCGTTTATGGGAGAAACCGCTTTAGTTTTGAAGTACATTTGGTAATCTTTACACTTAATTTCACAAGAAACCTTTGGGGATGTAACTCAAAAAGTAATAACCCGATAGTTTGCAAACTTTACATACGTTTACTTTATTTAAATGCCTTGAAAGTTAACTAAATAATTTTAATGATATACGTTCTCTATCGTAAAAAGCAGTAAAATATTCTCCATGTTGACAAAAATTAAGTCAATTTTTGTCAGTGAACAAAAATCTTGTGAAACACAAAATATTTGACTCTCTAAGTGGTTATCCCCTTAACCTCTTCACGCTCTTGCTCACATATGTGGACGTTTTGTTCATTTATAGTTGCAATTACTGTCAATAATAAAAGGAACGAAAATTCAAGATAGGGTTAATCGTATCCCGTTTTCTCTCATCGTTGCAACCCTCGCGTTCGACCACCGTGGTTCGCAGAGTGAAAAAGAAACGCACAGGAAAGCGAACTTTCTATATCGGAGTCGTCGCGATTCTCGGACGATGAAGATCAAGGAGGAAGCTGAAGCGAATTCGTCAACGTAACAAAACCGAGGAAAGAAAACGAAAATAAAAACGAGAGAGGGGGGAGATAGAGAGAGGAATGTTCGAGGCGAGTCGGAAGAAAAGTTTCGCGGCAGGAAGAAAAGGAGAGAGGGTCAGGGGCAAGGTGTATTGGACGTGGTCCAGCATCGGCATGCCAACTCTTCACCTACCGTGCGCCTCGATGAACATCGCCCAGCAACCCCAGTAAGCCTGCGAGCTGCCGGAACGATGTTCCGCGGCCCCGTCGGACCGACAATTCTCCCGATGCTCCGTCATCCACCACGAAAATCCATTTTCGTTCTGACCTTTGAACTTGGAAAGCGACTCCTCGTATCCGTGTTGCCATCTCTGCTCGCGATGGTGTTCCGCCACTGTATCGGCCGGGTCGAAACCGAGCCTCTCCTTGTAATAGGCCTGAGTGGACATCTCGTTAGCCAGTTAAACTCGCTCGTTCGTCTCCTTTAGCTTCTCTCGAGACCAACAGCTAGCAACGAGACGACGTTCTCGTCGTTCATCAGGCCCACTCTCCACTCTGCGTCTTCCTCTTCTGTATCCCACTGTCCACGATTCCTTGGTTCTCTGTCCTCGTTTCCGATCGTAGGATTCGCTACCATGCACGTATAACGCACACAGTCCTTTCGCGGATTTATCACTTATCGAGTTGAAAATCACTTAGGGTTGCTATCTTAACGGAAAGATTCGATATATACGTATAATTTTCGCGTGTATATATATATGTGTGTGTATAACTATGGCACTTTCGAGTCGACGAAAGACCCAATTTTCGTCCCTCGGTTAAACTCGCTTTTTCCTCCCCAGTCGTTGCTCCCTTCGCGTGCTCCTCTTTGACTCTCGTTTCTTTTTGGAACGGATACGTTGACACTGGACACGGTGGTCGCGATGCGCTGTTGAGAGAAGAGAAATAAAGATCGATCGAGCCCGCAGACGGACAGATAGGATCAAACTCGATTGGAAAAGAAGGAACTCGAGGGCGAATCGACCAAGACCACGACGACGACGATGACGCCAACGACACACGGACAATGCGCCGGACAGAGAAGAGGAGACCTAACGGCTAATTTCGTTCCTCGGTTCGTCCGTTCGTTCGTTTGTTCGGCCGTTCGCCCGCTCCAGACGAACGAACCTTAACGAATCAACGACCGAATTTATCACGGCACGTCGCAGACGTAACCACTCAACGTTTCTCGGCCGAAAGCGAGCCACGGTTGAAACGCGCTGAGGACGCCGGTAATCGGTCTCTCTCTCTGACGCCTAGTTCATCGTTCCCCGAGGAGAGGCCAACTATAACCATCCAGACGCGATAAAGAAACGACTAAGGGGCAATTTTCGGTAGCAGCGCGTCAAAACTTCCGCGAACGGCGATTCAAGCCTGCGAAACCGGAACGCGACGATGGATAGGCCTGTCAACTGTCTATGATCGTAGGTCGGGGTATGGTCGACAAAACACTTCTATGCTTGTAGTCGTAGGTCGTGATGGAACGAATTGATCCTCTTTTCGGGGGTGGAAATATGCCTAACGGAACACTTTTCGACAAAACACTTGTATCCTTCTAGTTACGAGTGGGGGACATAGCGACAGAACACTGTTATCCTAAATTTTACTCTTCCTAATTCTACCCTTCCAAGTTGGACCATACCCGACAGATGCACTAAGTTCATATACAAACGCAGCGATGGGAATGCTAAGGATAAGACACTTCACTATAATAATAAAAAAAAGAAGAGTAAAAGTTCCACAGACTAATCTCTAATCTTCTTCTCTCGAATCTCTAATATAGAAGAATGTTCCTTTTGAGAATGATCCCCTAGCAGAAGGGTGAAACGTCCCCAAGAACGCGCGAGCACGACGGTTACCGATTAACGAATCGAGCGCGACTGGCAGTGACAGAGGAGGCGTGCCCCCGATCGATCGAGCCACCGAGCACGCGAGCGAATCGAAGATTGTACTAACGAATAAACGATCCAGCGAGCAGATCTACCAAACTGACGGTCCACGAGACGGTCGGTGACTGAGACACGGGTGCCACCCGGGGAAACCCAAGACCATCGGGATCTCCGCATATGGTAATGGAAGCAACGGCATGTGGGTGTCGTCTTCTGGATCGGAGCGAAAACCAGCAACGCCAATTGCAACACGCCCGAGCCAAGGGACCCTCGCTAATCCTATCGTTCTTCCAATGGAGTATATTCTCGCTATTCGAGGAGAACGCTCCGCTGCCTTTATCGGACCCTCATTTTGTGCTCTTATCGTGGCAGCTTCTCCCTCGACCCTTAAGCGACGATCGGACGATACCAGCCACGAATTACGTTTACCGTCCCGATGTCGCGTGGCCGAGCGTTCGGATCGCGACTCGACGCGACTCGATCGGACTCGAGTCGACTCGACTCTGCCCGGTGCTCTCTGGTCCGACGGAATTAGATGCGAATAGAAAATAGAGTAACGCGTGTCACGCGCCACGCGGTGTTAGGCGGACTCCTTCTGACCGTGTCCGTTGGTTAGACGACTGTGTGTAGAAAGTTCGAGAGAAAGTAACACGCGCGCGTAACGCGCCAACGGTAGTCGCATCTGAATTTTTATCAGAAACTCGAAAACGGGAAACGAACGGCGACGGTCGATCCAGGTGTCTGCAAATGAAATGTTCGACAGACATGAGCTAAAGGGAGGGAGGAATTCGCGACGGTTCTGTTCGATACCAGGGAAATGATACTGCTGATGTTTGAGAATTTTTCATGACGATACCCGTTGGACGATGTGAATGATTCATGTGTTCATTGAAAGTAGAGGCTTCGGACGAAGTTTTTGCCGATTTTCATAATAATGTACCGCCGATCTATGTGAGAAAATATAAGCGTCGCGTAATGGAGCAGAGTTTTAATAAACAGGTATGTTTCGTGAATATTTTTATGCAAATTGGGAGAAATATTGCCGATTTTCGTAAAAATATCTCGATATACAGTCAGTCTCATAAGTATTCCTTCGATATCTATTGAAGAAATTTGTCTAAATTAAATTATGGATCTTATGTTTCCGAATAAATTTTTCATTAGAAGTGCATTTAATGAAACATTTATTTGGAAAGATAAAACTTATCATAGAAGGTACGAATACGTATAGGATTGACTGTACGTAGGAAATATAAGCGTCCTCGTAACAGGTTAGTCAAATTTTTGAGTCACGTGATGGGACAGCGTTGTAAAGAATACGTAAATAGTTCATAAATATTTTTATGAAAATTGGAGGAACCGCGATCCAAACTTAAAAACTGAATAAATGGATATTCAGTATCCGTAAAAAAATGATTTTCATTCCTGAAAAGCGATGAACGCATACGTTTCCTGCGAAGAATCCGTGACAATAGCGTTCCTTTTGGGTTCGTCGGGATGTGGTAACCCCTTAAGAAGAAAACGATTCATGAGAAACGAATGAAACCGGTGACATCACGGTACGTCGAAACACGATGTGTTTTTTCTCCCACCTACCCCTCCGCCTCCTACGAGCTTTTCGTTCACCGGTGAACGATACGCGGCCTTCTAAAGCGAGACGTTCATAGAAAGGTAACAAACGGTCGACTGCTACCGAACAAGTATCGAGTAGAGGCGTATGAAACATTGCTCCGCAATTTTACAGAATCGAGTCGAGACAATTACGCGTTTCCGTTAGCGTCATATGGAGAAATCCTTCTCCGCGGAATGCGCCGATGGCGTTTATTAAACCTAGCAAAAAGGGTTAGAGCTCGCGCTACGTTCAGCCGGTCTTGATATCACATTTCATTACACAGTCAGCCTTACGTCAAGACTGCTTGCGCATAGAAATTTCTGTGTAATCTCGCGGCTGCTTCCTCGAACACAGCGATTGTATTGTCTTGGACAATTCTTTCCTTCATATAACATACCGTTACGGAGGAAGTGGCTTCTGATAAGATAACTGTTACGTTATATTACAAGAAAGGTTACGTCACCGATAAACCGTCGATTTTAGGCGAATCTAGTGAAAAGACACAGATAACTCGAACCCAACAGTAGTTCGGGTTCCCCCATTCTTCCCCTCCCCATGCTGAATTTTGTTAAAGCCTGCAGGACTCGAAGCTGAATTTTAATTTGATGGCGTCGATGTGATAGCACTCCAAATAATAATAATAATAACTAAGTGCTACTGGCAGAAATGTAACTCATTCTTGTAACGTGATAAATTGGTTGTAATAAAAGGAAATGACTAAAAAACTCTAGAAATAATTAACACATTCGGATATTTGACGTTTCTGATACCGAGTACTGACGAAAATAATACAATTCTGAAACTGGACATGGCAAATTTGTATCGTTAGGGCGAAGATAAAAATGACAAAATATGTTGGAAATATGTAGTGTATAAAATAAAAAGATTTTCTTAATTTCTTTTCATAACCATGAATAGAATTGTTAGTGACGTGAGTTCACGTCAGCGGTCGCGAATGTATTAACTGTATTCTTTTACCTACTCGGACCTGCAATGGTTTAGAAAAGGAGCTGAGTGTTGCAACGATATCCCCAAAGTTTGCAATATATCAATCTTCGATTCAGTGATGGGTAAAACCCTAGGTTTCGAATAAATCTGAAGTTTGCCGATATGCTTGTCTCGTCTCCTCTTTTGAACATTTTCCAGAGAAAGGAACGAGACAGACACATCGGCAAACTTCAGATTTATTCGAAGTCTAGGGTTTTTCCCATCTCTGCTTGGATTCGTTATGAATGGCTCCTACATTTCCCTAGCCTTCTAGATCTCTCCCAAAAGTGGTCTGTGTTCAACGTCAGGTGGTGGAGATGAGAAAAACAGAGTTTCCTTGGCGTTGGAGCGCCAGCGAAAAGCGTCGCCGACGAAGGAGCAGGAGGAGGAAGCGCGTGTACGCGTATCGGATCGGATCGGCATAACGCGAGCTGCAAGAGGGGCCGGCTCGGCGGCATTCTTGTGGCAACGGCGTAGCAGTATAACGGGTCCATAGTCGGCTCTCGGAGGACTCTCGAGGGCTCTTGGAAGCCGAGAAGACTCTCTCCTCCGTATAGTTCGGTCAACCTTGAGCAGCACGCGGCAAAGCGCGACTCGCTATAACGAGCAGCGACTTCTTTTCCTCTCCCTCTGTTTTCACAAGCCCTTCCCCGTGCCTCTTCGTCGCGATCGTCTCGCCGATTCGTTCCTCCGGTTCTCAAACGGAAACCCCACCTATCTTGACGTCTCGTAACACCTCGAGTCCAACTACAACGTGTCGCGACACCATGGATCCAGAGATCATCCGAGGTTCTTCTCGCGTTGTTGTCCCAGTTACCGCGACGCTTATGAACGGACGGGGTCGATTCCTCCGCGACCGATCGACCTACACATTCCCGCGGACCGGATAAGCCCCGATCCTCTTTGATCTGCTAGGAAACGCGTAATTCTAGAAGTAGCATTGATTACGGATCGACCTTTGCAGGGACCGTCCAACCGTTTCGATGCTCTATGCTTAGCCTCGAACTTGATACGTAAGCGCACAGATTATAAAGATTGCGATGATATAATGACGATTGCTTGAACAAGACTTTGTTTTGGGAGTTTCAACGTTCTCTAGAAGTAGAAATATCTCGCAGAATCCGACTGTTATAAATGGAAACTTTGGAGACGAGTATCTCCGCTGTGAAACCGCTAAACCTCTCAAAATTTGGAGAAAATCCTAAGAGGAGTCCCCTCCCAAAGACCTGCCTCGCACAAAAATTATGGAAATCTTCATCTATCGTTAAACATTTTACCCATTTCTACATTCTATATCCCGTCACTGCGCACATTTGTCACCACACAAGCGTCACTTGAATTCGCAGGCACTCGATGGACGACCTTCGAAGGGAATTCGCGAGTCTCGGGTGGCCAGGAATA